TGGAAACAAACTTGTAGAAAGGAGGGCTAGTCCATCGCGTTCCGTGTGCAAAATCTCGGGAGAAACTATTAGAATTCTTTCAGAGTGTATGCATGTTGTTTTGTAAATAACACTGTAACGTATTTACAACCTGTAGAACGTAGAACGTAGAAGATAAACAAACGAAGTTTGAACAGTCAAAGGGAGATCTTCGTCGAGTTTCAGAATTATGCAAATTGTCACTGACACGAGTGCAATTTAGCGAACACGTGGATTTGCGTTGTTTTTAAAATGTTGGTGGATGAAAGCTACAGATACAACCGCGGGTTCGAGGCAATCGGTGACCTCATTGGTGTATAAACTATACACTGATATGCTCTTTTAGCCCGATTAACGCCCGCATTTCGAGAATCCTTTCGTACAAATTGGTGAATTTTGATATGCAAATTAAGGTCGAAGAGAAGGCTCTCCTCTGATCACGCTTGTATGAAAAATATTTCAGCTGAAGTTTCCATATTTTTTCTCTGAACTAAATCGCTGCGCGCTGGACACAATCTGTGAAATTTCTACTCTTTCGATCGCTGTCCACACGGGTGGTCTGGCCAAAATCATTTTTGGCTTGTGGCGACGCAAAAAAAAAAAGAATTCGAGAACAACTAAACTATCTTTAAAACATGTGTCCTAAACCCTTTTCATGGGCAAAAAATAAAAGAAAACTTTTTTTCCGACGGGAAGTCGAGAGGAGCGATCTTAGCGAGAGCGGCACTTAAGCGCTTCATACGAAACTGGCATTCTTTTCCTTATTCCTTGGTGATTACAAAACCTTTTAACGCTTCGTAAACTACAGCCCTTTAGATTCGGATATCGAGCCTTGATTTCAGAGACAAGCTCCTCGTAAATATGTTTCTGTTCGATAAGAAACCGACGGACAAAGTCTTTATCTAAGACATTTTCTATCGCCGCCATCTTAGTTTCCTAAATATTCCCGCTGAAACAAAGATTGTCAGTTTCACTGCTATTGGCCGAAAACGAAAAGCGAAAAACGACTTGTAATCCGTTTTCAAAATTCCATACGAAAATAAAAAACGAAAAACGAAAAAGAAAATTGAAATCCGTTTTTTCAAAAGTTACAAAAGGAAAAACGGAGATCATAAAGAGAATTTGAATTCCGTTTCCTTCCCGGCGGGGAAAAAATGAAAAACGAAAATGGAAGTCCAATTTCGTTTTTTTGCTGCAAAGAAAAACGAAAAACGAAAATAAAATTTGCGTTTCATTTTCCTATACAACTGAAAATCGGTTGGCTCTAAGGTACACGGATTTTTGAGGGTTTTTGGATTATCAAGGTGAACCACAAATAACAAATTAAGAGAACAATTGTTAAACTTCACGAATCGCAAAAAAAACATGAATCTCACTTAACAACGGTGCTGAGTGTGATAAGTTGATCTATGACCTACTGTGAAGGCTAATATTTACAAATTTTAGGTCCACGCGCAGCTTTGAATCACTTTTAATAAAACTTACAGCTAAATACAGATAATTCCGGCTTATGATTATATCTATACGCGTCATAAACAGGAAGTAGAAAAAGGAATAGATAGAGGAATAGAATCTAGACGTTTTTTTGTGTGTGTATGTTAAAAGAGATGATCGCATTTCTCTTTCCCAGAGGCTAACTGTTTTTAGGCTGAAAAAAAAAACAACAACTGAAATCACGAATTAGAAATTGCACAATGTCGTCGGGTTGTAATCTAATGGAGGCTTGTTACCGAGTTCAATTTGTCTCTTATCCGTAGGAAATTCATTTCGGCCTGATTATGTAACAATTTTATTTTGCAACTGTATATGTAAGCCTTCGGATTAGCAGAAAAAGCAGCTAAGAATGTTCTTGAGTTCCCCGCGATAATTCCCACTGAAAGTAAAACAGATGCAAGGACTTATAGCACAGTTTGCCACAGCAAGGAAATAGGCAACAGACCTAAAGTATAGAAAGCCACAAGACGATATCATAGTGGTATTCGATGAAAATGTGATAAGGAACCAGCCGATGGTGTGAGGCAACCAGCATACTCCGAACACTGACACAATGGCAACGGACATCTTCAGAACGTTTTTTTCTCTCTTCAAACGGCGTTCTTTTGAATTTACTATTTGCAAGCCTGGCGTCTTCTGGCATTTGATTTTTATAGCAATGGAAACGTAAATTATTGCTATAAAAATCAAAGGGACATATCGGAATACAACATGCATTACCACAATGAAGGTTTCAAAGGAAAAGTACTTTCCCAATGCTTCACTCCAGATTCGCACACACGCCAGTCTTTCTGAATATTCCACAAGGTTAAAGGTGAACAAGTTTATGCACCAGCCAGCCATGGCGATGATCCAAGTGGCGAGAATAAGGAACCGGCACAGCTTTAAACTGATGAGTGGGCCCCGAAGAGGATAAAAAACAGCTCCAAATCGATCCACTGCGATCAGAACCAAGCTTTGAACAGAGACAACAAGGGAGGATTCTATGAAGAAGGGAACAAGTTTGCACAAAGCCTTGCCAAAAAGACCGCGGAACACCCAAGAGCTGGTGTGTAACCATATCACGTTGTTAGGAAACAGGAAAATCGGGAACAGCAGGTCGGACATGGCCATGTTTACAATCAAAAAATTAATGGGCTTTCTCAGGGCTTTTTTCTTGTAAACAACAATTCCGATCAAGGTGTTTCCAACCAGCGAAACTACAAAAACCAAACAGTAAGCAAAGATTTCAGCGATTATTTGTGCTTCAGTGTTGAAGCAGCTCGACACGAACTGTGTTCCATTCATTGTCTTGGTTAAGTTTGCTGACATCCTTGTCACTGATCAAGATATCTGTTTCATCATTAGCAAGCGGCTTTATAATTCGGAAACACCGAATAATTTAAATATATAATAATTATTTTTAGTTATCTTCATAATTTCTACATAGTGGTCATTCGAATTCTGTAGCCATATTCTCCCATACTTCAAATGATTATGATTGGAGAGGCTCCAGTTTGAAGTAACGTAGCACGCAAAAATTTCTGCCTAATTTGTGCCACTTCATTTTACTCCCGTTTCCATCAAAATTGTCCTCATTTGGAGAATATTTCCACGCATGCGGGCAACTTAGGGAACATCTGGGTGGTGTGTTGTTAACGCTAGGTTAAGTGAAGACTCTTAGAGACCGACGCCTCTGTTTTACCGCAGAAAATCTCCTGTGATTCTTAGCGAACCAAATAATGTTGTGGGAAACCTGGGAAATCAGTTGCTAGTAGATTCTATTTCCACAAGATAATTTCCAAGAGTGTTTGAGTTTTGATAGTCCTTGCAGAACTTTTGTGGGTTTGTGTTGTTCTTTCTTTTCCTTCTTTTTTTTTTCTCCTTTCGCAAAACTTTTTCTTTTTTTAGTTATCTTAAAAAAAGAGCCTCTATAGAATTATAAATATAGCATTACTTTCGAGAGTATATTTAGGTCGGTATATATATCATAGCAGTGTAGGAAACATGGTGGAATTCCTTTTTTTTTTCTTTCGTGTGAGAATTTTTTAAACCTCACAAACTAAAATTAAATGCATAGTTTATCTTAATAAAGGAGGGGTTTTTAACTAAACCACAAATACGTGGAGAAAAAATGTGTGATCACGCGATTTTCAGACCGAGTGCGTTGTAGCATCTCATTGTTACGCTTTCCCAAAAACCACGCTTTGCTTTCGTAAACCTCTTCCCTTTGATACATGCTTCGAAAACCTGTAGTTGATCCCGGCATGGAATTGATGACAATTGCGCCAGCCATTTCTTAAAGAAGAACGATGGACTTTCTCTGACGAGAAACACTTTTTCTGATGAGAAACTTTGGGTGTAACAGTTACACCCAAAGTTTCCCACGCATCTAACCGCTGAATGGCCCTAATCTTGATAAAAAAAAAAGGTAATTTAATTAGAATTAACCATGCATTAGGGGAAAAATAAGATGAATAAGTTATGACAATTATACTAACACGAAACTCGTAGCGACAATGGGATTTGAGGTTCTTTGAATCATCAAATGAATCCTTCAAACCTTCAAAAATAGATATTAGTGCTTACGACAGGGTTTCAACTCCATGAGAATGGATCAGAGCAAACTTTTAAGGAAGGTGTGAGACATGCTTAAAAATAAGATGGATGTTAATTTAAAGGAGGACTCTGGAACCAAGCTCACGCAGCAACGGTTTCTACGGCCACTGGGCAGAGCTGAATAAAGAAATGCTACGTCGCAGCTTTGAGGTCAATAACGCGGGCTCACGCACTCGAGGTTAAAAATTCAGCGAAATTTGCGAAGAAAAAAAAAGGGTTGCATTTAAAACCGAGGCATTTTGTTGTCGTTGAAGGTATTTTCTAATTTTTTAAGGAGAAAATTGTTTGAAAATATTTCTGAAAGGGTGTGAAAAGCGGCAAGGAAACAACGCCTTGAAGTAACAGAATAGAAAATCGAACGTGCAAATAACTCTGAATCCGTTTTCGCGCTAAAGCCTTGCGGATGCACCGACGTTATTCTGCTCTGTCCTGCCACAGTGCTTCCGTGCTAGCCGTCAAACGTCGAGCATGCGCAAGTGACATAGCGCTTAGACATCGAACATCTTCGAGGGGATCAATTCTAGCCGGCTATTCGCCAATTTCACGAGCAAAATTTCGAAGGATTTTCGCTTATTTTACGAGACAAAATAAGCGAAAGAAAATTGAAACTTTCGTAGAAATCTGTAAACGAGAAACAAAAGAAGCGAAAAGGAAAGCTTGAGACTTTTCGAGCACAAAGCTTATTCAAGTACGGGTATCCTGTTGATTTACTATAGATCAAAAAAGTTACACGCTTTAAAAATACCGTGACATATTGGATTTGTGTGGTTTTTAGTAACTTATGTGAGACAGTCTGGTTCTGACTTATTTCTGACAGACAGAAAGCACAAAATTATGGCACCCACTCTCAAAACGTTACCATCATAAATCAAGAACAGCCAACACGCACTTAAAATTTTTATTTCCCTAGCCAAGAAAAACTTCTTTTCACTATGGATATTACATCTCTTTACACTGTCATTTCCAATGACAAAGGTCCTCTGACCCTCAAACATTTTTTGGATCATGTAATTGGTCCAATTGGAGCCAACCACAACCATGCAGGAGAAATTGGATTTCCGGAAATTAACATCAAACATCATCAGACCTGTGATCAGTCGAATTGACCGCTATTACGACATGACTTCTGAAAGGACAGCTGAACATTTGTAATGGTAAATATTAGGATAGTTTTATATTTTCTGTCCTGCACGGTAGCTTACAAAGCAATCCGTGTCCCAACTGTAAAGAAAACGTCCCCGGGTTTTTAAAAATTTTTGCCTCGAAGCACTCGAGTCACCAGTTAATGATGGAATTGAATTCTTCGATAAGCTGCACTTTTCCCTTTGTCGCTGTTCACGTGACAAATTGTGATAAAATTTACTAATCTCCTATAATCTGATCAACTTTGCTGCCAATTTATTGAATGTCACGCGACGACACATCCTCAAATACCGGTACGTTGCGTGACACTAAGGCAGTGTCACTGAGTGACAGCTGCGTAGCGGACAATCTACAAATTTGACGCTTTTTATGGCAAGGCGATTTAAAACAAAAATTTAATTCAATAAAACTATGAAAAAACTAAGGTAAATATAAAATTATAACTAAATTTTCCTTAATTTCATCTACAATTCAAATTGTTTTCAGGGAAGCTAAGATTCACCGCTGTTTTCCAGAGGGTGCCATTTAGGCTTGAGCTCACTCTCTGCTGTGCCGTCTCGATTGACAAACACGAATTCCCTGTCAAGACGATCGCCCCGTAACACTCCTGAAAGAAAATTGTCGTTATTGTTCTCTCGCTCGGTCAATGGGTCAGAAATGGGCAGTGAAAGTTGACTAGTTGCGTTACACAGATGATCGGTGTCACATGACGTAGTTAAGCTACCATCCATTCCTTGAAAATTATTTGCTTTTAACTCATCTTTGTCGCCCTCGCTTCTCTCATTCTCTCTTTTTAACTTATCATGAGATGGCAGATCGGAATTGTCAACATGTCTTTCTGCCGTTGTATCACCGACTTTATCCTCTCCTTGAAGCAGACGAGTAGATTGAGTCGACTCCAAGGTTCCAGTTTCTTCGCCAAATCTTAACACCAGATCTCCTGCACCAACATTTTCCCCATCTTCAAGAGCAGCAAAATTTTCCTTCAGGTTTTCTGCCTTTCCATCATATTTTCCCGCGAAAATCTCCACGTTTAAATTTTCTAACCCTCTCAGCTGCTGTTGAATGCTTTCCATCTCAGCCGAGGCCATTGAAAACTCCTTTCCGTTGCTTTCCTTGTCTGCCTCGCTGGAATGCTCAGATTCCTGAATATTTCCTTGCTTAACACCAGCAGACATAAAGCTGCTTTCAGTTTCATCTGAGTTCTCAAAGTGTCCAAAGTTGGCCATCATTGGAACAGGGAGGTTCTCAGGAATTTCACTGTGTTTCTGTTGATTCTGTGGCGGAATTTGCAGCCGAGAAGCAATGTTGTTATCAATCTCCATAAAATCACACTCTGTCTCAATTGTTGATCCTCGAAATGCCAAAGTTCCTTTCAATAAATCCCGAACCTGTTGAACATTTATTTTGAATTTAATAAAATGTATCGTTAATTATGGTTGTGGGACCGAGTGGAGTCCAATTCGGTTTGTAATCAAATGGGTGATTAACAAGATCGGACCACCGCGAAGCGGGAGTCTGATTTGTCGGTCACGAGTATGATTACAGTCAGAATTGGACGACACGAAGTCCTGTTACCAATTAATCAAAATTATGACAAAATTTGAGAAAGAAACTAGACATCAGGTATACGTTTTCATCAAAAAAAAAAACAACAACAACAAAACCAGTTAACTCGGCGAATTGCGAGACAACAAGGCGCACATGACGCGTTCTGTCCACTTACACAGGAATGATGTGTCAACTGTCCCTTTAACTGTCCTATTACACTGTCCAATTACAAGCATGACGCGCACAATGTCCTATTGGTGCTCAAATCCGGCTGGTGATAACCAATCACGTTCGAGAATTTTGTTATAGCTCCGATTATCTCTAAAATCGTCTTTCGCATCAGTCTCTCCTTATTCGCGTCATCAAGAGGCTCTCGTTTTTCCCACTTCTCGTTCCTCGTCCATGTTTCTTACATTAACCTAATATGACCGCTAAAATGTTTAACCCTGCAAACCAGTTATCTGTTGTGGGGCTTCCACAGTGTCCAAGAAAGTACCGCGATCATAAACCTATTGGGAAATTTCACCTAAGAGTGCTCTCGAGAACACTTCATTACAATTTAGGACTTCTATCTTTTCATCAGCCTTCCAGCGTCAAAAATGAAAAAAAAGAAACCAACTTGACTCTGTCGGAGTTAAAGGTGGTTACGAAAGAATAACCAAAATCCATGTCGAAAGTTTAAGTTCACAGACAATCAATACTCCTTACCTGTTTTAAGCCGGCTAAACACAGATAAACGATATCTCGAACACAATCTTCGTCTTTCGTAAGTTCGTCTTGAAGAAGATCTGAGGAAATAATACAGAAAAAAAGAGGCTATAAGCGAAAGTAGTTTTGCAAATATCTTAAGGCCTATTTACACGGCACGACTTTGTCGCATGCGACAAGCTTACGACAGGCCTACGACATGACTTAAGAGTCGTAAGCGAGTTGTAGGTTTGATTTACACGAAACAATTCGTGTCGTAAGCCTGTCGTAAGCTTGTCGCATGCGACAAAGTCGTACCGTGTAAATAGGCCCTTACACGACTTGACACAAAGGAAAAAAATCTGGGTTCGTAACGAAGATGAGAGCCTCAGATCTTTTGTTTTACGGTCCTAACCTCTACCAACCGAGGCAAAGAGAACTCGTTAGCGAGCGAGGCCTCGCATTTCAGAAGTTCCCTGCTTACTACTAAGATCAACAGCGTCGGGTGCGTCCTGTGTGCATTTTTACTATTTTTCATTTTTCGACCATTGAGCTCAATTTTCACCGTCTTTCTTGTAATCCAGATGCATGAAAACGAACAACAGAAGCCGTTAAAACTTTCAAAAATAAAGGTTATGCACTGGTGCTCACCAATGTACGAATCCATTTTCCTGCCGCAGTACAAATACAAGCCTTGCATTTTATCGAGCTCTGATTTCAGGGAAGACACTTGTTTTTGGAGTCGCTCGTGGTCCTACATCAGAAAACAAAGATAAAGCGTCGTTTTGCTGAGGTTCAAGCGAATGAAATATTACTTAAAAGAGCCGTACACACTTCACAAAGTAGATATTTTGAAATTCTCCAAAGCAAGATCTCAAGTAATTACGAGTTGCTACCTAACCTGAGCCAATTCTTCATATTCAATTTTGGGGCGAGTCCTGGGCCGGGCCATGAGTTTCCCTTTGAGGGGATTGCTAAGCGACTTCAAGCTCTTTCCAGGACCGGCCGAGTGCGTCCCAGAGTCCGCGCGCTCCCTCAACTCGGGAGCTGGAACAGAGGCAGGTCGGGCTGGCCGTGGACTGTTGGAGAAGAGCTCCTCCTCTGAACCAGCCCTGTTATTGAAGCTGGAGAACTGTTGACTAACGGTCTTCCCAGCAGGCTTCACAGATGCAGGTCTTGTAGGTTCAACAAACTGCTGATATCGCTTGGTAAATGACGTGAAAGCAGATTGCGGCCTATTTGGTCCCTGTTTCTACGGCAACAAAAAAGCTTAAGGTAGAAATGGAAAACGCTTAAGCTGGGCACATCAGAGAAGATCAATTTTGAAAAAACTTTTCTGCACCAGAATATGGTTAAGAATAATACTCAAGAATGTTTTATTTATCCTGAAAGGTCACGTGACAAAAAGTCTTACCTTTCTCGGTGCAAGTGTCCCGGATGAGTCCAAGGGATGAGAAGCAGACGGACCTGACATGCCGGGACTGGACTGAGTAGATGACGCCTGGAAATAAAATGAAGAGACAAAGATGTTAAGGTAACAGTTTTCTCCAAAGCATGCTGTTGCGCAGAATTCAAGAAAACCTCGACAGCGAGAGAAACGAGAGTGTCGTGAAAAAGGTTTTACTGAGCAAAAACAAAAATCGCTCTGCACGTGCGTTTTGAAACTCCTTGCATTTTCCAGCCGCCCTCTGAAAAACAGCAACGTGAAATCATCGAACTATACCATGTCTGAGATCAGAAACTCTCACAGCAACTCATTTACTTTTGCAAAGCGAACTCAACTCTGCATTAACATTTAATGCTGCAAAAAAAAGGTCAGTCGCGTTTACCGACCTGCTCGCAAGATTCTTAGAAGAGATGGAAGCTCATTTTTAAATCAAAGTTTTTCTAGGTGTAGCCGTCGTGATATCTTAAACTACCTATCATTCAATCTCGTATGGTATTCTCCAAGACGACCGGCACAACATTGATCTACGAGTTTCTGGAAGCATAAAAAGGACAGAGAACACCGTTTCAATCACAACTCACCTTGTTCTCTCTCATCGCTAACGCCGCCTTGACGTAATGGTACACGTCATCGTAGACACGTGGGAACTTCATCAGGTAACCCATACAAACCGTGTAACTTCCTGAAAGCACTGCAGACACACAAAATTCAAGTGTAAGTTTTAAGTGGCCAATGCAAATCAATAATGTTCGCAATAAAAATAATGCGATGGATAAGCGCAGACAAGAGTACAATTTCCGTTCATGGAAATCTACTACTGAAATGGGAGTTCTCCATCGTCCTTCTTCAAGGATCTGAGCAACCGTTCGTGATAAAATGCTGATAAAATATTGCCCGAGGTCGTTATCTTCGTTATTTGTAATCTGTCTTAAGTTCCCCACCTTTGAGGGGACTTCTTAATCTTTGAAAACCTCATTTATACTCAATATATATTGAAAACCCATTTATACTCTTGGTTGGAGAGAGACATTGTGAGAGGAAAGTGTCCTGCCCAAGACCACAACATAATGACCCGGCCAGATCTTGAAACCTAGACTCTCAACCCCAGGACTATTAGACCACTGTGTCACCCACAGTTTACTCCTTGGGGTCCTTAACCCTTAAACTCCCAAGATGTGATTTTATATTATATATATATATATATATATATATATATATATATATATATATATATATATATATATATATATATATATATGTATGCATACATATTCCGGTAAATTATTTAAGTCGCAAATAAACAAAAACAACAAGTCAAAATATCCTTAATGCTCTAGTTCTTTGGGCCATTTCAGTTATGATAGAAATGGAGTACACACAGACTGCAGTGACAACACACCGAAAGGAACAAGCATTTCGCGAAAATGTGATTTTATAAACGACGTTTCGTGCGCTCTGGCTCCACCAAACCCATCGTTCAAGCTTCCTCTTGCTACAAGAGGAAAGGCGTCGGCAAGGAATTAAAACTCTTTAATAATGTCGCCATTTTGTACCGTAAAAACCTTCGTCAAATTAAACTTACGTTTTTTTCTAATGGCTTTGAGCATGCTAATGTAAATATAATCTACCAAGTCCAACATGGGACCATCAGCGAACAAAGCATCCCATAGCACGAGAACGTCATCCATTGGAAACTCACGTCCAAAAAGTAGGCGAATCCAGCGACTGCCGAATTAAAACAAACATATAAGAAGTAAAGATACCATTAATATATTTTTGTGCTTCCTGACATTTAAGGTGATGCCGCCCCCCGGCGACGAAAAATTATTATTTCACCAGGTTAGGCGACTATTTCAATGGGATATCATATCTGTATCTGTCAAAGTAGATTCCAAATAGGAGTTGAAAGCAATCTGGGATAGCGGTTGTTTGTTTTTTACTTACAGTCCATACACTTGTGGAGTAATTTCCAAGTTCCTCATGTGAACCCACAACTCAGGGTCGTGTTTCCTCAGCATGTGTTCTTGAATTCGATTCAGTTTCTTTACAATGGCTGTCGACTACACAATTAAATAAATGTTACCTCTCAAACGCAACAAAAATTTTTGCGTCTTTGTGGGTCTGACTGTCCGATCGATTAAACCCAAGACTAACTAAAAAGGAATTTTCTCCTTACAATATCAATAAGCTGTCCAGTAGAAATGTAAGGAGAAGCTAGGGCAGGATGACGAACCAAATCGCGTCGTGCCACGGAAACCGGGATAAAAAGTACTTCCCCTATCCCAATGAACCTCTCCCAAGGGCGATTACATTGACAATGGATACCCTGATACAAACCACACTGTAAAAATTTGCGGAATACAAAATTGTCTGTCCTGAACACCAGGTTAGTAGTGTGCATGTTGAGTGTAACTTACTGGAATGATTTCTTGATCTGTGAACGGTTCAACATGTGGATCCAAAAACTAACAGCAAAAAGTGCATTGACAAAAAAAAAAGTGTCAAATCATGTGGCACTTCTGAAGTGTGAAAAAAAAGAGACATACACAAAAATGAAAATAATAACAAAAATAAAATAAATAAATTAACTCAAATTGTGTTGACTTTCAGAAAGTTGTAACAAAATCTTCCCAGCAAAATTCACAAACCACAAGCACAGCCCATGTTTTATCACGTTACGCAAAACACAGGACGGGTGTACTAACCTTATTTCTCTCAGGAAGTCCTTTCACAGGTAACTGAAGATACCAAGTTTCTGTCTGGTCCATGAGTTGAACAAACAGAGCACTGATGGCACAAAAATATACCAATTTTTTATTTTTCCATGAAACAAAATTAAGACACAATACTCGGACCACAACACTTATAAAAACACGATACTATGTGATACAATTAACAACTACATTACAGGAACTGGCTTACTCCTTAAAAGTCTGTAGTTGAGCCTAGTGGCACAACCAGCCGCAGCTTCTCCTGATTTCCATGGAGCATGAAGTGACTAGGTGAGTTACTACTCCCCCCTGGCTGGGATGCTAGTCCATAACAAGGTTACCCCCCCCCTCCAGAATTTCATCAGGCTTCCCTGACAATTTGCCAGAACCCATTTATACTCTTGGTTGGAGAGAGACATTGTGAGAGGAAAGTGTCCTGCCCAAGACCACAACATAATGACCCGGCCAGATCTTGAAACCTAGACTCTCAACCCCAGGACTATTAGACCACTGTGTCACCCACAGTTTACTCCTTGGGGTCCTTAACCCTTAAACTCCCAAGATGTGATTGTCAATTCTCCCCTCTAGCTTCTTTAGATTTTCTTGTAAATTAGCTATGAGAATTTGGTGTTAGATCAAGATAAGAACTTCTAACTGATAAGTTTGGGTATTCTCATTGCTTGTTTGATGGATAATGTGGGAGTTAAGGGTTAAAATCATCTGTTTTTAAGTCTTAATTCCAGAAAGTTCCAGTAACCAAATGCAAACTACATTTAAGTTGAGTGACCAATTGAGAATCTCTCCTTAGAAAATCAGACAAGTAATGAGAAAGAAAAATAACAATTAGGGAATTATCAGTTGATCCAATATCAAATTCTCTGATCCAATATCATAAGAATTGTATAGCAGACAGTAAGGAGAATTACAAAATGAGATCTGGAATCTTTTGATGAGAAAAAATAATAAAAAAACAAGAACACTCACAAAGCATCATGCTCTAAGTATTTTGGGTCCATAAGAACTTTGGCAATCCCCCTGTGAAATATACACAAATAGTATTATCATTTTACCTTCCTAGTGCATGCAATTTAACAGAACAAACAAGAAAACATCTGTGAATTTTAAAAAGGAGCTCACTTACAAGCTTGAACCTTCAATATGCTGATAGATCATCGCATCTTTTGTTAGGACATACACAATTGGTGCAAGAAGCTCATGCATTCCCTGTGAATAGTTGTAAAAGAAATTCATGAAAGGCTGAGGTTTAAGTTAGGGCACATGATACACCTCTTAACCGATGGTTTAACAGAAAAATATATGCAGATATTTTGATAAAGATTATCCAACGGTGAAATCATAACTGACTGGGGTTCAAATTCTCAAAAGTAACACAGGGTTCTTCTTTGTCTGGATTATGCTCGTAACAAATATTTAAAACCCTGAACATTGTACCTGCTTATAGCTCAAAGCTTCATTCTTTTTTGCATGACAAAACAGTATGTTAAGCATCATTTCCCTGAGAAAAAAAAAATATGTTCAACATAGGGACTAAGTGGTTATCTCTCTGCAAAACTTAAGCCTCTTGAAAGCCTTAAACCAATAAGAGTGATTGGTACAGTGTAAATTTTTTTTCTCTTAAACATCACTCCTGAATCACACACTTGGGTCACAAAAACAAAGAAAATGATCACTACCAGTAAAGAAGCTCATGATTGTTAAACAAATTCTCCTTGTCAGCACCTTACTAAATGCATAGAAGACAGTATGGAGAAAATGCAAACTGGTGATAAGGTGGATAGTGTTAAATGCTCTACTTACTTCACTTTTGACTGCTGGAAAAACTCAATTTCTGGAGATCTGCAAAATATATATATAAACCAGGAAATCAAAGTGAGATCAATCTCTGTCATTTTTGTTTACAAGTGTTTATTGCTAATTTGAACTACTTTGACTAAGAATTACTTCTCAAGCATTATTGCATGGGCACACATCATACACCAGTATAAGCAGAAACTATTAGTAACATAGTCCAGTACTTCTTACTGTTTTACTGACTATAATCATCACAGCAAACTATCTCTCAGTAGATCTCTGAGTAAAACCCAATAGTCAGTTTTCAGTTGCATGCTTGGTTGCCAAGCCTTTGAACAGAAGTGAGACTAAGGATGAATGCTGTGATAAGAACAATGCTGATTTTCAAATTAAATTAATATGTTATTATGCCAACTAGATACTGGTCTCTATCACAATAAGGTCACCCTCAGCCTTACTCCAAATCAAAGGCTTGGCAACTAAGTAGCTGTAATCTTGGCAACTGTAAAATAGCCTATTGGAGGATGCTGTACAGATGTATATTCAGTAGATTCCCACTGAGACATGGTAACAGCTCATTTCCTCTGACTGGTGACTAAAGGAATCAAAGCTCTAGACAAGCATCATACAGTGGTTTAGTTTTAAATTACTTCTAATCAGATCTTATTTACACTCCAAGCTTTACCCATTTTGCTCAGTAGTTTTATTATGGAAACTAAAACCAAACTTCTGGTGACATAGTTATGAGTTAAAGACATGGAATAAAGTAAAGGTAGGGGCTACCCAAGAACATAACACATTGACCCGGCCAGGTCTTGAAACTGGACCTCTTGACCAGAAGTCCAGTGCACTGACGATTAGACCACTGCATCCCCCACAATGTCAAAAAGTTGAGCTTGTAGCTGTCTTGATACAACACAGCTTACATGAGGAATTGACTTACAGTCTATCTAGATCCTGTTTGATTGTGGACTTCAATTCATTATCTACAAAGTACTGTTTCCATGGGCTCTAAAAGGTAAGAAAAATTATATCTACATGTATCATAATTACAACTGATTTGTTAAACATTCAGCAATGACAATGCTGCATCACAAGTTCTTAAATGTACAGGCCCCTGTTGTTTGAAGGTCAGGGAACACTACTCACTGGATAGCAATTTATCTGTTGGATAGCATTATCCGCCCTTTATATAACTTGGCCCAGGTTATTAGTAATGCAATCAGAATTACATTAACTAGTATAGTAACAGTGTAAGCTGTCAGTGTGAAGGATGAAAAAAGGAACAACAGAGCTGTAGCAGCATTCAAAATTCTGCTGTTAAGCTCAAGCTTGATGTAAGATTGACCAGATTAAAGAATTGAAGTATTGGCCCAAGATGGATATTCAATGCATGGCATCCTTCAAAACTCTTGAACTGCTTGAAGTTCTCATTGATAAGCTACTTGCAAAAAGACTCTAGGACAAGGTTTCAGGCACTCTTACCGCAAAAACGTATTCATTTCATATCATGTTTTTTTCCATGCCTCACACAATTTTACTTACAGCTTCCTCTTGTGAGAGAGGATTAAAGACTGACAAATCCAGGTCCTCATTCTTTTCCTTATTTGGATCAAACAGGCACTGAAGTCAAAGAACACATAATATTATTTCATGATTTAGTAGGAAAGCATTGCTTAATATAAATAGTAGACCTTTAGTTCAATTTTCTTTTGCAACAAAACTGAATGATGACATGTGGTAACCAGAATGGCCAAGATACAGAGATGGAGGGGGAGGGGGAACTAAATATTGTATTATTTTCCTTGAATAAACACACACACTCTATTAAATGCCCTCCCAGAAAAAGTGCCAACCCAAGGCCATAATATCAAACAAGCACCCTCCTCTAAAAAGGGCACCCTTATCCTCCTTCACTTTCTTAAATATTAGGCATACACGGAAAACCTTTTTCTGTTGCCACTTTGAATTATTTACAACTTTTTAAGCTTCAACTATGTGGGATCAGTGAAGGTTCATAATTTCTTAACAAGCACCTCCCTCAGTTAAGCAACCACCCTTCAATCAGCACCTCTCCTTTCAGCCAAAATTTTTAGATAAGCAACCACGTGGTTTTTCGAGGAAATATAGTAAGCAGGCATGATGGGTATGATTGTATTGCTCTCCCAATTCTAATGATCAAACTTTGTGCTTTCTGCTCATATAACCTCCACCACCCCCCACATTGAATGCCAGCCACATAAGCTGGAGATGTAATGGCATTATGGTTAGCATGCAGGACTTCTCATCCCTGGATCCAAGCTCAAGTGCTCATCATTGTGTTGTGTTCTTAGGAAAAACACTTTTATCTCTGAGTGTCCTTCTCCAAACAAGAGTTAAACATTTGGGTACTAGCAAAATATCAGAGAACTCTGATACTATACTGGTCAGGATAAACATACTTACTAGCAGCTGTAAGCCACTGGGCCTCCAACCCTTAACAGTATCAGGAATATCATTATTACCATATCCCCAAGATATCAAAATTGACAACCCAAATTCTTTTTTTTCAATATTTATTATCAATAAAATACATAAAAAACCCTTACCTTATCTCTCACAAAAAAAAATAAAAAATTGGCTGATTGTATTGAGCGGAAACTGATTTAAAAACTTCTGTTGCTGTTATTTAATATTTTTATGGATAAAATATGGAAATATCTTACATTGTTCTTGAACATGGCATAGTCATTTCTGAGTTTAGCTGTCTTTGTTATCCATTCATCCTTTCGTTCAGGGAGACACTCCAAGAAAACCTGAGAAAAATTTGTATGATCATAAAATCAATAATTAAGCCACAAGGTCCAATTAATACTTACATAAAAAAGATATATCTCATGAACCCTTTCACCATCACAATTCTGTCTTTTATATATTTGTTAGGATTGTAGCTCTGAGAATTAGGAGTTAAATCAAATCATGTTCCCCAGATGAGTTTTTTCTATCTTGCTATGCACTCAACACATCACCAACAACCTGCACTTTAGTTCAGTCCTAATAGCTTCAGCTGGTTTATAGAAATTGAAAAACCTAAAACCTACAAAATATCATCTCCCTACTCCTCCTTACACACCCCCCTCCCCCCTCCTCAACACACACAAAAAAGAGGATTTCATGCCTGAATAATGAATACCAATTGATACCAATTGCACATACTTTCCAGCAAATACTCCTAAACTTGCACAACCGAAGCTTGCCATCCAAAGCATGTTGTCTGATCTAGGAATCAAAGGGAGAAAGTCATTATATTAAAGTCAATTTTTTTTACATCCAGGGATACTGATATAAGATACTCATACATGAAAAAGACACCAGCACTTCACACACAACTTCCTTTTTGCAGTGGGTATTTGGCCAGCAGCACTTTGAAGAGAATACATCACTCTTCCTTTTCCAGGGATTGTAAGACTGTCATTGACAGTAATCTTGAATTTTTCTGAACTACCCCTGATAAAAAGAGAGGAGTGTCTTACCTTAGTGTAATATGTAGTTGAACCAAAGAGAACCTCCCACTCTCTCCTTAAAAACAAATTTGAACAACAATAAGAACATTGTAAGAAAAAAACTGTCTTTGTCACATAAGGGAGTTAAAGGGTTAACTTGAATATCAGGTTTCATAATGGAAAGCAAAACGTACTCTAAGGTTTTCTGCTCCTCAGACAAATGAGCCACTGAACTGGCTGAGCTGTAATCTGAGTCAATTTCACTTCCATCAGCAGAAATAAAACTGAGTCTTTGTGTACCCAGAGGATCTTCAAGAAATGACAATCTTCCTAGCACTGAAGGATCATCTGCAAAATGCAATTTAAGTTGATAACATGTAGTGGTTTCTAAATATATCAAAACTCTCTTTTTCAAGTTCTGCTTTTTCACATTATAACTTTTTTATCAATAGCATACAGGTAGAGCAGTTTTCCATTGGGTAATGAAAAACCAACACAAACTGGGTAAAACCAGCCACCATATTACAATTAGGAATTACATTATCATTAACCAATGAGGACTCAAAGTGAAATCAAGAAAACTACATGAAGCCTGGGAATATCTGAGTGACTAAGCTGTGATTGGATTTAGTTTGAATCTGATTGGTTGAGATGGTGGCACAAAGCAATCATGTTTGTTTCATAAACAAAAAGTAATATATTCACACTTTTGGCAAGTAAAAAAATAAACTTTCTTTACTAAAAAAAAAAACTTTCAAAAACCTTAAAAAATTAATCAACCACATCCATAATCACTACCATTAGCTCTTAGAAAAATCTAAAATTAATAATGATCTTAATTCAAGAAACAAAGATATGATGGGTTACAAAAATAACTGAAGTTTAGAAAACCCCCAGATTTGAATACAATTTTTTATTTTGACTGATCTCATTAATATAAATGACCACAAAACCATAACCTTAATAAAAAACAATGCTGTGATAGATTGTGTAATTAACAGAAGTTCGAGAAGAATCCTACATTTTAATGCAACTTTATACTTTGACTGTTCTCATCCACATAAAATGATTATAATAATTGTAGATTTTTTGTACGATAGCGACATCATGTTATAGATGTCTAGCATTGTTTTGATCCCAAAGGATAAACCTTAACACTAAACAAAAAAAATTGTTTTCTCAGAAATTAATGGCAGAACAAAAATAACTTGTTTCTTCTTTCTCAGTCATGTCAAAAAATTATTTGATTCATTTATAAATGCATTCAAGAAATTTAAATTATTGACATTGCATTAGTGTTTGATGCACACAGTCATGATCAGTTTGCTCATTGTCTGCTGCCAACAGAAACAATAATTTCTTCATGACTACTGTCTGTTGTTTTAGAAAGTGTTAATTTTAGGACAAAATATGATCATATTCCAATGGGAAGAAAAGAAAATTCAATACCATTATTAGAATATAGTTTTTGTTACTCCAAAACTTTTTAGATTAGATCAATTTTAAGGTTAAAAAAATAAATAAAGACAAGACTTTTTGAATTAAGTATGATTTCAGAACCATGATTATTCAGTCTTCAAAGATCTAAAAATGCTTAATATACATGCATGAACTACATATGACAGTTTTGAATTCTTAATTATCAGAACCTGGATTTGCATCAGTTTCTGGGATTTTCTTCAACAGAAAACTATTTATCTAGGATACTGAATTATTAAACATGATAGTCCTTCTTGCTTTCTTGGTAATGAAATAATATTTCTTCCGTCAGAGGAGACCGACTTAAAACTAACTGAAACAAATCGTACTGCGACGAGAAAATCGCGCAAAAAAAAACAGATTTGGATAGGCAATAAAAACGCTCATCTTCACAAGAAATTACCACACAGTTTCATCCTTGTTAAAGGAAAAAACAATTTTACATTTTATTCAGCGACCATTTAAAAAAAACTGCGCTGTAAAATGTTTTGATAAACTACCCTTTGGAAGAAAATGGCTTCATTAAATCTAAAAAAAGCTAGGACGTCTTGAGACATTTTTACTTTGAATCGAATTAAATTTAAACAAAATAAGCTTAGTTCTCTTAGTTAATCTTTAGTTCAGTGCGCTCACTTCAACCTCAAAGTTCACTTCAGAATTAATCTGAGTTGATTTGATTTCAAGCGCAAAACTATTATTTATACTGAAACGGAAAATCGACTTCATGTGTCAATTTTTTCCCAAGAACCGGAATTGAAATTGGACCACCAGCATATATTGTCGTCTGCAAAGTTCACTGTATGCTCATTCGAAGTGAGTTCATAACGTCGCACATAATAAAAAAAATTGGTAATTCCGGGAAGAAAGCTGACGAAAATATCTCTCTATTCGAAGACTGAATAAGTCAAGATCGACAATCCATTTATAACGTAACTTCAATAAGGTAAATGACATGACGCATATCACATGAAGCAACATTGTAACTGATTGTAAACATCGGGTCGATCGAATAAGATCTTGATCAAGTTTTCCTTCACACATTTTCAAACTAATACCGCTAAACAAATGTACTATATTGTTCTTTACCACATACAGACATAGCGGAAAATTGTCATCACTTACGACAAAACTAACTCAAATCGAGACTTCCGATGCCTACCTCTGTCTTCCCCAACAGGGCTTGGAGTTTTGGAGCCATTACCGAAACGATCTAAAGCTTTCAATATGTCGTCCGATGAGATATTATTTTCCTTTCCTGAGCATTTATCCATTTCATTTAAGAGTTTAGGCGCCAAAAATTGCTGTTTCGGGTTGGAAAGATCCTCTGTATCGTGTTAGAGGTGGTTCCTCTCCTTTCTTAGAATCCATATTGCCACTCCGATGGAATCATTGCGGGCTCAGATTAACCAGTCTACACTCTACGATCAAATGTCATTTTCTCCCTAGAAACCCAATGACTTACTGGAAACTAGGTTTCTTTCCAAAAGAGAAGAGATCGCTCTCCATTAATATGGTTACATTATTAGATACGCAAATAAACGTTAAGAGAGAATTCGTGCTCGAGTCGGGTTGATTTTCAGGATGTCCACGGGACATCTATAAAGTGGAGCAAAGTAGTGACCCTCTCCGGCCTCACTGGGATGGTTGTGGGATGACGGAGGAGACATTTGAGTTTGGGTTTGGCCACCATAGAGAGATTATAAGCAAGCGATTCGAGTGTCAGCCCTCTGAGTAGATTTTTTATCATTTATTCTGTTTTACATGTTTTAGCAACACAACAAAAAGAACCCTAGCCGATTCAGCAACCATTTGCAGGTAGCAAGATCAGGCTAGGAGAGTATATCATGCTGTAGAGGGTCTTTAGAGTCTCTATAGACAGGAAAGATTGAAGAATATTTATCATCCAGCATGAGAATCTTGCAAATGAGGGTTTAAAACTGATGTGAAGGATTTCAAAATTCTAACGGACACTTAGAGGTGATGAAAATCGCGGAACCTGACATCAGGCAACAGTTATTAAAACAGTTTGGGATAATTCGATAGCATTACACAAAGACTCTTCCCAGACCACACTAATCCCTTACTCAGCGTGTTTACCTATTGCTGTTGTTCCGGGTTCTCATTCTGTATGCATGTTTGTCAAGCCTACGTTTTTGTCTGGGATAAATTATTCTTATTAATGAGATGAAGGTTGTCTTCGATGATCTGCTTCAACATGCTGAGGAATCTTTGATCAGGACGGCCGATCGACGGCATGCGGTCCAGTTGTAAATTTGTGTTTGAACAGCTGAATTGAACTCAGTCAAGTCTGCAGGTGATGACTATCAAACATATGACGTCCTTTCCTAGTGATATCTTTGTTTATATATTTCTTAATCCTCAATTTGTGTCTTTCCTTCAGTTGAGAGATGGGGTCGGGGGTGAGTTCGAAGGGTACCCGGGCGACTGTACACGCAGTTGTGGGTACTGTCAGATTGAAAAAGAATACGCCTTCTCGTAAGTCTTCAGCGTCAGACTTGGCTCCAAGCGAAGGACAGACTACTCAGGCTGGGGGTTCCAATGATATGGAGGTCGAAGGAAGGTACTGCTGCAAAAGTAACTCTACTTTACTCTTACTTTTGACTTTTCATAATTTAATTTGGTGATTGAATATTGAACCCGGCAACGAAACTTCTCAATCAAAATCAAATTAACTTTTTTCATCTAAGGCCAAGTTCAAACGCCGAGTTCGCATGGCTGATATTACCATTACTGCACAAAATCAAAGGTTACTCTCACTTATTTACAGAAATGATCAAGATTCAAGTTATCACAAATGTAAAGTACAAAAGATAGATATAACGTGAGTCACTTCAAATGAATAGAAATGATAGACTTCACCGAAAAAACTCAAATTGTTACTTACTGAGTCTTGGTAATTAGACACTGGAGCTTAAATTGTCAAGAGTCCATTAGTCGTAATTTTGTGTCTGAGATTATCTACTAAGTGAAGGGAATTGACTTAAGGGAGTCGCAAGGTGTTTGCACAATAACAATTACAAATCAAAAACCAACAAATAACCAAATTAAACTAAAAGCATATTTGAAAAACGTATCCTTTTATGAACTCTCAATAAGTCTCTCTCTCTAAACTCTCACTCATTTTGCTCGTTTCTTAAGAGCAGCAAACAAAAGTCTTCCTCTTCAAACTTTCTTTGGCAGCTTTAAGATTAACCCTTTAACTCTCATAAGTGACCAAGATAAAATTTCTCCTTACAATATCTATACAATATCAACCAGATAAGTAATGAGAATAAAGAAAAAGATCACTTTGGGGATAATTAGTTGATTCAATACTAAATTCTCCGAACTAACATTATAAGAATTGTATAGTTGACAGTAAGGAGAATTACAAATTTGATCTGGGAGTTAAAGGGTTAGTAATCCTATAACTGTGATTCAAGTCCTTCATTGAATTTTCTTAACCCTTTAACACCTGAGATCTGATTTCTAATTCTCCCTTCCAGGTGCTACACATTTCCTTGTAAATATTTGCAATAATTTGGTATTAGATCAAGATAATAACTTCTACCTGATATGTTTATGTATTCTCATTACCTGTTTGCTGAATAATGTATGGATATTATAGGGAGACATTACATGTCAATCACTTTTGGGAATTAAAGGTTAAAGAGACTATATAATCATTCTGTGTTACAGGCAATTGAAAAGTAACAAGAAGTCTGTTCCTCAGACTTCAACTACCACCACAAAAGAATCTTCTAAAAAAGGAAAAGAGAAAGCAAAACCCAGTGAGTCAAAAAATTCTTCTCCAAAACCTGTTAAGCCAGAAAAATCTGGTGATAAGGGCAAACCAGCTGTAAATAAAGTCACAAAAACTTCAGAGTCAAAGAAACCTGCATCAAAAACTGTTTCACCGAAGAAAGCTCCAAATGGTAATGACCAACAAAATGTTGCTCGTAAGAGTGTCCAGCTCTCAACTGGGTAAGTTTGAATCATATAATGTGATTTATTTTGCATGTATGTTACCGCAGTTTAAATAAGGTACATGTATGTCATGTCATTTTGCAGTCAATAGTTGAGTTTTGTACAAAAGCCATTTTTGACTTGTTAACAGGCCTCTGGTAAGAGGTTATTTTTGCAGTCAAAACAGGCTTAAGTATCCAGTTCCTTTTATGAGGATGTGGCTCTTTTAGGGCAGTTACTAGACTTTGTAAAGAGGTAAACCAGTTTTACTATGAATGTAACAAATTTTCCCAAAGTAATCATAGTAGTCAGTGGATATGTTTTTGTTTTCTAGATCTGATTTAGGTCAAAGGGTTGAGAGAGTTTTGAGAGGTTTCATAGAAGAAAACTGCCCTCTGAATTCAAGGACCGTTCGTATCTTCCTTAGCTCCACATTCACTGGTAAGGAATGGCACTTAACATTACTTAGCTAAAAGGGAGATGACTTGAACCAAATGGGGGAAGAACACACTTCCTTTTATATGGTGTGTAGGCTGTATGGTATGTTGGAGATACAGAGTGATTAAAGGTACTGCTAATGTTTAGTCCATCTTGTGTTCCTGTGTTGTATTACATTATAAAGATAAACTATGTTCATTGTTTTCTAACTTGTAGACACAGAACATGAACGTAATGCTCTCATGGAACATGTGTATCCAAAACTGAGACAATTTTGTGAGAAGAGAGGCTACGAATTCCAGGTGAATCTCAGCTGAACAGTAATTAATTATTGTATTAAAGATCTTTTATTAGTTGCTGGATTCTACGTAACCATTTACCAGCCTCAGAGTTGTGGGTAGAATTCTAAAATTGAGTATTTTCTAGATCATATTCTTTGTTGTATGTTATTAATAACTCATCCTCAGACTCTGTTACTGATCAAAACCAATCTGTCAGTGAAGGGTTTTCATTTATAAGAAATATCATGTGAGGGGTAAAATGTAATGAAAAATAACTGTAGAACATAATCCAAGTGTTGGTGAAAAACAGTAGTTTGTAATTTTTAATCTGTGTTGTAGGCAGAGAATTCTCTGATCTCCTGAATGCTTACCAAACAGTCTAAATGTAAATAACATATGCACTTAAGTTAGACTTCCATGTCATGAATTATCCATGCATCTGTCAGTATTTGGTTGATATTGAAGTTGGTCGCTGCTAGATGAAGGGTGAGAGAAACTGGATCAGTAGTCAGTTGATGTCAGAGAAATGTTCTTAGCCATTGGTTATCAAGGCATCAAGACTGACATTGACCAACCATCAGTCAATTAAACAGACTATTTAGTGACAGATACCCCTCACTACCAGTAAAGGGCATGATCTAATAAAAAGATTCTTAATATGCGATACTTCTTATAACAAATTAAGCACCAATCTCATGACTTTTTTGGTTTTTTGTTTTTTTTTTAACTTCAGGTTGTAGACATGCGCTGGGGAGTACGAGATGATGCTACAGATGCACACATGACAACTGAGCTGTGTTTACGGGAAATCAAAGCCTGTCAAGAAATCTCTGTTGGACCAAATTTTGTGGTGAGTATTTGGATTGATTGAAAACTCATTTTCCTTTCTTTAGAGGTTAATCAAGAGACCTCTATTATATGCTTTGAATTAATTAATACCTCTTACATTTAGTAACTGATTGTCATTTGATTTCCACATAAAAATAACAACAACAACAACAAAATTTAATTACCTAGTTAGGAATTAAAATACTTAATTATCTAACAATCCCTACCTGCAAAATAGCAAGGCTAATTGAGACTGGAGGGAAATAAACATTACAACAAATTCTTCAATAAAAAGTTTGCCTGAACTAAGGAAATGACTTAGGGTGCATTTAATTTATACTTTACAAGTGATTTCTATTTTGTGGACTTTTCTTTTAACAGACTTTGCTGTCAGAAAAGTATGGTTATCGACCCTTAATGCCATCAATTACTGCTCAGGAGTTTGAGTTGATTCTCAGTAAAGGCTCTGAAAACAAAATACATGAACTTCTTACCAAGTAAGAAAGGAAGCAGTGGAGAAGGCAGGGAGGCTTATTTAATTTATGCTAATCCTAGCAGATATGAGGTTTTTTTTTTTTGTATGACAGCATTTAATGTATATTTAGAGAAGGCCCTTTTGTGTACACAGGTGGTAATTCAAGGATTTACCCTGATGGGTAAATGTCCTAAATTCGTCCAACAGGCTAAATACTCACAAGGCACTTAATTTGATGGCTTTTATATCTTTTGGTCATACAAGTCTGATATCAACAGGTTTTTTTTATGATTGTAGGTGGTACAAGATGGATGAAAACTGTTTTCCTGTATCATACATTCTCCAGCCAGTAACAACTTGGATACCAAACTTCCTCAATGATAGCTGTGATCTGTCTCAGAAGGAAGAAGCACAAAAACAGTGGGAGAGTGAATATAACATGATGAAGGAATTTCTCCAGCAAGCTGCCAAGGAAGTTTTAAATGATGAGGATATCTGGCAGAAATATGTCATATCAGGTAAATTGATCCAAAGCATGCAATTTTTATGTTGCAGCTGAATTTTTATCTCGGGGAAAAGCTTATTAAATTTCTCAGTCTTTCAGCCATGACTTTAAATTTTTACCAGCATTATGAAACAGATGAAATTATTCAGTGTTTTTCAAATGTTTAGTTATTGTCTTTGAGAATGTTGTATCACTTTTTAGTTTCTGAGGTAGAAATTAAACAGGGACTCCTTCAAGTTGAAAACCCAAAACGATCTTGTGTCTGGTTTCACCGTGCAATCAATGGACTGGACTCTGATTCAGACAACCCAGAAGCGTTGAAATATACTGATCATTGTCCAGGTGGAATTTGTCTTAATGATGGTGCCCATCCTCAGGCTCTTCTACACAACTTGAAAAATGAGAAAATGAAGGAAGCTGTGGATGCTGAAAATACTTTCGCCTACAATGTTACTTGGACACCAAATGGTGAGAATTTTTTAAAATTATTATCTATTCTGTGCAGTATTATTGATCTGATAAATGTATTATGAGTGAATTTATATTTGGGCTTTATTAAATGAAAAATATGATGCACATAGAATTATTAAAATTCACACTTTTTTTCATTACTCTTGATTTCTTGGATTGGAACTTTGTCAAATTAAGTACAACTTCCCTGTTATATTCGCCAAACTTTTCATGTCCTAATGATGATCATAGTTACACTGTAGTTTGATATCTAAGCAGCTGTCATGGCCGGTGAAGGCAAGGGAAGTATGAATCCCTTTCATTAGACCTGTAGGTTTTATTACTATGCCATGCAAGAATTTCAAATTGCTAATTACTTTGCTGATTCATTCCCACCCCTCCCCTCATCAAAAATGGGGCAACTGTCCCATATCCCAGTTTTACCAGCAATGAGGCAGTCTCTCCCCACCCCCCTGCCACTCAATGGGATTTGTCATGTACATGTAGCTCGTCACATGACTAACAAATCACTTGTTTTTATCTTAAGGTATTGATCCAAGTATTGATGAACACAAGAAATATCTTGATCAGTTTTGTAAAGACTTTGAGAACAAGATAAAGGAGATGATATCAGCGGGTATTTCTGAGCACAAAGAGGCTGAAAAAGACAATTTACTGTACTCTGAAGTGGTGCAGCACACACTGTTCTGCAAGAGGAAACTTCAAGTTGTTTATGGAAGAAAGTCAACCGTTGGGGTAAAAACATTGGAATTACTAGTCAAGAATCAATGATCCTACTGTAGAAGCACGCCTGCTAAAACTTGGTTAACTCAAACTTTTTTAGTCATTTACCAGCTTAAGTTGTTGTAACTAACATTTTCGCCATATTACCGTCATCATCCTCCTTTACCACTGTCACGGTCCTCATTACTCTCATGATTGGCATATGATTAACCTCAAAGGGTTTTTGCACCTTCATGGCTCACTTAAAGCCCACCACAATAAGGTTTCCATGCTGTTGACACAGAGGCAGACATGTGGTAACTTCAATTCATTAACCTACAGGAAATTGAAGATTATGTCAGGAGTCCAAGTAGGTACCCCCTGGTGATTCATGGAAAGTCTGGTTGTGGCAAAACGTCCGTCATTGCCATGGCAGCCAAGTCCATAAGTGAACTGTTGGATCAGAAAGGTTGTATATGTCTCAGGTAATTAAAAAGTTTTTTACGTTCATATCAAGTACTTCCCTAGCAAACACTGAAATGACCACTGTAACAGAACTTGTTCTCATTTGGCTTTTTGGTTTGTTTCACAATGAAATTGTGACAGGGGAACGCACACTTTCCACTTTCAAGCTGATGACTTGGTTTAGCCTATACTAATACAATGGATAGCGTTGAAGACGCGCTCTTATTGGCTACTCAGACTCTGAATAACCTTTGTTCTTCACCCCCATGCAACGCGCGCGGGATTTGCGGCCGAAAATATTGTACTCTTTGCAGGAATAAATGAGTTAAAATTCTCTTTTTGCGAAAGAAAGCATCCATTCACCTTCACTTAAGTGAATAGTTGTTAATTTTTTGAGAAAAATTTCTCTTTCTGGCTTCACCGCTTTTCCTTCACCAATAATCTAAACTTCAGAAAAAATAGCAGGGAATCTTCACTTATTGTTGACTATTTAATAGTGTTTTCCTGAAAGTAAATTACTGACTCGTTGATAGTTTGCAAGATAATTCATTTTAATTATCTCGTGTTAATATTTTCATTATTATTATTATTAATATTATATCTATTGTTGTCATCGTTATTATTTTGTGTCTATTACACATCGATCCTTCACTTGTGAAACAGTTAAAGTTATAAGGTAAAAGTTTAATATTTATCAATTTGCAGGTTTCTTGGCACAACACCCAAAAGTTCCACCATCCTCCGTGTACTGAAGTCGATCATGCAACAGATTAAACACGTCTACGGGCTGACAACGAAAATTCCTCGTGTGAGTATCAAGCGCTTCGGGGGAATACTCCGGATCCAAAGATATTCATGTTCACTTGATGTAGCCAGGCAGGCGTCATAAACGCTTCAGCGCGAGCGTTTCTTCGCCGGCGAGAAAGGATTGAGGTCTTGATATACACGAGCTGGCGAGAGGTCTGGAAAGGATTTGGTACTGATAATTATTAGTGTCAGACCCCAGGCAATCCTCTCCCCGACTCTTCTCAAATCTTTCTGCGAGCGGAGAAATGCGTGTCCTGCGGTGGCTTACGTGTAGCTGTACCTTACCCACCCCCCCCCCCCCGGCCTGGTGACAGAGTGCACTTGGTCCGCCCCTAAAAACGGTTAAGCAGAGTAAACTTTCCGCCCCCAAAGAAAAAAAATTCTGTTGACTTTAAGCAATAAACCTGTATTCTATGGGTATACAGGCAAATGTACGATAGATTTTTGACCAATCAGAGGGCTCGTTGATTCTAGATTATGTGAAATATACAGATTTTATTTTGAGCCCTTGTCGTGTTCTTGGACATAACTTTGCACAGTATCTGTATTTTTACCGTTAAACTCGGCATCTAATTTAGATTTCATCGCCACCAAAATTCTCAACTCGAATTTAGGGTCCTTCCCCTCTCCTTGAAAACATGATCCTGTCCATGGCTTCACCTCAAAATAATAATATTTTTAATACCAATTCGTGAAATTTGAACCCGGAAAATGCTTTGATTGTCCCTCTGTCGTTAAAGCTGGTGAAATCCTTAACAAGATCTCATTTCTGATTGCATTGATTCCATTTTTATCGTAATTTTTTTTTTATTTCAGTCGTCCAAGGGAGTGTTTGATCAGTTCCCAAATTTTTTGTCCAGCGCTACTAAAGATAACCCATTGATAATCATCTTGGATTCTTTGGATCAACTTTCTCCACTGCATGGTGCTTGGAAATTAATATGGTTTCCAAGACAACTTCCTCTTCATGTAAAGTTTATTGTATCTACTCTTCCTGATCAAGAGTACAAATGTTTTCCAATTCTTAAGGTGAGTTTATCCGGAAATTGAAGTATTATACGGACCCCAAACTAAAACATATATCAAATTATTGATACACATTTTCAAGCAAGCCAGTAGGAGTAAATCAAAAGAGAGCAAGAATCCAGAATTGAGAGGCAGTTACTGATCTGAACAACTTGTAATCGAGTGTCAAAAGGAATCCTGAAATGATTTGAGATTTATTTGGCTTTGCTTTACTTCGCTTTATGTTGGGTCGCGGAAACTCGCGTTAATCCCGTACTTCCGAATGAGAATCTTGTTCTGATCGACAATTGTGATTTGTGATTTTTTTTCCCGAAATTAGCGCAATCATGCGCTAATTTTCCTGAACTTCTGTCCAGCTTGTTCATGAATCATTTTTATATCTCAGGCTCTCTTCAAACATCCAAAATGTTTCGTGTCGGTCCCTGAACTGTCTTCAGATGACGTGAGTGACATATTGACCAACTGGCTGAAGTCTGAGAACAGGACCCTCCAGGACCGTCAGTTGCAGGTGCTCAAAGACGCCTTCAAAAAGTGTCCCCTTCCTTTGTTTCTAAAGATCTCGTATGATGAGACCAGACTTTGGAGATCATATTCCACTATCAGTGAAACCTGTTTAGAAACGACCATACGAAAGGCTATTGACAAGCTCTTGGAAAGAGTCGAAATAAGCCATGGCGAGGTTCTTGTGCGACGCGCTCTTGGATATATTACAGCAGGTAACTTTAATATAATTCCGTAGATTATCTTGGGTAGATTATCTTGAAATTTTCCGGCAAAGATAAAAAATCATTACAGGAGTTAGGATGGAAAGGCGAGTTTTTGGCGGTAAACAGCGGACCGTGGGAAGACATCGATGGCAGGCCCTCGGGTCGAGAAAACAGAAGGAAATCCATACTAAAGGCATGTCTGCGTAGCAGACATTCAAACACCAGTGGCTCCTTGCGTTGCATTCTCTGATGAAAAGTCGTGAGAAATAGGTTTTGTTTTGTGCTTTAGAGCGAATATTTACGGAGTGGCTCAAAGAGCAAAGAAATCACGGCGGCCATTCAGAGCAAAGGACAGTTACTCAAGGAGCCAATCACAGACCTTCGTCGAGCAAAACTGGTGCAATGGATTAGTGAGAACAGTGAAGTGTACACTGTCTATTTGTTTATTTTTTCTTCTTTGCGTAATAAGATTATTATCTCCCTTTATATCCAGCTTCTCTTGGTCTCACTACAAACGAACTCGAGGATATCCTGTCTTGTGATGAAGACCTACTCCATGACGTTTTTCAGTACTGGACCCCACCGATCAGGCGTCTTCCCCCCTTGCTGTGGGTCAGAATAAGGGCGGATCTCTCCTCTTACTTAGTGGACAGGGGGGCGGATGGAACTCAGGTTACGTGTTGGTATCACCGTCAGTTTATTCAGGCTGCGGAAGACAGATACTTGTCAGATGCAGTGGAGAAGAAGCGTTTACACACCCATATTGCTGATTACTTCTTGGGAAGAAATTACGTTGGTAAGTAACCATGCTGGGGTAATTCCTTTTAGATAAAAGCTGCCGAAGCTTTTTATAAACCAGCATAAATTTTGAAATAAAGAAAAAGTGCCCTTGCGTTTAGATTCTAGCATACAAGTCACGCTTTTGAAGTTTCAGTTCGTATGCAGAGTAATTTAACACCAGAGTTAACACCATTGTGTTAAGCACTAACACACTGCGAATGTCATAGTAAATCAGGGAAACCAAAGGGAGTTACATTAGGTAACGTGAAACAGCACCTGTTAGGTGGAAACTCCGCGGTTTCTCGTCAAGAAACGTTCTTTTTGTTTACAGAGGAAGACACCAAAGAAACGACCCTGATTCACGGCAAGCAAGTGCGTTTAGCGAGTATTTCAGGACAGCCCCTGTTATTATCCAAAGGTCGTTACAATTTAAGAAAACTTCATGAACTTCCCGTACAACTGATTCGCAGCCAGATGCTAGATGAGCTAAAGAGTGAAGTTCTCTGCAACTTTGAGTGGCTAAGTACCAAGATAGAAGTGCGCACACTGAGGTAAGAAAGGAGATTAAAAAAAAACCCTTAATTTGTTGTAGCCAGCGAGCCCGCCCTCATCATTACGCTGCAGGGAGCATTTCTCCGCCTGCGGGAAGATTGGGACGAGTCGGGAAGAGGTTTTTCAGAGGTCTGGCGCTAATGATTAAATATGTTAGACCATTCCTAGACCTCTCCCAAGCTCGCCTTCCCCAAGACCTCCGCTCGTGCCGAAGAGCTATTGAAGAACTATTTTTCACCAGTGATACAGCAATAATTTTTTGTTTGTCGAATTTACAGGTCGGTGCTGGATAATTTCCATTCCGCTATGAACGCTTTCAATGATCCAGACATTGCCGCTGTTGCAGAAACTCTCCAACTCGCACAAGACGCTATTTTGAGCGACCTCAACCAATTACCAGCGCAGTTTGTAGGCAGGCTCTACGAGGTAATGCTCTCAGTGTCCTATTTGCAGCTGTAATCATGGTTTATTCTGTCTTTCGTTTGCTGTACGAGAAGATATCTTTATATCCGAAAGAATATCTTCATAATCCACAACGTTTTACACGCTGATCTAACGATTCTTTTGCCTATTTTTTACATCAAAGAGCCTGAATTTCCTTTCCATTCGCAATTCGACACAGTATTGTCGTATCTCTTAACTTCGCATGGTTATTTCTCAAGAGATTATTTAACATATTCTAAATCTTTTGATTTTGAAGCTTTCGTATTTCCCTTAGGTTCCGTTTCGTTTGTTTAATTTAGTACAATTGGCCTCTGTAAGCTTTTCAACACTTTTGTGGGTATTTTTTGGTTTTGTTTCAGTGTAAAGTGCAGGATCCATTTCATGTTGTTCCAACCAATCTATCCCCGGTAAGTGTGTGACTCTAAGCAAATCAGTGCCTTCATTGTAAGGTCAGTCACATAAGTAACTGAATACTTGTTTCCTTTCTTGGCTTGTCTTTGGTTATATACTTTTCCAAGTATGTCCCCGGTAACTTTTTTTCCCGTGCTCGTCCACGGTAACATGTTGCCGTCGCGTGTCTTTGGTTGCATGTTTTCCTGCGCATATCAGCGCTCAAATGTTTTTCCGCTCATGTAAGCGCTTTATATGTTTTCCCGCGCATGTCACTGGAATGTTGTCCCGCGCATGTCACCGGTTATATGTTTTCCCGCGCTTGTAATTGGTGGCACGCTTTCATCATCAGGTCCTAGCCAAACTAGTCCAGGATTCTCGTAACCCTCCGGAGCCGGCACTCATACCGTCCAGAGGTTTCTTAACCCCTCCTGGCGGACAGTTGGTTCACACACTCGTGGTTAACTCCGCCAGTGTATTGTATGGATTGGCGGCAACTAGCAACGGAAAATACGTTGTCACAGGTATTTTACTTTCCTTACTCGCTAACATTTCGTAGTTTAAAAAATCAACCCCAATTCTCTTAACAACCCCATTGGAGAGACTATTTCGCCCTCATCCTGAAAATTCAGGAGAGGTTGCTTGTTTAACTTAACGTAACTCTTACTAAACATCTACTAAACAACGACGATTCCATTTTTTTATTCAGGTTAGTTTTTAAACGTATAATATAAATCCTACTTTTCCCACCAATGGTTTTTTTTTAATCAATAAATAAGATCCCAGCTAATCGGTTTTTTTTTTGTGCAGGCTCACAAGAGGGAGTCGTTAAGGTCTGGGACAATAACGACGGCTCGTTGTTCCTGACCGTACCGGAGGCTGGGGATGAGATTGGAATGATCACGTGTGGTTGTGACGATGACGTCATCATCGTGTCTTCTAAGACTGGAATTAGTTTGATCTCGTTTGAAACTGGAGAAATACTTCAAAGGTGATATTTGATTGCAGTAGTTATGTTTTTGCCATGTTAGTCATAACATAGCGGTGTTTTCAATTTTTTAAAGTCGATGGTAATCCGTGAGTACACTGGTTTAACTTTAATTTTCCCTGTTATTGGTTCAGAAAACATGCACCACCCTCACAATATAATCATTGGATTCAGAATTCAAACCCTTCACTCCCAGGTCATTTACCTTTTCCCCCACTGCGTACAGTTTCCGTCTTTTTACTTTTTTTTTTTTTTTTTGCTCTCTGTGAGAACAGTATCAATTGATCGTCGAAAAACCGAAACCAAAGTGATCACTACGCCTAATCATAACAAATGAAAACGTTATCGTTGAGAACTCAAAGTAAAACAGGCAAACTATCCGGCAAAAGCGCGGGAAAACGCGGGTGTTCCAGCCACGATTAGTAGTCGATTTGCGTCTCAATGGTCGAGAGAATGGTGCGAGTTTTCTGGACCAATCAGAGAGCGAGGCAAAGCAAAAATAACTCAATTGAAAGTTGCTCTATAATCCTATGTTATGATTATATTAATCGATATCTTACCAACTTAAACTTGTCGCGACTTATGGACATCCTTTTTGATCTAAGATTCAGTTGCTTGTGATTTTACCAAATTTATGGAAGTAACATAACTTGGTTTCTTTCCTTTTCGTGAATTTGAATAATAGAGTGGAAGTCAAGTTCTTTGACGGTTGTCCTCCGTTTACACTAGCCGGCGAAAAGGGATCCAAAGTGGTCTTCCTCAAAGAAAAAGGTTTACACGTCATCTCTGCTTCTTCTGGAAAGTTTTTGCACCAATTTTCAGGCATCTTTCCAGTCGGTGGCGCAGGTCAGAACAGTTTACTAACCTCCTGGAACGACACCGTAATATGTAACTCAAAAGAAGATGAAAACTCTTTGAAGGTGATCGATACGTCTGACTACAAAATTCTTCATGCGATAAAGGTTTTTAGCGAGAAGGACGAAGAAGAATTCCTTCATCTTACCCAAGTAGCAATGAAATCTGACAACGAAGTCCTTGTTGCCAAAAAAATGAAGATAGATTTGTACTCGGTCGATAGTGGTGAGCATTTGCGAACATACAAATGCAAAATCGACGATTGGATTCGAAACTTGTCCCTGGACCCTGCCCAGAATATGCTTGTGTTTCCTAAAGAAAATAAAGTTGCCCTTCTTGATCTCGAAAGCGGTGAAAGAAAAGATGTCCTACCCCACCCTAACTTCGTTTCGAGGGTTTTTGCTGTCGGCTATGACGTCATTTTAACATCGGGCGGCGACAATGTCGTCCGTGTGTGGGACTTGACCCGAGAAGATGTCCATCAACAAGTAGAAAAACCCGAGACAGTATTGAACATTTATTCCATTCCTGGCGATTCTCGACACCTGGTAACGCTGGGACGATTAGGGATTGACAATTTCTGTGTGACCATATGGGATTTAGCGACCATGTTACCACTACGCAAAGTAACTGGTATAACAACGAGTTACCTTCAGATCATCAACGACAGAAGAGCTGCTATTCGCGTCAAAGAAAACGTAGCAATTGTGGACTTACATACGTGGAGGGTTGTCAACGTCCTTAAAGGAAAAATCCCTCCTTATGATTTCCTCGGTGTGGACGATGTCTGTGTTGTGAACGATAGCACTGAAATCCTTACCTACTCACACGATCGTAAACATTTGACGCTGTACGACATCGAAACGGGAGACCAAGTGGCCATGTTAAAATCAGGCCATGATATCCGTTCATTTCTGGTGAACTCAGAAGGAACAGTCGTCGTATGGGATGCACCCAAGCCGGCCGACCAATTGCACGTGTGGGACTTGGAGACTAGAGAGCAAATTTTTATTATCAAGAGGGAGGGGTGTGAGAGACTGACACACGCTGGGTTTACACCGGACGGTGACTATTTTGTGTCCAGTGCGAAGAAAGGGAAAAAAGAGAGCTATATCCGAGTTTCGGCGGTGTGGGATATAAGGAAAAGTGAGTATGACTAGGTGCTTTTCTTTTCCTAACGAAAATTTTATCACATGGTTTAGATAACTGACTTGCCATAAACGTGCACGGGACGATGCCTCAGGGCCTGCTAAAGCGTTTCGAAGTGCTCAAGAAATGCAGAAACAAATTTGACTGTTTAGTGTACGAAATGCTTTTTATAAGAGCTTTAAAGCCAAATCTCAACGTACAATCAGACTCCATTCGGGCGAGAGTATTTTCATGATCTTCGCACCCTTTGATATCAACCCTTTGATGTTAATTTTTCGCGCCAAAATCGCTTTAAATGCTGTAATTTGCATTATCTTATATATTTTTACCTTGATAATGGAGTCATGACTACTCCGAAACGTCGGATTGTATCGTTCGTTTTTACCGTTTTATGTTTAAACATAAAAGTGTGTTTTAAAATTTCAGAGGAGTTACTGCACGATTTGCGTTACCCAAATGATACAGACACAATCTCTCTGACAATTTTGGACAACACCCGGGTGATAACAGCACACAAAGATTTGAACATTGTTTGTTGGGATATCGAGGAAGGTAAGCTCTCTTGTCATGGGGCATGAATTCGAGTATCATAGAATATCTCTCGACTTAGTCCATGGGCTTCCCCGGCCGCGTAAACCTGGGCCCTGTTGTAAGCTGCAACATCACTGATAGACTCTCCCCTGACTTCCGCGGGTAGTATTTATTGAGTTCATGTGCCATCTTTTAATCCTGCCATTTATCTCTCTATTAAATAACTTTTTGCTTGTTTTTCTCGCAATCTAGGAACCCCTATCCATATTCTTCCCAGCAACCATTTCAGCAATTTGCGAATTAACATCATGGCTTCCAAAGGAGACATCGTGGTTTCTTATGACAAAAAGACGCTGATCATGTGGGACATGAGGGCAGGCGCACAGAAGGCGACATTCACCGCAGATAAGGTAAGACGTGCTCCCACTGAGGTGCAAAAAATGCTGTTATTTAATCGTCCTCAGTAATCTACGTTCTTTTAGATATCAACGACGGAAGTGCTTGAGAGATGCGCAGGGCAAAATGGGAGAAACCAAGTTTCTTCTTTCTCTCCTCTTCCTTCCCATCCTCCCCTCCTTCGTGGTAGTGCTCGTCTCTTGTGGCCCCGCCGGGGTCGCGAGAGACTAGCCGACTAGACTAGCCGGTGGCCGTGTCTGAAAAGGAAGAGACGACGACAACGAGTTAGACGCAATGAAGTTGATTTGCTTTTCATGTATTCAGAAGCCAGTTTTGTCTGATACTGAGGAATGATTCGTTCTTTTTAGCTCAAATTTGAGATCAGCTAAATACTTTACCAGTTTTGAGTCTAATTGTAAGCTGTATTCCTTAGAAAGCACTTTGCGAGGTGTTAAAAGACCCGAAAACGCTTTCAACCTCTATGCATGTGGACAATTCCTTTTCCTCAATTTTGCAGGTGACAGCAATTCATCCCGTGGGAGAGGGTCAGTGTATTGTGCTTGGCTATGAAAGCGTATTGCCATTAGTGCTTCTTACTCTCCAGGGAGGAGACGTAAAGCCATACGAATTTCCCACGGAGGGTACCAAGGCCATCGCTGGAACAGGTATGGTACAAATATAACGTTTTTGAGATTTTCACCGGTCTTGTTTAACTTTTAGGTTTTCAAAGAAAGATATTTTTCGTCTTGTCACGAGCGTGGGACAAAGAAAAAATTCTGAGTCCCCATGAGGAATCGAACCCCAGACCTTCGGATTCCACGCTCTGACGCTCTAACCACGAGCTACAGAGACTCCAAGGTCAGCGAGGTCTATATGACACGCGTACTGCATACTGCGAGGATCAGCAATGTCGATAGCGTAATATTTGTAGATGGAAATAAGAGAGATAACTTCGTTATAGACCTCGCTCACCGTGGGGTCTCTGTGGCTCAGTAGTAGAGCGTCGGAGCGCGGAATCCGAAGGTCTGAGGTTCGATTCCTCATGGGGACTCAGAATTTTTTCTTTGTCCCACGCTCGTGACAAGACGAAAAATATCTTTCTTTGAAATACATACAGTTACTGCACGATTTGCGTTACCCAAATGATACGGACACAATCTCTCTGACAATTTTGGACAACACTCGGGTGATAACAGCACACAAAGATTTGAACATTGTTTGTTGGGATATCGAAGAAGGTAAGCTCTATTGTCATGGGGCATGAATTCGAGTATCCAAGAATATCTCTCGACTTAGTCCATGGGCTTCCCCGGCCGCGTAAACCTGGGCCCTGTTGTAAGCTGCAACATCACTCACACTCGAAATGCATCTCTCTTTATTTCTTTACCGAGCGCAAAACTTACCATCTCTCTTATTTTTAGATTTTTGTAGCACGAACTGTGCAAATGTGAGAGTTACATGCTTTGAAACGTTCCCTTTCGGACTTTTAAATATGTTCTAGTGTAATTACTTCCATGACGTACTTCACCTGACCCTATGTTGAATTTCGTAGACATGTGGATAGAGTTCGAGGGCGTCAAGTGTGACATTGTTGCTGATGAAGATGAGAAAATAAGCGAGAACGAAAACGAGACAATTGAGCATTGAAAGGAGAAAGAAGAGCATGGGTCGGGGTCATTGCGTGATTGATCGGCTGAACGAGACTTGACAATTAACAACAGAAGGCACTACGGAGGAATTGTATGAAATGTTGAAAAGGCGCATTGCAAATGGACAAACGCGGAAGAAATGATCATCGCACTTATTTAAACCTAAAACATAATTATTTAAGACAAGAAGACTTATTTTTAAAGTGGTACGTTGCAAGAGAGGAGGCCGTAGGTTTGTCAGTGATGGTATTTCTACTACGCTTTCCTCTCCTAAAATAAGGTCTCTAACTTATTTATTTCGATGAGGTTTTTTTCTTGATTTCCTTCTGGAGTTGTCTTCGGTGTTGAAGACATGTTTAGTTATTGGTATTTATTTTCTCCGTGGCCACCAAAGCTACGGTTGTTCTCACCGTTTGGTGGTTGAGGTTTCTCCAATTCATGTAAATAAAAACTTTTAGGTAAACTTCCGCGGACGAGGGTAGAGGAAGATATTAGGGTTAGGACTCAGAAAGGATCTCTTATCTTGTGAGGGCCTAGTAAAACTAATGCAAAGAAATAATTTAAAATAGTTTAAAAAAATTTAGAAATTTTAGTGTGAATTTATTCAACGTAATTTATTTTTGATAAGATCGTCGCCCGAAGGAATTCTAACTTAGTGAGTATCTAGAACAAATTACATATTGCAAAATAAATGAATGGTTTTCTTCCAAACGAAAGTGACCAACATCATCACGATATATTATATTTCCTTACAGAAGATATTTTTACCACGTCTGGAAAAATCTCCGCCTTCTCTATATTGATCTAATTTCAATATTTCTGCACGTCGACAAACACCGAAAGTCGCAGTCTGTGCATGTCTAGATAGTTTAAGCTTCATCTCCATTTTTTTTCTTGTGAATCTTATTCACCTTGAAATAAGCTAAATCTCCTCCTTCCTTTCGTCACCTCTTGTCTCTTTTTAGTTTGTCCATTTTGAAAAACTATTAAATATTGGGTTTCTAGTGGTAAAGACAATTTTTGAAGATATAAACGGAAAATCAGTATTTCATGACGTAGAAATCATTGCGCAATCTCAAGCTTCGACTTAAAATCCCCAACCGTATGCAGGAAGATAAAGAACGCAAACTCATACAAATTCGAAAAGCAAAACAACCTTTTCTATTCTACTCTGGACGGAAATAATAATAATCATTGATTTGTGTTGCGCAAATATCAATCCAAAAAGAGAAATTTTCATCTGCGGAAAAGAAGCCTCCGGGGTTTTGTTGGTATTACTTTACATCTAAGGTGAACAGACCCGCTGGAGTCGTTCGATGATTAATTGTCCTTTTTGTAAAGCGCAACTCCATTTCCAGCACAAATTGGCATTCATTAAGTCAAGTTCCGGTCGATAATCCAAATTTGAATCGGATGGTTCATTTTCGGTAAATTCGACTACATCAAGAGCAGCTAAATTATTCTATTTTTTAGATAAAGTATCATTTTAGGATTTCAGTTTAATTTAGATAAAGAAAATATATCAAAACTACGAAGTTGCGAACTTCGAAGTAAAGTCATTCGTCAAACAAAGAAAGAACTTTACAATGTTATGATATCTTTAATTGGTTTCTCTTTTAAATGGATTTCATTTGCGTCATTACTCATATTCATTAAAATCTAAAGACTTAACGTTTAAGGACAATTTCACTCTTTTTTTATAAAAACGTGTATAATGTTCCTTATTCCTTTATTTTTTAATTTTTTGCGGTAAGAAAACGTTCTCAACATGTTCTTAAGGTTTAGTGCATCGTGCAGTAAGAGAACCGTATTATTAAAGCTGAAAAAATGTCTCTTATTGTTTGAATTAATTGGCCTGTTAAACCACATAGTTTTACATTTTATTTAACCTTTATTTTCTACTTCTCGAAAATAAAAATGATGAAAATAAAGACGTTCTTCAGTAAAACACCTGGATATGTTCTTAAACTTTTGGTTAATCTCAACCTAAACGATCTTGTAAAAGAAAGATTCTTATGAAAAAAGAAAGAACAGATTGTGCTGTACAGGCAACGTATTTTGCCCTGCGAAGGAAAGGCTCTTAGAATAATTCCTTCGCCAGTGAAAAGGATAGAAGGCAGATGTAAGAAAGTTAGTTTTAATCTTTTACTTCTTCTTGTTACAAAAAAAGATAGAAGTTTACATGCTTATTTGATTTAGCGGTATTCCTAACTTTCTGTGCGATGTTTTCCACGTAAAAATCACCAGCTGTAAGGACTATTTTGTCGTTTTAGAAGAGGACGGTGTTTTGACCATTTCACAATGTTTCCAAAGAGCAAAATCTATGTTTGAAAGAAGGTTGATGTCCTTAAAATACTTCCTATCATAACTATGAATATTATTATCGGAGTTTACTTCATACCCTAGTCTCATCATTTTGGCGAACATGTTTACGTGGGTCCTCGATTTATTTCAGTGACACCAACTAACACACGCGCGCGCACGTGTTTTTACCGAGCGCACACGAGAGAGCAGACCGAAGTTGTGTGTACCAACAGCCCGCCTTTCAGAATGCTTTCAAACTTGAATTGTTTACATGAGTTTCTAAGACGTGCAAAAGAAAAGGCTCAGACAAAAAACGTCGCGTCGGGCTATAAACGGATTGAAAGATAAATTTCACATTTCCAAGTTCACACAAATACCCTTTAAAATTTACACCCTTGAAAACGTTTATGGTGGCACCACCATGACTAAGCCTTCCCGACTCCTTACCGCCTCAGTTTTTCGTCGTTCATCTAAAAAAGGTTTTCAAACAAGCAGTAATTCTGGAAAAACCTCAAATACAGAGAGATTGACCTTGCGATTGTCTGTTTTAGGACTTTGAAGAATCGCCGAAAGTGTCCGAGAGTTGAGATTTTAAATGAAATACCCAGTTTTAAGCATCATCCTCTCCCCCCTCCCCTACTCCCCCCCCCCCCCACGCCTCAACCACGCGACGAAGCTAATTTTATCAGTTGTGGTTATGGTGGCATCCCTAAATGTCGCAGACTAATAGGATGTCTTTCTGACATTTGCGTCGGAAACCCTCGTTAATATCAGAAGAATGTCGATAATACTTCTAATCCGGAACTCACACACTTTTCATCATTACGTGACCCGAAATTTTCAAAGCTGAGGAGTTGACAGATCTTCATTCAATATTTTGCTCGTTTCCCCTCCATTCCCGTTCTTCTTTATAAGTTTTCTTAAAGGCCACTGCGATGTTTTGAACAGAGAAACGAACTACAAATAATGCGCGTTACATTCTCAAAGAAAAAAAAAAAGGAAAAGGAAAAATTAGTTACAAAAACAAAACTACAAACAGACAGGGTGTGTTAGACAGTATCGTCCGCCGAGAATCATTTCAACAATCACGTCGTTGACTTAAGCTAACAACAGAGACTCCAAACTGATTGAATCTTGTAAACGCAACCTTCACTGATAGATTTCACCTTCTGGAATCTCCGTTTGGTCGTCATGGGTCGATGAAAGTAAGATTAGTCACAGTAAAGTTGACCTGAAATCGACTGACTAGTCCCCAGTTTACTAGTTTATGGTGCGTTCATTTCCCGCATCACACAGTCTCAGCTTTACAGTATTCAAAACTATTTTTGTTTATCAGCTTTTCCGGTTTCTGTATCGTTCTGCCTTTCTTGCAGATTTAAAACAATAATATAATTTTATCAGCCAAAAATTTGACAGTCCACAAAATATTGGCGAAGCAAAACTTTCCTTTTATGTCTGTTATCGGCAACTTCCAGGTTACTCAAGGAAACTTAAGGTGAAATGAAAATGGATGTAATCAGATGTTTAGTGAATGCGCAGATTAAAATGATTTTAGCTGGACGCTGTTTTAAATTCATTGATTAAGAACCAGACTTGACAAACTTTCTTTAGATGGGTGTGGCCGAGTTAGAAAAGGAGCCCTAATTAATCTCCTACGAAATATTTCGACCTTGATTCGTTCAGCAACTAAAGATTGACATAAATTTACTGACTGACTGCATAAGCTTTTTTAAAAATGTCGATTTTTCGGCGCATCTCTAATGGGCGATAGTCAAATTCGGATAAAGATGGCAACAGTTTTAGTTCTTAACGACGTCATTGATTGCAGCTGTTTTGCGACGAACACAAAAAAAACAACGTGGATGTAACTTCAGGTTTATTTAAACGTGTTTTGATCGGTGAAGGAAAATCACGAATGACCTTTATAAGCTTGGGTGAGCAAATCGCAGCAAAAGTAATAATTCATTGCAACTCCTCGCTGTTGCGACTCTTTCTCCATTAATTAACTGCTGAACGGTACAACTTTATATCAGTTGCGGTACAATAATTTCAAATAGAGGTAATATTTTCAGAGATTTTTCACGTTTTATATCAAGGTATGAATAATTTCTTTGCATTGACAAACCCTTGTTAGAACAGTTTTCCTTGCAAATTTAGATTCGTTTATCGGCGGTACTCTTTTTTATCAGGATTAACAGTAATCTCCAAAGACTCTTATCTTTGTTACTTTTCTTAAAATTATGAAGGTTTTCTCAAGTCCAGCTACATAAGGATTTTCTCTTTGTTTTAGATCATGGAATAATTCCCTGGTTAAAATAGTTTGCTCAGTTTCATCAGTGACTCCATCTTCAGTGAATACAATCTTTTTTTGTCTTGAAATCTGCCATCAGTCTTTTTTGTCTAATAACACCCACTTTTGTGGTTTATTTCCGTTCAATTTCAACAAACACCGTGGTAATTAACGTTTTCTACTAATTTAGAAAAAGAAACCCATTCAAACACGTGATTGACATTTTTAAATTGTTCCGTTTGCGACTGACAAAATGGCGATGAGATTTTAAATTGAGTTTCAATATTTGTGGAGCTGAAAATTATTTTTTTAATTACTAAATTCATCAAATTCATCGGCGACTTTGTCGTCTGAGTTATCGATTCACTCTTCTTAAGTAAAATTGCCCTAATAATTTGGCTTTTTAACCTTTGTAATTTACGTATTCATCGATAAAAACGCTGATATGGATTTTTAAGGGGCGGCCTGTTTGTTGGTGAATTAAAGAAAAGAAAAATTGTTGAAAAGCCTTATCGGCTTTTTGTAAGTAAGTTTACTTTCAGTGGTAGACATGGATGCAATTATTTTATCATACATTTATACATGACGAACACGAAAAGCGAAAAAGTCAATTATTTGAAAGTACATCTTGTTCTGAAGAAAGTTTGTGACTCATATGTTTAAAGTACGAGTCATATCAGCCATTCTTTTAACCTTTGATTTTTGCTGATCATAATCAAGCGGAAAAGAGTCTGGAAGTTAAAATGCCCTGTTCAGTGGGGGGAGTTTGCGAGACTTTAAGCCATCAGCAGGAGCTATGGAACCATCAGAAAGCCTCCCGACTTACATTACCATAACACAACATCACACCGCAAACTACTGGCTAAAGATGGAAAACAGGAACATGGCATTTCTGTTCATTATATTCAAGAGGATTTTGTTTTCCTGTTGTTCTGTAATCCTAAGATAAACACTTGCGCACATTCCGAGGACAACTCGAACATGAGGCCCGGAATAAAAGCGATTTCAAATTCCCTTTGAGAATAATCGGGCAACATTACTGTTTTAGACAATTATATATTAATTTCTGGTTACTACGGAGTGAAATTAACCAAGACAGAATTAATGTAAAAGTCTGTTGTAAAAAGTCAGTGATGCAATTGGTTGATTGACTGTTGAATATCAACAAGCCTCTTGAACAAGTTTACACTTAGCGCGCGAAATGATTTGCAAACACAACCGCGCTTTGGATTATTTTTGACTCAACATAATACCGCGGCCTAACGAAGTGCTTTTATCGAGAGAAAGCAGCATTTTTGGCGAGAACGATCTAGATGAAGAAAGAGTCTAGATCACGGACTTTTTTTGCGCGATTTCCGGTTCAAAAGGCGTAGGATATTTGGGTGCGACCGCGTCACGTTGGGAATTTCGATTATTCGTGTCCGCCAGGCATGCGTAACGTGATGAAGTAACGCAGCCGCTTGCACGGCAACGAATCGAGATGATCACTTGTTCCTTTGCTGAATAAGACTCACTAGCAAAGTTTCAGCCGGAAATCTGTTTTTTCATTTTCGCCTTCAAGATGCTGCTTCTACTCGCTGCTCTATCCTGCATTATTCAACATTCCTTTGGCTATAACCTAGAGACTGAATTACCAGTAATTAGACGAGGTGATACGGGGAGCTATTTTGGATTTTCTGTTGCCAGCCACTCGTATGAGGATCTTTTCACGACGAAGAGGAATCATTCTTGGTAGGAGTATGGCTTTATTTGGCCACCTTTCACGAGACGAACTTGTGAATAATTTTGAAATATTTGTCTGTTCTGCAGGATTCTGGTCGGTGCCCCTAAAGGCAACAGTTCGGTTTTGCCGCAAATTGAAAGTCCCGGAGTTGTATACAAATGCGATTTTGCTACATATCCGCAGTGCTCAGAGCTGGAACTTGTCAATAGAGGTAAGCTTCATTCTCAGCTGACTTTGATGTCCTCAAAAGCGTTTTGAAATTATAATAGCTTCGTGTTAGTCCTTGCAGCGTTCCGATGAATTCCTTTTTGCGGTAGTCGTGGAAGTCACGGACAGACAATTTTAGCTACGTGATGTGTTATGCACGCTTGCTATGTCCTAAATTCCATCGGAATTACCGTTGTCTTTTTTTTTCTAAGCCGGTGTCACTAAATTTTAAACAAAAGGCAGTTTAGAGAATAAAGTTTATTGTAATATTTGAGCAAATTCATTCAAGCATTCTTGTCTAAATTGATCAACAGTCTACTTTGATCAGCTATGGGAGAACCTGCTAAAGTAATTCACTATTGGGCTTGTACCTTAGAAATTTCAAATTTTGAATCTGTCCTGTGAAACCTGCGTGGAAAGGGAAATCTAGCAGGATGAAGCTGTGAAACAGATCTTTCGCTTTCCTTTAATTCGAACCACTTTGAATATGTGGTCCGCGGTTTATGTAATGTGTACGATGTTTTGAAAATCGTGATCCCCTATGTCAATAACGCTAACTAAAGAAGGTAAAAACAACTTATGTCAAACAAAAGTGCCTTTCTCTCTTTAAAGTACCGTAAATTTGACACTGTCAGTTAGTTTTTGACATACATGCGTCAACTGTTACGCGTTTTAGCAGTTCTTTCTGTGCACAGATGGAGAGAGCTTCCCATTACTGTCGATGACAAAAAATTTTCCAATCCCGTGAATGAGGACTGCCTTTGTTTTCACGTGAGCTCACTAGGGAGCAGATTAATGACTTTTCATCTATTGTGCCAGCTGCGAAGAGCCGATCGCTTGGATGGAAAATTGTATGAGTATTTACCGAATGACTTTTGTGTTGCCTTTTCTTTTAGTAAACAAAGGAAAACACAGCTGACATCTTATCGTCATTTCTGCCACTGTTAGAACAATATCGATTATACTGATATTGTTAAATAAATTTATTTTTGCGGCTTCATGCGAGGCAGCTGCTCACGGTGGTGAAGCAAAGTTTGCATTTTTAAGCGAATTTATGCATGGCTTGCAGCCCATCTTTAATTTTTATGCTAAGGACTTCTTAGAGTCATCGTCTCATATTGATGTTTTTCCTTTCGTAGGTTGAATAATATTAGTCTAGGTCGATTGCTAAGAATTTTCTAGTATCATTTTAGCCTCACACCATCAATAAAACAAACTAATAACGTAATGACTCATTCGTAAGGTTGGAACATTATTTTTAGAAAGTTCAAAAAATCGAATTTCCCTAATGGACTTTTTAATCAAAATAGATCGCGAATTTCCTACATTTGCAATGGTAGACAGCCAGAAATTAGGCTTTTATGACCCATTATCGTTTCTGCTAATGGAAAAATCGTTTTATCTCTTTGTGAGAGAGTATTTTTTGTTTGGATGGTTTGCTTTCACGCTTACTTCATTAACTTCTGCCCCCCTTAAACGCTTTTTCGCCATCGTGAATTTGTTTTGAATGTTCGTGAGATAAGTATCGCGGCCTTAATAGGGGAGCTTATATTTCTGACCAATCATAGATTCACGTTTTCGTTGCTGATGTAAATACATTTGCCTGTACTTCAAAAATATTATCCACTGTCAACGGGGAATGTTAAAGTGGAAAAAAAATTATCCTGTCTAGATATTGCATTTAAATGATCTCAGCTGGTTACGTGAGTGCCTCAATTTCATCAGACTCATCATTTTTAAGGCAAATATTTATTTTGTAAGAAGGGAACAAACGAAATGAAAGAACAAAAAAAAAAGCATTGGATATAAGTTTGATTTGTCTGTTTGGAGTATTTTATCTGTTTTGTGGCTATTTCTGCTGATTTCTTTTGATCCCAAGTTTCATTTGCTTTCATTCATTATTTATGTCATCATCTTTCTTTTTATCATCTTTAATACCAATGTACACAGTTTTTTTATCACAAAGAGTATATCACTTGAGTTTGATTAAGTTTGACTTTCTAAATTATGCCAGTCAGATATGATGTGGATATCAAGTCTATAATGCCTGAAGGGGAATATTTATTGTTGTTCGTGATGACCTCTGTTTTTTATTTTTTCTCACTTATCACTTTGATTTGGTATCCCAGCATGGGTCAATCACCCTACTGGGATTTGATAGGGGAATCACCTGGATTACCCTTATTAACAATATAATTACCATTATTTTCCCACTGGGTGGTATGTAAGGAAGGGACTTTCTGAAAGCGAATATTTGACTTTGTTGGGGGTAATCTCTGAGTTAAGTTTCTCAATTACAGTACAGGATATTAAAAATTTCAAAGTGAATTTCAAGTGAAGAATGTATGATGGATTCATTTGGATAGTTTTAGAAACTGGTCGGTTTTAAATGTAGAATTGTTTGGAAATTTTTTTCATCCTCTTCATGGCTTGGCTTTTTAATTTTTTATTAAAACTTGCTCAGGATATTTTGAATTTTCAGTCAGAAAAAATGTTACTGCAGTTTCCATCCAGCTTTATTAGGGTTTCAAGCTCCAATTACTTTTGAGTCAGGATTTTTACCTAAATGAAATATAAGTCACTAAGAATAAATAACAATATTTGGGACACTTGTGCAATGTGTCATAACATAGATACTGTGGCCTTCACCACTTAGCTCAATAGAACATAGCTAATTACATTTCTATAAATAGAAGTGGCAAAAATTTGCAAAATTTATAACAGAGTAAGAAGCCATATTGTTTTTTCACTTGCCATGGCAACCAAAAGGGGAACCCTTGGAATTCTTTGTATATATTGTGATTCTGATTTGCATCTTGTAGAGTTCAATTTTTTTTTGCTTTGTAGACATAAATTTATCCCTTTCACATGGGTAGCAGAATGGAAATGGGGGAGGCTCAGTTCTGGTTGAGAAAAGGAGAGCTTTGGTTTGGGTTGTGTAATGTCCCCCCTACCCAAATCTTCCTTTCCTTCTGGACCTGATCTTAGTCTCTAGCTCCATTGCTGCTATCATGCTTTTAATTTCGCTATTGCACTCTATTTTGCTAGCTGTACTCCTGAGATAGGCTAGGTGACTGACTGGTTGACTGGTTGACTTAATACCTGACTGTTTGACTGATAGTCTAGTTTATGGTATTGAAAAACTGACCAAATGAGTCATTTATTGTCTCAAATTAATATGACTCATTTTTGATTGACTGAACAATGATCTGAATGAGTTACTGATATTCCAATGTACTGACTGACTGTCTGACAATCTGACAGACTCACTGCTTAACTGACTGATCAATAATCTGATTAGCAGATTTACTGACCATTGGTTGACTGACTTACTGATTAGCTGACTGAATGATGATGTAACTAGCTGACTGACTGACTGAATGACCGACTAAGTTGATAATGTAAATTGGCTGCAGTAAAAAGTTTCAAAGCTGACGTTTTGAGTGTTAACCCTTGGTCAGATAGAATAGAGGAACACACAACCCACAATTCCTCTATTTGCTCTGTCAAAGGGCTAATGCTTGAAACATCAGCTTTGAAACTCTTTACAGTGGCCAATTTACTTTATCAACTCAGTTGATAATACTAAATTACCCAGTTATAATCTCCCACTGATGCAGCACCACAGTTTCCTTAGAAACTTACCACATCTATTCATTTGAATGATTGACGGAATGAGTAAGGGGGTAAGTTCCCAAAGAAACTGTGGTGCGGAGTCACTGGGAGAATATAACAGGGTAATTTAGTAGTATCAACTGAGTTATTAATGTAAATTGGCTACCATAAAGAGTTTCAAAGCTTTGAATCTTTCAAAGAAATCGAACAAACACTTTTTTAGATTGTTAGGATATTTTTTTAAACCCATTTTTTTAATTGATATTTTAATATACAGAATAAAGATATATATATTTTTCAAAGGATGCCAGCTTTCCTTGGGAAGATAAATTTGTTCCTTATTTCATGTTTTGCAGGAAATCAAAATGGAGATAGGAAAGAAAATGGTTGGTTTGGAGTTTCTGTCATGAGTGAAGGACATGATGCTGATGTTGTGGTAAGCAAGATAAATCTGCTAAATGGCAATTTGGTATTACTTGGCTGAAATTCTCATTTTACATCCATACAAAGGGACTTACCCCCAGCAGTAGGTACTTTTGAGGTAAAAAGTTGCCTGAATGTTAAAAAAAAGGTCCATGCATGTGGGATTGGAGGAAGATGATGTCACAACCAAGAATACCAATCTTTTGTGCTGATTGGTTACATGAGTGGGTTATCTTCTTTGCTTGAGATTGCTCACTTTGTGATTGTTTTAAAAAAAAATACTCACTAAAATTTGGCTTTTTGGCTGTGAAGTAAATCCTACAGATACTCTAGCTATACTAGAAGAGACAGAATTTAGGTGAAATTGAAAAACCTTTTTAATAATATCCTCAAAGGTAGTTGAAGTTTTGCCCAAAAATTTGTCACTTACCAAGAAACCACTCCTCCAAGCCTTGAATGATTACTTCTCTGAACCTTAAAAAGGTTTGAAAAGATTGTTGTTGCTCTTTCAAGAAAGGTCTCTAGTCAAGAGCATTTTACACACATATTTTACAAATAACTTCTAGGCATGCTCTCATCGACTACTTCATATAGAGGGCTCCTTCTATACCTACCCTGGTCGTTGCATAAGGGCACCAATTGATGATGGAGATGTGGGAAGGAGGAAAACATTAGACTATTGTGAATCAAGAAATCAAAGTAGGTTCATTTGCTTTAACCCTTTAACTCCTAAGATCTGATTGTTAATTCTCCCCTCTAACTGCTACAGTAAATAAGTTATGAGAATTTGGTGTCAGACCAAGACTTATCGACCCAATAAGTTTGAATATTCTTATGACCTGTTTGCTGGATAATGTTTAGATATTATAGGGAGAAGTTACTTGTTAATCACTTCATGGAGTTAAAGGGTGAAGGTTAAACTCCCCCCTACAGAACTAAAACATAATTTAAATGTTGTTCATACCATCATTTGTTTCCAGTTAATGGATGAAACAATGTAACATAGTTTCTTCCTATGTGTCAGAGCAGTTTCCAAGTTGATGAGAATGGCAAACTTATTATTGAGATGGAATTTTCATGATTCAGCAATAAATTCTCATCAACTTCTCTACAAGGAAATTATGTTTCTTTGAAAGGTGAATCAGGAGAGAGCTTAGTAACTTAACAAGTCTTCAACAAGTCACATGCATTGTTCAACTGCAGCTAATAAGGATATTGTTCAGTTGCTTTGAAATTGTAGTTGGTGAGATTTGTCACTTTTTAATGGGCACCCTCAATTCTTGAATTGGTTTGAAATCCTGTCGGATCATAATGTTGTGTTCTGGAGCAGAGCAGGTAACCCTCACAATTCCTTTCTCTGCACAGAGGTGTAACATCTATGAGTTGCAGCAAACTGCTACTGTGAGTAATTGTCTTGGAAATTCATCCATCCCCCATTGTGCATTGGTGAATTATTATAAAATTGAAAATTTTTTTTGCATTCATCTCTGTACAGATCAGGCAAATCAAGGAGGTTCAACCACAATAAATTTCAAAGATCACAAATATTGTCAAATGGGAGTTTCCCTTGCCCACTTAAAGGTGAGATTTTATTGCAAACCATAAACAGCCACAAGAAGTTGAAATGTTATCTCACATGGCTTTTGATTTTTTTTTTTTTTTTTTTTTTTTTGGGACCACATACCTCCATACTTACCCTATCCCTTCTCCTCTCTTATACATTTGCTTATTCTATAATAATTGTTTCTGTTTCCTTCCTCCCTACTTTCATTTCTTTAATCCACAAATCCCTTCTTTCCTCTTTGTTCATTTTCTGCCTTCCTCTTCTTCCATGATTTGCATCCTTTGATTTACTTAGCATTTTTTCTTCCTCCCTTCCAACCTCGCTTTTTTCCTTCCTCTCTCCCACAATATCTTCCTTATATTCACATAAGTTCAGTATTAAGCAATTTTTGGATGAAGTTGAGCATGATATCATGACTTATCAAAATCAAGGTCTGAGTCATTTTCCAAAGCATCAGGCTGAAAACTGAATTCAATAATTGTTTTATTATACACTTTTTGACAATCTGCGAAAGAAGACACTCCTTTCTGAGTTTGAAAGAGTTTGAGAACACAGACAAGAGACTTGGAAACTAGGCAAATTTTTAACTTGTTAAATGCAATATTTGCTGTAGATAATGAATATATCTTGTCAACTTTACAAGCTTTTTTATATTGATTGAATGTTCTTGACCAATCAGATTTTTCTTTGTAAGTCTAATGTATAACAACTTTTGTTACTCTCAGTGCAGTTCATTTCTGTCAGAGCTGTTGATGTTGTAGAAGTTTTAGAACATTGCCTTTAAAAAAAAAACAACAACATCATTAACTACTACATATTTATTTAGTTATTCCTCATGTTTTCTTTTGTTGCCACAGGCTGACAATGTGCAGCTGAGTGAAAATGTGCCACTGGTAGGAGCTCCTGGAGTGTATAACTATCAAGGTTTGGCACTTTGTTGTAAATTACATTCTTTGCCTGGGAAATAATCATGTGACCAATATTCAAGCACAAGGAACCTTGTGCTTGGGTCATACTATTTTGCACTTGTTATTTGCTCAGTTTCATGTTAAAACTGACAACCTTAATTCATTACAAAATCATTATAATTTATACAAAGTAGGATGCTCGCGCTCATGCTAATTGCATAGTTGTGCATGCTATGCGAGTGATGCACAACTATACAAACCAATTTATTTAAAAAAAAGAACAAAAAAAAGAAAGAAAATGATGACAGTGAGAGAAAGTCCGTTTTTCTTTTTTGTTTGTCTCTTGTTTCAGGGGAATTTATTTATCACAGTAGAGAACAGAAGGAAGTCTACAAAGATAACAGTCCATATGGATATCAAGGTATATTTATTTCTGGATTAATTTCTTCAAGTTAACAATTTAGGTGGGAAAGCCATATAATAAACTACTTACTAGCCTTGCTTGTTCAAGCCTTACAGAGAAAAATTGGCCCTCTGTTGTTGTTTTTTTTTACAGACCTCATTACACTTAGTCCAGAGTGTTATGACCTTAGGCCAATAATTCTCAGTATGACCCTTATGGGCTTGGTTAGTAAGAAGTTAACCCTTTAATTCCTGTCTCAAATTTGTAATTCTCCTTACTGTCAACCATACAATACTTATAATGTTAGTTCAGAGAATTTAGTATTGGATCAACTAATTATCCCCAAATTGATATTTTTCTTTATTGATACTGTAAGGAGAAATTCTGTCTTGGTCACTCATGGGAGTTCAAGGGTTAATATTTATCTTTATTAAGCAGGGACAATTTTCTCCTGGTCCATGGTTAGCCAATGCTAGTCTAGACAGACAAGTTTAAAGAATCTTACTTCAAACAATTATTTCAACAATTCATTTCAATTGTAACAAATGATAAACCAAAGCCGATATCTTATCTTTGTTGTCACTTCATGACCTTATTATTCACCAAGCTCAAGAAGAAGCAAAATTTAAAAAAAAAATTGTTATCCAAGACACCACAATAATTATATCTTTGCAGGTTATGCACTTGCCCAGGGAAGCTTTTTTAAAAAAGGTGCAAATGGTAAGTCCATCTCACTCCTTCATCTAAGCACAATGTACATTTTGCATTCATCTTTTATAATATAATAATAGTAATAATAATAATTTACATTTCTAAAGCGCTTTACAAAATATTCTATGAAAATATTGACATTAACTACCTCTCCTGTCAATAAGTGGGATATTAGAGTTAATTATTTGAGCTGATTTATAAACACATAGAGGTAAAGTCAACAAATTAAGTGTCATCAATCTATCTTCCTCTACAATACAATTATAATGCTCCAAGCATGTGGTTACCATGGCGAGTAAAAAATGTATTTGTTGTTGTTGTTTTTCTTCATGGTGACTGATCTGTTAATTTTGCTGAACATTTTGTGATTTCATGTTGCCAACAGATGAGTTCATTAAATAAATCAAGACATATGGTAACCACTGAAAAGCTGAATTTTCCAATTTTTCGTCTAAGTGATCCAATTATAGTGATTATCTACTCTTAAGTTATGAATTTCTCAAAATTAGCCACACCACATATCTTTAACTTCATGGTTTGTTTTATTTTTTTCAGATGTTGCCTCTGGTGCACCTAGATTTGACCACCATGGCATGGTAAGATAACTTCTTTTATAAAGAAATCAATAAAGTTATCGTTAATTTCATTCTTGAGGGAATTTATAAAAATATATGGAGTATTTCTGGGTGATGAGTCCACTGCTTAATGTGTACTAGTATTGTTAATAAGGATTCAGCAATCAAACTGTGTCATGATTTGTATTTCATGTTTCATGTTCACCTTCATTCATGGATAACTTTAATTTGCTTTTCCAAGTTTAGTCTTAAAATTTTCCAAGGTCCCTAAATCCAATTAACAAAATTTGTGTATTTGGTGAACACATTGTTTGCATTTTGTCTTAAAAATAGTTTGGTTGAAGTAAGATTTTATAAGTCAGGAGATTAGGAGGTACTATGTCCAGAATGTCATTGCATTTTAATGCTTGGGATTCGATCTACCCTGAGCTTTGAAATGACTAGAATTTTGAGAAAACCAGGGTTTTAGTCAATGTTCTTGTTGGCCATTTTATTTGCTAAATCTTCCTGCAACAACCCATTGATTAAATTTCATCACTCAATATATTACCAGTCAATTGATGTCATTATGAATTTGTCAGCTGATTTAATTATTAATTCTTTTTTGATTGTAAGGTGGCAGTGTTCAGAAACTTAGGATCAGGAAATTTCCAAAAAGATCCCACACTCCTCTTGCCTCCAGTTGAAGATGGTGCAAAGGGCAGTAGGCAACCTGGAACTGGATTTGGGATTGCTCTGTGTGCTGAGGACCTCAACAATGATGGGTGAGAGATTTGTTCATGATTTTGCCATCACAGGCCAAAGCTAATATCCCTTTGCACCCTAACATCATTTTACATATTCTCTATTCTGTTCTCTATACATTTCCTGAGGTGCTGACAAGGAGAAAATGTTTCACAATCAAGAGCTTCTTTAGTTGGTGATCATAACCTTTATTCTCCTGACCTTATTGTATGATTTAGAGGTGATATTGTAAGGAGAAATTAGATGCTAATCACTCTTAGGGGTCAGAGGGTTGAAAGTTAGAGTTTCCTGTAAACGAACATGTAAATTTAACCCTCCATTCACAGCATACCCTTTACAGCTCTTTGATTTTGCCTGCCCTTCAAAAACTGTCACTTGAATTTTGGTAAAATAATTCAAAATAGAAAATTTATCTTGTTACCACAATGTCACTTATAACTTGGAATTACTCTACATTCTTTTTCAGACTTTCAGAACTTTTAGTTGGTGCACCTTTCTATTCTGATGATTTATACCCTGAGCAAGGAAGGGTGTATGTGTATGAAAATAAAGGAAATGGAAATTTGGTTCTTTCTCACAAACTGCCCACAGGTGGAAGGAAGGATCGCTGGAGAGCAAATTTTGGACGCGCCCTTGCTTCTGTTGGTGATATTGATCTTGATGGATATCAAGGTATGGGTAACCTTCCAACATCTGATAAGAAATTCTCCCTTCTTGCTATTATACTCTTTCTTGTAAATTAGTTCAGAGAATTTAACTCACTGTTACTCGTCAGATTGTGTGTTCTTATCACTTAGTTGCACAAATAATAATTCTTTGATATATTATAAGGAGAAGTACCATGTACACGTTTTATCTCGTTTGGAAGTTATGTTACAATGGAAGTTCATTTGACTGTTAACTCACAACATAATCTTTATATGATTTTTCTACAAGATGTTGCTGTAGGGGCTCCATATGAGGATAGTGGCGAGGGTATAGTTTACATCTACAGAGGCTCAGAAAAAGGCCTTGTTGAAACACCAATGCAGGTATGTGTGGTGGTCATTACAAGTCACTGAAAGTTCATATTTGAGTTAAGCAGCAAAATGGTCTTAATGGTAAAATTATAACTGAATGGGGAGCCTGAAATTGGCAAAAAGCTGATCATTTTTAACTTCAAATAAATAAAGGGGGTAAGTTTCTAGTCAGAGCAACTGTAGTGCTGTGTCAGTGGGAGAGTATAACAAAGTAGTTTGGTAGTATCAACTGTGTTGATAACATTAATTGGCCACTGTAAAGATTTTCAGCTTTTAAACTCTTAACAGTCAGTGGCCAATTTAAATTATCAACTCAGTTGATAGTACCAAAATACCATTTCAAACTTCAACAGGATTTTCCCATACTGTCGCAATGCTCAACCAACATAAATTCAAAACAAACAAAACAAACCCTTGGAACCAGTTCAAAATAGTTGTTACAGTCACTGTGGTCTTAGGCTTTTTAGGGATCATTTTTTTCCCTATTTTAGCATCCATGCACTGTTTGAAGAAGACATTAATGGCACTGTCTAAAGAGAGGGTATTCAAGGGCGTAAAAGTAACAGCATTGATTACCAACCAAATCATTGCCTACATCACAATGTTACTTTCTTTTTTTCTTGGTTACATGTAGGTTATCAAAGGTTCTTCTGTGTCAGCAGGTATTCAGTCATTTGGATATTCCGTTTCTGGAATACTTGACTTGGATACCAATGGCTACCCAGGTGAGGCTCTGGACTTTTGTTACAATTGATTGATTGTGTCGGCTTTGCATTTTACTTTATCCTGAATACCAGTTTTAGTTGGAAATAAATTTCCAGTCAAAATAATTTCAAACTGGTTTGTAATTTTTTTTAGTTGCCTCTATCCTCTGTATGTCACCATGATCATGGTTGTTTGTGAAAAGAGAAAGAATGAAAACACAAATTTCATAAGTTTTAAATTTTTTTATGTATATGCACATGTTTATGCAATTATGAAAGTTGGTTCTTTCAGTGAGGAGAATGGCAAAAAAAGATGACGTGGACCTGCTAAAATTACAATAAAAAACACTTAGTACTAAGTAAAGAAAATTAAATTTTTAAAAAGATAGGAACTGAATTGAATTGTCATCATTTAGAAAATACCATCAATGGTGTCAGGATAATATGTAAATCAATTAAAAATATGGTTGTATGAAATCCTGTGATTTTATTGCCATGATATTTTCTCTATGAAAGAAAAGGTAGTTTAGGTCAGTGTAGTTTCTTGATGATGGTCTTTAAACCAGTGAGAGGTTTCAGGGCATCAAAACAATTCACTAAAATTGAATTTTGTGTATTCGTGTTCCAGATGTTGTTATCGGAGCTTATCAATCAGATGCTGCAGTTCTTCTCAGGTATGTCAATAAAGGGTGTGATCCCAGATATTTTTATTAATGTTGGTTATCTTAGACATTTGGTGATCTCAAATTCAGTTCCCCAGCACCTACTGAAGTTGTTCCAAAAAAGATATTCACTGATATTTTTTTTTCTACAGGGCAAAGCCTGTCATTTCGATGTTGTCAACAATCACAATAAGCCCAGACACATTTGACATCAAGGGCCGTAAGACCTGCAATGAAACTGAACGGGAAGGAAATAAACAATTTGCCACATCGTGGTAAGACTACACTTTGAGATAAACTCTTCATATAAACGAGCCCTAGCTCTGAACATTGTGAAATGGTTAACAGTCACACCAGGAAAAGCTTATCACTATTAATATTAACCTAATAGATTAATAAAGTCAGTCATTGCTACAGTTCATTTTGTATGTGTTGAAAGGTTACTTTCAATATTCCTTAACCCTTTAACTCCCAGAAGTGATTAACATGAAACTTCTCCCTATAATATCCATACATTATTCAGCAAACAGGTAATGAGAATATTCAAACTTATCAAGTAGAAGCTGCAGCTATCTTGATCTAGCACCAAGTTCTCATAACAAATTTACAAGGAAATGTGTAGCAGCTAGAAGGGAGAATTAACAATCAGATCTTGGGAGTTAAAGAGTCTTCTATTTCTTTTCTCTTTTTATAATCAGCTTTGACATTAAAGTTTGTACAAAATATACTGAGAGATCAGGAAAAGTGAAAGAAAAAATAGGTGAGTTAGTTAGGCTGAATATTGTAAAAAATTAAACGTTATAGTTTGAGTTTGAGTTATGAGCCTTTGTGTTGGAACCTTCCTCAGGAGGGGTATTGTGCCTTGTAATTGGGCAAAATAATTTGATCTCACCATGCTACTCTCATGTTAGGGTATATTAAATCAATACCAGTGGTTGGTCATAAATCCCTAGAAATGCAGGTGTAGGAAGGGGGATAACCTTTCATTGGTTATAACAAGTATTCTATCTAGGAAAAGTATCACTGCATTACATTTCTTTGTTTTGTCATGAACTTCAACATCTCCAGGATTTTTAACAAGGAGAAACATTAAATTGAAAGTGTTCACACAAACCAGCATATAACCATGATTGAGTATTTACATTTCCCAACTGTTTGGAATACACAAGAGTAGGAATGTTTTGCATTACTGTTTTAAGTCATTTTAACTGGAGATTTAGCCCTTTTCCTGAAAAGTAAGTTGTTCCCAACATCAGCTATTCTGTGCAGTGTCAGGGAAGGCAAGTATGAACTACTTGTTATGATGTATTTAAGGTAAGCATGAAAACTTTTATTTCTTCAGGTGTACTTCTAACTATGAAGTCTGACACAGATCCTGAGTGGGAAGCAGACTCAAGAGTTTTGTTCCAAAAGAATCAGAAAAACGAAATTAATCGAACGGAGCCAATAGGTGGCAATGATACTTGCTTTTTCTGGTTTGCTTATATAAGGGTGAGTAACTTTTTGTTTGAATATCTTTGTTTTCAGATGTTTTTGAGAACTGTATTGTGGTGCGACCTTGAAAAGGGCCACAAAGACCAGATATTTGCTTGTGTCAACAGTGGACTTATCTTGCTTGATATTAAAAGCTTATGTTAGATCTCACTTTGGTTTTCAGGAAGGGGTGACAGATGCAGATGTTTATCCTGACATCCAGTTTACACTGACTTATCAGATTGTGAAGGAACCAACACCAAATGTCAGTGACCCTACAGATGTACCCTCACTTGTCCCATTTGCAGTTTTTGATCCTTTGAAGCCACAGCAAGCCACCGCAGTTGTAAGGAATCTTTTGCTCTTTGGATCATGAACAACTTCTTTGGATGAAGGGAGGAGTTATTGAGTGTTTTGGGGGCAGGAAAAATTACAGGATTGAAGGAAATATTAATCTCTGGCTGTGTGGGTCAATTATGGCTTGTCTTTTGAGGTTACTTTTACACTTTGTGTCGCTAGAATAGGTCTGTATGCAGTGAAAGTGAATTGTTTCAGAGTCACAATGGCCTTATTACTAGTCTTTTTCCTTTTCTTAGCTTTCATTCAAGAGAGATTGCAAGAAGTGTGTTCCTGATTTGAAACTTGATGACAAAGAGAGTAAACGGTGAGTTTTCTATGTTCTTGAAGTCTTAAAATTGGAAGATATTGGTGAAAAAAAGAAAGAGAGCTTTAGGTCTAGGTTCAGGTACGGTTGTCGCTTGAGTTATTATCAGAAGAGGCTTGTGTAAGTTCCCTTGTATTCAGCTATTTTATGCAACCTTGGTTTTATATGCATTTTTATTGATTAAGTTCCATACAAGAAAAATGCAAAAAAAGATGGAGACCATTATTCACTCAGACATTTTGACTAAACAAAAAAGACAGAAAGGTTGCCTTTACCTTTTAAATCCCATGAGTGACCAAGACAGAATTTCTCCTAACAATATCAAGACAATATAAGGCAGACAAGTGCTGAGAAAAACTTAAGGAAAATATTAATTAGGGGATTATTAGTTGATTCAATAACAAATTCTCCACACTTACATCACAAGAAGTGTATGATAGACAGTAAGGAGACTTGGGATTTCATGGGTCAAAAAATTGCCAAATACATTCACCAACTAAAAGTTTTCCTTTGTTTTGAGGTAGAGATGCACTTGTGACTTAGTTGTTGCCAGAAAAGCATTTTTCTTGGAGGAAATAAAAATAAATTTTCCTAGAAGCTAATCACTGTAAACTTGCATCAGGCAATTTTTTCTTTTTGCATAATTAAAGCTTTTCTTGTTGAATAGGCCCATCATGCCTGCTTGTACACCCAATGAGAACACTGCTGTTGTTTTGTCTTTCTGGCTTGCAAAGCCAGCCATGCATAATTTCAAAATTTAAGTTCCTACATGTATATAATCAGTGTTGAACTACATATTGATATCAACATTTTCTTTCCTTTTTGAAACCATAGAACACTTGCTGTTGGTGCTAAAAACTACAAGTTGGCAGTTACAGTAAAGAATGAAGGAGATGATGCTTACAATGCAAAGTTGTTTGTAACAATCCCTAAAGGAATAAAAATAGGAAAAATCTTCAGTGTTGATAAAGAAGTAAGCTGTTTGGCTCTTTCAGCCCTAAAAGTGCCTAGCATCTAGTTTTCCTTACAGTGTCGCCCCTGAATCATGCATTAAGCTCACAAGAATAAACCCTTGATTGATAAACAAATTTTCCTTGTCAGCACCATAGGAAATTTATAGAGAACAGTTCAGAGAATACACATACTGGTGTTTGGGTGTAAAGGATTTTAAGATTACATAAACACTTATCATTTGCTCTGACAAAGGGCTGACACTTGAAATTGTCAACTTTGGAACTCTTATGTCTTGATGGCCAATTTATGTTTTCTACTCTGACTGTTGATAATACTAAATTACCTTGTTACACTCTCCCAATGACACAGCACCACAGTTTCTTTAGAAACTTACCCCCTTTAAGCACTTATCAGTGGGTATGCTTGTTTTCTTTCAAGATATTTAAAGGAAAAGCTGTTGAAATAACAACACTGGCCTCTAATGACACCTTTGTGACTGTTAAGCTGAATACTCCCTTCAAGAAGAAAGAGGTATGCTGATACTCAGTATGCCGTGTGTCAGATATGATCTTGACTAAACCATTTATTGTAGAGCTATTTGGTGGTTTCCTTTGTTATCAACCAATCTTCAGAATCTACTTCCCATCTCACGAAATGGTAATAAGTCTTGATAAATGCTCATTAGATTTATTTAATTACTAACTTGTTCTCAGGCCTAAGATTTTAATTGGTGAGCTTTAAGTTTTGAGGCTGCAGCCTTTGAAAAATCATGGGAAAAACATGAGCTTATAGATGAAGAATCATAGGATTAGACATTTGGTGGGTGATAGTAATGGACACAGAGGTTTTTATTTTAACAACTGTGGTTTATTTGTGTTTCAGCAACCAATTCAAATTGATTTAGACACCTCAAGATACAGTGACACTCCAGATTTCCTGCCAATACATCTTAGCACAAACAGGTGAGAAGGATTCAACATTATTACAGTCTGAGTGTTTTTTCTATAAAGAGTCTTTTTTTATGATAGTTATTGTGTCAATAACAAAATGCTAAAATATGAGTTGTTCTTATCAGCTCTCATTTTTTGGCTTAATACAACACATGCAAAAATTTCAGCATGCTCTTTGGCTCAGAACACATCAATTAACCACAAACAGTGCACAAAGTTGAAATTGAGAGCCAAAAGTTGAAATAATAACTTACTGACAGGTTGGGTGAATTTTTATTGTTTCCTGTGCAGTACAAATGAAGAGGACAGCAACACATTAGCTGACAACTATCGCTTTTTGAATATATCTATCAAGTCACAGGCAGACTTGGAAATTAATGGGTAAGTTACTGTTATCATCATCATTAAAGATGGTATGAGGAAATTCTCATTTATTGCTTGTCAATCAGTTTTGGTAATTTATTTATTTATGATAATCATGTTTTTATCTGTTACAGTACAACAGTTGAAGAACAAGTTGCCTATGGAGGCAAGGTTGTTGGTGAAAGTGCCATGGTTAATGCAGAAGACATTGGTAATGAGGTCATTCACAAGTATTTTGTAAGTACCTTAATATGTTTTGTGGTTTCATTCATGTCAGAAAACTGACCATGCACATGACCCTTCATGGGAATGTTTATTGTGGTATGACTAACCATTTGTAGGATCATTAAACAGCTGTGTTTAATTCATAAGAATTTTAATTTCTTTCATATTTTTCTATTGACCATTATTCAGTGATCATTGGTGTGGAGTAGATTTCAGTAGCTGTATCTTTCTCTCACTTGTGCTTTGTAAACAGGAGAGTTTTTTTCCCTCTCTGGTTTTGTGTCATGCAATTCACATCTCTCCCCAGCAAACCCAAGGAAAGGCTATTTTAAACTGAATACATTTGATGATATCAAAGGAACAGGCTATGCAGAAAACTGGGGGCAAATGTAAAAACTGGGTGCACATGTAAAAGCTGGATGCATATGTAAAAACTGGATGCACATGTAAAGCTCTTCTTTAACTGCTCTGATTGTTCCATGTTTAAGAATAAAAATTTTCTCTTCTTTCCTATTTTCTGTTCAAAGGTTCCTTGTATAATTTTTTTGTTTGTTTCTATGTTAACCATCTGTTCAACTTACTGGTCATAATTTTATTAGAAGCAGTTTGATTATGCAATATCTATAACTTGAATTTATTTTAGGTGAAAAATCGTGGTCCAGATCCAGTTCCCCACACCGAAGTAATAATAGAGTGGCCTTTTGAAGCACCAAGTGGGAAACATTTACTTTACCTCATGAATGTTAAGGTAAATGTTTTCTAACTCATGTTTTCTCGTTTAAGACTACTCACATTAATGTTTGTAGTCAGTGGGTCTTCAGCTATTGATCGCTTTTAATTAGTCTTAAGAATTATTACTGCTCATCTATCAACCATTCCTTCCTCCACCTCACCTTCCAGCATTTGATCAGGTTTCCCTGACAGGTTCCTGGCAGAGAGAGACCCTGATGTAGTGAAGTGTTTCATCCAAGACTACATCTCAATAACACTGGGTCGGGTTGTTCGAAAGGGGGTCAACATCAATGGATTAACAGTTAACCTTGGCTTTAGTTGCTTGTGTAGTTCTAAGAGTGCAGGTTTTTTCAGGATTATATCTTAGTATGAATTGAAACTAACAGGAAAAAACATACAAAAGAAAAATCCCTTTGCAAAGGTATTAAATTCAATTAAAAGTTTACACTAATCCTGTGTAAGATTAATTGTGTTTTGAACAACCCAGCGGTGGTCATGCCCTATGGTAACCTTCTGTCATCATGTCTCCTTAACTCAAGCTAGTAGAGGTGGTTTAATGTTGTCATGGTATTTTCCCTTTTTAGGTTGATGGAAATAGGGCTTATTGTGAGAAAAAACCTGGGCAACTGAATATGCTTGGTTTAAAGGTAAATAACTGAAATCACTTCATTTGCCCTTTCCATAGTCTCGCATCTTCTTAATATCAAGATTGGTCATTGTTAAATATCAGATGTTGTGGGGTATCAGGCTCTTGTTTGAGTTACAGGGGGGATTTTAGTAAACTGTTTGAGTTAGTGGGGTTCTACTGTATTTAACTGATTGTGAGTGATGCTTGTTGAAATCTTTCAGACATCATCTGGTGGCAGCTCAGGACAGCAACAGAATGACACATCAGTTGACGCAATGGTAGAAAGACGAAGAAGGCGTGCAGTGGAAAAGACAGAGTCAAGTTCCAAAGTCAAAAGAGAAACTGACCCTAAGAAGCCAGAGAAGCTTCAGTCTGACCTGGTAAATTCTACTATACATCTTTGCATAATGATTGCTTTGTGAAGGTCTCCTAAATAGTTTGGGGTGAAACTTTCAGCATTTGTTTAAAAGCTAGCAAGTAAAGCAATAACATGAATGCAATATGGTGTAATCACTTTGAGTTGGAACATTTTTTTTGGGGGGGGGAGGGAGGGGAGGTGCTGTATGTTATTACTATACTCAGAGGGGAAATGTTTTTGCTTAAAAATAAGAAATTTAATTACATAAGAATAATGCTAAACGGAGGAGAATATTCTCTTTGATTAATTCAATAATAGCTCAAGTAATGGAAATTAAGCCAATGAATTCTTGTGATCTCCAATGCTATATGAACACCTTTGAACAGTGGAAGGGAAAGGGTTGAAAATGACACCTAGCTGATATTCTTTCTTGCCTGCTGATTTTTTAGAACACCATCTTAGTGTTGCTTCAATTTTAGCTACTTTAACTGATTCAAATATCAAAATCAACTTTCCTTATTTAACCAGGATAAGCATTTGATTTTCCTTTTTTATAGGACTGCAAGTTAGGATCTGCAAAGTGTACAAATATACATTGCACTATCAAATTTTTGGAAGCTGGTGATGATGTGACATTTACAGTTATATCTCGTCTTTGGAATGGTACCATGATAGAGGTAGGCTACTGACAATTCTTAGGTACTTTGATGATGATTATATATGATACTACCCTCCACATTCTAACATCGGTATGCACATTCTCCATTATGTTCTCTGTACATTTCCTAAGATGCTGAAAAGGAGAATTTGTGTGACAATCAAGGGCTTTTTTAGTTGGTGATCATTTCCTGTATTCTTGTGACCTGCCTTAATGTGATTCAGGTGTGATATTGTAAGGAGAAATTAGATGTTAGTCACTGTTAGGGATCAAAGGGTTAAGATACATATGTTTTGGTCATCACCATGTGAAAATGTTGAGTTTCTGTGCAGTCTTCCATCTTGTGTTTGGTAAAAAGTGTCAACACTTAAATTATTGAAGACAGTGTGCCTGATGACCAAATGACTATGGTAGTGTGAGGAACCCTACAGTTGTAAAAGCTTGCAGGGTAGTATCAACACTGATAACAGAGTAGTTGAGTTGGTAAGTAGGGAGGTAAACAGGGTTGCATTATACTTATTTCATTTTCTTTCATAGGATTATCAAGGTGAATTGTTAAGAGTAATATCCCATGCAAGTGTAAGATCAACTAATACTTTTGTGCAAGAAACTAACAAGGAAAACAACAAAGCGCAGGTAAATTAAACACTGTCTAAAAGTCAGCACACAAGCCTTGTATTGCTTTTCTTCCTATATGAGGTGATATTCCATCACTCCCTGCCCTCCCTCCCCCCCCCCCCCCCCCGCCAGCATCTCATCTGACAGTTTGTTATCACCCATTCATTCCCTGGAGTTAAGCAAAGTGTTATGCTTAAGGACTTAACAAAATGAAAAAGCTAGAGCTGGAAGTTTTGGTGTAACCTGAGGTGATTTTCTATTTCATGGCTGCAACATTCAGAGTTTCCATCATTGCAACAAAAAATCCAGCTTTTGAACCTAAAAACTTGGATTAAGTTCACTGTTGAGGTTTGTTTGTTAGTAAGAGTTTTATGCATCATTTTCTGTTGACTGCGACAGGAATTGTGATTTTCAGTGGTCAATATCACCCTGTTTCATCATCATTCAATTACTGTCAGCTCATGGAATTCACATATTTGTTATGTTTCAACCATCCAGGTTGGTACTCAACTAAACCCAGATGCCAATGTTGCAGTTCCTTCAAAGGGTCTCCCCAAATGGGTTATACCAGTCTGTGTAGTTAGTGCTGTTCTTCTCTTGGTACTAATAGTCTTTTGTCTGTACAAGGTAAGTGAGCAGGGCATAACTGCTTTTCATATTTTAATGATATTATAAACTTAGCGTAAGAATACATGAAAGAGAAAATTAAAGTTTGTGACATACTGCACCTTGTGTATTGCTGTCTCAGCAAGTTGATATGATCTTACACCCTTCTACACCCTATCATCAGTATGCACATTCTCCACACTGTTATCTGTACAATTGATAAGGCGCTGACAAGGAGAATGTGTTTAACAATCAAGAGCTTTTTTAGTTGGTGATCATTTCCTTGGTTATTGCGACCTTAATGTTTGATTCAGGGGTGATATTTAAGGAGAAATTAGAAGGTGGTCACTCTTAGGGTTTAAAAGGCAAAAAAAAAACCTACCGTAATTTCCGGTCGATTACCCGCACGGCCGATTACCCGCACCGGCCGATTATTGCATACGGCGAAAAAAAAGTCAACGGATTACCCGCACCGGTGGATAACCCGCACGTTGTTATTCAACTTTTTCGGTGGCGAAAACGTGACATTAAGGCGATACATTTCAGTCTTTCGATTCAGACATGTGCACAATTCTGTGTCAATATTAGCTTATACTTTATTGATTGATTATTGCTGCTGCTCTATTACCGATTTCATCGGCAAGAGTTATTACTCTAAGCTTATAATCAAACGTAAAACTGTGACGTGGGCGTTTCACAATTACAGAACTAGTCAGGCATTTTAACTTAATTGGTGACTCGTGGATACACTTATCGCGAATGATCGAGGTTTATAATTCTTATTCAGTCAGTTACCTTTTTATAGCATGTAGGAGCGTAATGAGCAATATCCATTGTTCATTTGTCGTTAAAATACTTTTTCAGCGCGAAATTAGTTAAGTTTCGCACCTATTATTTTCAACATTCTGGTGATGCATTTGGGATTTAAAATTACTGTCGGCAATTTCTCAAAAAAATCGATATCTCCTGTTCTACTGGGCCTAACAAGTCCCTTAAAACGGGAAAATTCTCTTTAGCTCAAGCTAGTGAAAACTGGAAATTTGTTACTGATGCGCCGGATATCCTTGGATTATTTTTGTCACCATCAAGGTTTTGTTTTCACGCGTGCCGATAAAAATTTGTTTGTCACGCAACTAATTATGCGTGAAATAAACTCGAGTTGGCATCATGTTTTCGTGCCGCTTTGTGGCACTTTTGATACAATAAAATTCATTTGAGAGGTGGAAACGCAGGTAGGTGAGAAATTTTTTCAATTCAACTTCCAGAAGAATTTAAAATTGTCACATCGCACCTCCCTATTACCCGCAGTGGCGCGGATTTAATGCAAAATCAACAGATTACCCGCGGGTAATCGACCGGAAATTACGGTACTACTTGGCAACTGGACGATTACAACAAATATGATTTCTAGGATAGCTAGACTTCATGTCATCTGATGGTCAGTTCTCATATGAATGCTATCAGTGATTCAGTGATGTTGTGGTCCTTGCATGCTGGGTTAACCTTTTAAAGTGGTTTTATATTCTTTTAAATTGTATATCAATTACATTTCATGCTTTTTTTTTTTTTTTTTTTTTTTCAGCTTGGTTTTTTCAAGCGACAAAAGTTTGACAAGAATATTACTGACCCAGAAGAAATTGACAGAATGTTGGATAATGGCAAGGGATACCATGCTTAAATTTGTTACAACAGACAGTAATCTTCCTAAAGTAGACTAGATTTGCAAACAATATGGACAGAGTTACAGAGGTGCATGGGTACAACTTGTTTTGCATTATTACAGAATGAGTTGGTTAGACCTCCAGACCAGTGGTGTTCAGCAACAGAAAGCTGTATCACTCATTTGGCTGATGGTAGGGAACAAATTCTAAGAGGGCCTGAACATGTGATCCTCTTTGTGTGCATCAAGGGCTTGCCAAAATCAAGCTTTCACTCAGACTGTTTTCTAGACTTAGATGATCATCTAATTTATTGTTATCTTGTTTGATAACGGTTGTCTATAAATCCCTATTTAAAGTTGGCAGGAGACAAATTCCTGTCATTTCAGTTACTAACAAGAACCAACTTTGCTGTAAGCTTAAAAGCACACATCAGTTTGGACACTGCGTGGGAGAAACATTTAGCTTTTAAGACCTTTGATGCGTAAAGGTGGTTTAAGCACATGCAAGTATTATGATATCATAGTGCAAGGTGTTCATTAAGAAATGCAGTATTAGAAAAAGTATTCTCCACATCTTGGTAGAAGGGCATAGAATCTTTGCCAGAAAATTCCCTGATCCCTGATGGGTAGTAAATACTATGTAGTGAAAGCTACAAGAAGAGGCAGAAATTCCAAGAAGCACATAGGGCTGACTGAATATCAGTTGTGGTCATAATGGTATTATGACTCTTGGATCAGCCTCAAACACCTGTGAGATTCATTCTTGTAGTAGATACAATCAGACGTTGGTTGAGAAGTAGTTAATAAGATGTAAATTTTAACCTTAAATCACAAGTACTTTTTTTTTTATACAAAATTACACTTTTATTGGTATAATTCTTTGGACATTTGGCTTGTCTTAAACCTTTAACCCATCCCAACCCAACCTCCAGCTTGACTACTAGCTGAGAAGTTGGGTGATAAAAGTAAAGAAAGTCTAAAGGAAACCAATTTTTGTATTTTTGTCTTGGCCATTTTTTTTCCTGAATCATTTGATTTCTTTGGATCCTTGAGTATAATTATCTGTTGGGCTAACCTCTCAGACTTTTTTTTTAGTCTCTTAGTTTTAGAACCTTTCTGTGTGATTTTCCTTTGGATGCCATGTTTGCCCTCAGTGGTACAAGTAGTGTTATGAAGATATGTGCTGCAGTGATAACTAATCTGGGGCAAAATTATAAATTGTGTGAAAAAGGGGGAAAGGCAATTCTTTTTTGAACAGCATTATAAATAGATCAGTAGGTGAACATAATCATTTTAAATAAAGCAGATGAATATATATTCATTACTGCTTATAAAGAGAGAAGATTGTGACCAATTTGATTGGTTGCTATACTTTATTGCGGTAATGTTAATTTTTATTTGATGCTAACGTGTTTTATTTTTGACATTTTTCTAAAGTTGTTTTTCATGGCATTTGTTAAGGGTAGCTAGTTAATGGGTACATTTCTTTTGGCATGGCATAGATTTTTGTATGCTTATCATTACAAGGTGTCTAAAGGAGGATGTTTATACAAAGAGCTCATTTTCATTTTTTATGCCTTTTGTTTGTCAGAATAGACAGTATGAATGCTAATTAATTATTTGCCTTATTTTTACTTTAATTAAATAGCATTTTCCTCCAAAGAAGATGTATTTTTCACAAGATAACCAAACCACATATTGTTTGTAACTGTTAACAGTGTATATACCAGTATCTTCTGTATGTCCTCTAAATTTTTTATATAACATTTGTTTTAGAGTTTTTTTTTCAGTTTGAATGATGAATCAAAGGAAAGGCAGTACATGAAGGGTTATAATCAATACCTAACTTTTTTCAAAAGTTAACATTAAAGAAGCCACACTGTTTCAACCCTGTAACCCCTAAGATCTGATAAAGTCACTGCGGTTCTTCTTTCTGGTGAATATACAGTTCTTTGTAAAATAACTGCGCCAATTTGTTGTTACATTACCATATGATCCTCTAGAAAATGAAATGGCATTTTCTCTTCACTTTTTTGGTGGATATGTATTGAAATTGAGATGAGAAGTTACATATTTTTCTCTTTCTGAGGTTTAAGGGCTTTGACAAAAACAAAAAAAATTGTGGGTTCACTACACAAGAATGCACCATATGCCTCATTTGCATATTAGTGGTTGCTTAGATAAGACTTAAATGCTTTTTAATGAAAACTCTGACAAATAGCATTGTTAAATAGTTGCATTAGAAATTTGAAAATATTAAATACAATATTTCTAGAAAAAATGTTTGATGTGGAGTCATTATAGGCAGAGGTCAGATCATTCTTCTCAATTAAGGTGTTAACCCTTTAACTCCCAAGATCTCATGAGTAATTCTCCTTACTGTCTGCAATATAGTTCTTTTGATGTTAGTTTGGAGAATTTGGTATTGGATCAACTAATCCCAAATTAAGATTTTTTTCTTTATTCTCATCAGTTGTCTGCTTGCCATTGTATTTATATTGTAAGGAGAAATTCTGTCTTGGTCACTGATGGGAGTTAAAGGGTTAAAACAACCTGGGTGTAGCAGTAAGTAACAAGAATATTCTCCACATTTGAATAGCTAGCAGCTCAGGTTATCAAAATTTAGCAGGAGAATTCTGGGCAGTAGCTGAAGAATCATCAGATCTGTTCTGCCTAATGAAGTCAATGAACACCATACAGGCATTACAGTCTCACTCTAAAGTCAGTATTTGAAAGTTTGAAGCACAGTCCATAAGCCATGTCGAGGGCATGCTACAAACTGACCCGGTGTCCCAGATGTGAGGCTTCTTTTCTGCCAGTGAATCATAGATGATGAATTGAGTGCATCTGTAATGTTTAGTGTCTGGATTTGCATGGTAAGCAACAGGGGCTAAGGTGACAGAGGCCTTGTTAGATTCAGGAGTTCTAGGTAAGCAGAGAGATTCATCAATATCTGGTTTTGGTTCACGAGATAAGATTCTGCCTCCACCATATTTGACCAACTGTACTAGATCCTCTTTTGAAGGTTGAGGAGGGATAAATTCACCATTGAAGAAAAACTGGCATCCATCAAACAAACCAGGAAGCTGGAAAATATAATGAGAAATGAAAAGAGTTGTTTTGCATGTTATCCACAAAGTTCAAGTTGCAGTCTTAGTCACTCCGTATTTTCATTAAGCTTTTTCACATTTTGATTTTTGTCCTCATTTTTTTTTACCCTCAATTTTGTTTGGTTTTTTTTTTTTATTTAAGTACAGCTTTGGTAGAACTTTGGGTACACAAGTTCATCAACCACTTTGCTGCAACACCTTTCTTTTGTCACTTGGAAATTATAAAAAAATCAAAACATTGTTAATGGCTCTTTCAAGATGTTGAATGTAGTATGTAACCAACCTGCTTCAGAGAATTGATGCGAGCTCTTTTAGGTGCATCCATCATGGCATCATTGGTACCCTTAACCTCAAAAGGTGTTTCATCTACCCAGGTTTTTCTCTGCAAGCTTTTCAGTATCCCTACATAGAAGATGAGTGAGACAAATTGAGATTAAAAATTGAACAATAGGCAAGTTTTAGATCATTTGCCAACAATAACTCCCTAAATGCTCTTCTTAATCAGCCAAGGAAGGCAATTTTCATGGAAAAACAGGAGGTTCTCTTTAGCAGGGACATAAGAATTGTAATATTTATTATGTACATTTGCAATCGAATGTAAGATCAAATCACCCACTCTGAAGTACTTTTTCTTAGGAGACATGCTTGATATAATCCAGAGATGTGACCTAGGGAAGGCGGAGACTAACATTGGAGGTTTATATGAAGCATGTGGAGGTGTTTTCTGACAGAGTGGATTATATGCCAACAAAGCTTTTTCCAGTTAATGTAATGAACCATGGACTTACATTGATACTTCACAATCCATTTTCCAGTCAACACACCATTCAAATACTTCAGTGTCCTTGGGCAAACTCCTTTGTTGTTGGTTGCTGTCACAATGTGTGTCACTAAACAAACAGCAATAATTCGAACATTTTTAACTTTTGATTAATATTTAGTCATACTGTATATACTCTTTGTAATCAGTGTTAAGGAAACAACAGACTGAACAGGAACACTTTACTTACCAGACAGAGAAAATTGGCTGACAATACTTGCATTGAGAATCCTCGCACATTTTTGTATATTTACCTACAGAGATTGTAAACACGTTCAGTAAAGGTCAGTGCTACATTGTTGATATCATCACAACAATTTCAGGTAACACTGTTACCAAAGATTACTGTAAGTTATAGCAGAATTCACACTAATGACTGGGAATGACAAATCAAATGTGATGAGTTGTTTTACCACAAGCACAATTAGATACTTGGCAAAGTAAATAAATGATACCTTTTGTTCTGAGCTAAGGCCAGTTGCAAGTAACACCTTAGGGGAGTCTGATGAACCCTTCATGTCTGGAAGTGATGGTACTGTTGTTGAGGAGTCAATTTCCTTATTGGGAGATGATGTTGATAAAATGGACACCATTTCTTCAGTGGCTGCATAGTCTATTGGAAGGAGTCCCTGTTTGTTTCTACAGTAGTGAGTAAAAAAGATCAGCAGGTAGTTTGAGGATCAGATTGGAACTACCAGTACATGAAATGGTCAATACAGATGGGGGGGGGGGGGGGGGGGGGGGGGGAAAGGAGAGGGGGGAGGGGTAAAGAGATCATGTGTGCTATAGTCAGTCTTGGTCAATAATTATACTGTGTATGGATCTCAATTAACAGTCAGTCGTTACCTCAGTTGGTTGGTACAGTAGTCAACCTTAAGAAAACCAGTGGTCAGCCAATTTTCAAACTTCATAAAAAAAAACCTTGGTCTACATCCAAACTAAGATGACAACCACTATTGGGGCATTGACTAAGCTGACTACCTGTTGAGAGTCGGTCACCTGCTGACCAATAAACAAATCCATAAAATAAGGTCATTGAAGAGAATTCTTAAACCGAAACCTAAGAGATAGTAAATTGAGTTTCCCACCTGACATTAAGAGCAGCTCCTCTGGAGATCAACAGACTCACTACTTCCACTCTCCCATTGGTGACAGCATCATGCAGAGGTGTATCATGATCAAATCCTCCAGGAGTGTTAATCATTGCACCATGTTCCAACAGAAGTTCAGTGATGGTAAGATAGCCATGGTTACAGGCTTCATGCTGAAGAATAAAATAAAATGCAGGATTTCAAGGTCAGAGATACAACTTAAGGAATAATTGATATCAAGATGAAAATCACTATTTGGACAGAGTGTTTCTGTTCTGTAAATATAGGTCACCTAAGATTGGAAGAACAATGAAACAGGTAAGATTTGCCATATTATAGTCAGGAATGTAACTCACCAGAGGAGTCCAGCCAGCATGATCTTTGGTGTTAGGATTTGCTCCTCCTGCAAGTAACTTTCTCACGGTTTCCACACAGCCCTATGAAGGTGATAATATTAGATAAGAAAAGTTACTAGACATGATCATCAGAGATATGTTATGCATGACAAAAGAAAAAGAAAACTGTATATGACAATAAGGGCTACATGTAAAGGAGCAAGGATGGTAAAGTGAAAGAATGTACTTGGTTTCCACCATTGTGGCAGAGATTCAATATCCCAAACCTAACATTACTTGTGGGTTTAGTTAACTGATGGTTCTCATTTTTGGTTTAAGATTTGTTCTCCAAGTTTCCTTCCTCCACAAAAACCAAATCTCCAATTTTTTTTTAATCAGAAATCTGTTTTATCACAGTGTACCTTAATGGCAGCCACATGAAGAGGTGTCTCTCCACGTTTATTTCTCTTGACTTCAGGGGGACAGAGAATACAATTCTTTGGGCTGCTTAAAGTCTGCTCTGACATTTTTCTTTTCCTATTTCCTGCCAGAGATAAATTCATGAACAATGTAAAGTGAATAAGAGAGATAATTCATGACATTTTTATAGGAGCTACAGCACATGCTTAAACATGGAGAAGTTTTCAAGGAATAACAGATTGGTAATATTTTTAAAAATGGTCAACTCCTTCATCAAGTGTAAACAATCATTAAATATTTACAGCAGCTGTATTAGCATATTTTAATCTAACCTTGGGACTTCAAAGGAATTTCTTTGGTAGCCTCTGTCTTTTTCTTTTTCATAAGCACCTGCTCATTGTGGATTCTTTCATTTGTAAGATTTTTTTGCAGCTCATTCTGAGGCAGGGTCCAAAGTGAAGAACTCTGTGGTGTTCCTCTCAAGTTCCTCTTTTGAGCCCTTGTCCTTGGAGTGCTTTCTACAGCTTTAGGACTCCCTTTATGTAAAGGTCCCTCATTTTGCATCATAACTGAGCCATCAGAAGTAAGTGGACCTTTTGATCTTAGCCTTGTAAAACATCCTGTGTCAGGGTTATCTTTGTATTTTTCTTTATCAGTATTGTTTCCCCCCTCATCTGTAACTTCAAACTGTTCAGTGACAATATTTTCTGTTAACATGTGATCAGTCTGTCCTTTATTTTCATGAACATCATTTTCTGTGACAACTGGACATGTTTTCTTTATTAATCTTGTTTTCTTTAAATGTTTTCCAAAACATTTTTTCTTTGCTTGTGTTCTTATCTCATCTTTTGAACTACCTGACAATGAAGTTTCAACAATTTCTTTGAATCCCTGTCCACTTGCTAGGATCTCATTTGCAGGACATGTTTCACTGTCCTGTTCACCAAGCTCCCTGCAGAGACCTTGTTTTGTAAATTCTTTCCCATTATTATCCCTTTTTGCTGCAGTGTTCGTCTGTGTTTTCCTGCTGAGATTCTTTGTCTGAGTGGGTTCCTTAGATTGTTTCTTGTTGTTACGTGATATTTCCTGCAGGGCAACATCACATTTGTTTGTTACCTTAGCAGGGATGACAATTTCAGGTGTTGAGAATTGATAAGAATCAGCTTCTTGATCAAACACTGACTGTGTTTCCTCCCAAATTGTTTTAATTTCTGGGAAAAGAATCAATAAAAAAACAATACACTTATTTTATCATCATCATTATCATTATCATTACATTTATCCTCATCAGCATTGTCATTATCATTTAATTCTCATGCTGTTAAAAAAAGTAATAAAGGATTATTAATATGAGCTTGTTCATCCATTAAAAATAAAGTGTTGTGAAGAATTTGTCCCTTACAACAATTTAAACTTCAGATCCTTTGATTTTGGAGATGGATGCTGTATATTTGAGTTACAGAGCAATGTGTGAAGATGGTACATATAGCTAGAATCAGCAGAATTTAATAAAAAGCATTGTGAGTGTTATAATAGAAATGATGATTTTTTTTTTAATGCAATTGACAATAATATCGCAATCTGATTGGCCAAGTTGTCATTGTGGATAAGAGTACAAACAACCCTGCTTGCTTTAACATGTCAGGTAATGGTGACACACTGAAAGAATCATTTTATTTGACACCAATATTGTGCTAAATTAACAAATCCACAGTGGTTTAGCATGGTCTCAGTGTACTCTTATCAACATCAATATTCATCATCACAATGGTCAAAATGTTTTTGACTCGTGAGGCACAGCCAAGTGAGTCTGCAACAAATAATAATAGTAGAAATAACAAATAAGAGTACAAACCACACAAAAGCACTGTCAATTTGTTAAAGTTTGGTTGTCAAAAGAAGAAAGATGTCCATCATTCAGCAGTAATTATCACCTGGTTTGTTATTTAAGTCTGAGATGCATTTGACATTGTTATCATCATCACCACTACTACTCTTATCATGATCATCTGATCCAACAAGCTTTCTTATCTTTGTACACATGCTGACAGTGTTGGCAAGTTGACGGTTGGTTTTCAAGTTCTTCACCCAAGCAAATGCTCCACATTCTGGGCATTTTGAATCAGCCCCAACCAATTTTTCTACACAGTTACTGCAAAAAAAGGATAAATCATTAGAACAATTTGGAGTCAGATAACTGTGGCAGTTCCTGAGAAGGAGTTAAAGGGTTCAGACCTAGGGTTCATATACTTTTTCAGAAACAAATTTCAAGAACTTTTCCAGGACTCAGATTGATTTTTCCGGGACTCCAAATTTCACCTTAAACCCTCTTGTTGCTAAGATTTCAAAATCAACTCTCCTTATGGTCTACATACATTTCTTACAATGTATATTCTGAAAACTTTATTGCTTGAGTTAAGCAGATTTCCAGGACTTTTCAGGAACTGTGGTCTTTTCCCAGGACTTTCCAGTCCTGGAAAATGTCAAAATAAAATCCCAGAACTTTCCAGGTTTTCCAGGACCTTTACAATCCCTGTAGAATGAAAAAAGGCACTTGGTGTGGAGGGCGTTAATATCCCCTGTAGCAAACAACTTTCACCCAGGTTTAATTTTGTGCATTCATGGTTATTTGTTGTCCAATGTGACTAAAAATACTATTGTGAACCATTTTTTAAAGTTCCCATTATAGCTACAGAACAATGTCAAGGAAGGAAACTTAACATTTTTACTTGAGGCACAGTCCCTCTAAAAAGTAAGTTCCATAAATATCGATTTAGTTTATATGTTTACTGGTACTGGTTTGAGCTCATCAAAACAATGTCTCAAAAATCGTCATAGACGTTTTGAAACGCGTTTTCGTTGGAATTTTGAGAATACTTACCTGAACCACAGGACACATCCATACTACACAAGCTACATTCATGAGTACATGTTATAATTGATTCAGCTGTTTAGTGCATTTATGTTCAAGATAACCTTAACACAACTCTCCGCTCATAAAATACAATCATTCACATACGTACCGACAGAAAATGTGGTCACAAGCTTCAAGAGAACAAGGATCAGACACAAGATTGGCACTAATAGAAAGATAAAAGTGAAATAAGCATAAAACGTGTAATGAAGGCATTCCTGTTATGGAACTGCAGAAGACAATCGCGGTGCTCCAAGAAATACATACCAAACTTTGCATGTTAACAATTCTTCCAGCTTTCCTAAGGCACTCCTCGTGTTTTCCCATCCGATCATCTCTCAAATCTTCCTCAAAAACCCAGACAAAACCTCTATGATAACCCGAAACAAGCGAAAACCTACCCTTCTCTATTTTTCCTTACACAAACTTCCCGCGCGTTTTGCATCTTGCTTAGTGACCGGGTCTTCACTTGACTTCGTAACCAAGCCAATATGGCGGACGATCTGTACCTCCTCACATTTTCCAGATATTTTCCATCCCTTTAGTACAAAAGTACGTTTATGCCATGCCCCGAGTCAGTAGATATTTTAAACTCGTAATCGACACCAGCAGGTGTATTTCGAATGCAAGACTTTTTACAACATGTAGTAAACGAGGAGGTACCTTCACATGTGGTCATATGATAAATTCTGGCAAATATTTTCCGCCAAAACGTCCATTTCCGGCAGCTTTACAGTGTTCAAAATTATCACAAGACAGCCGACTAACAAGAATAAGAAAAACTCTACCTGATGAAATATGGTCAATTATTATTGTGGGTAAGACTATCGCCCTTAAAAGCAATAGGTGTTTGCAATGCTCACATTAAGCACAACCAATATATGTTATAGTTAAAACTTTTAATCGGAAAAAGAGCAGCATCTACGGCATACTATTTTCAAACAAGGGCGTATTCTCAATGGTAATCTTTTCTTTTCTTTTTGTTCCCTAAGTTTTTCAGATCTCTTAGCCTAAGATCTTCCCATGTTATTTACTAGATGGACTTCCCAGAGGTTTTTTTACATGTTGATCATCAAATCATACAGTTGTTATTATCAACATTATAATTATCAACAGTATTGTTAATATCACCATCATCATCCTTCCTCACCATACCATCAATGTTATCCTCATTATTTGAATTTTCATGCAAGGCAGTACTTGCAAGACTTGTCACTGGTCTCATACTGAACAGATGTTTCTTACCAAGATTACAGTCTTCAAATGTGCTAGAACTTAAGTAGCATAGTTCTGATCTTATTTTTAAAATGCTATACAAATATTTTTAATTAGCATTACTTACTATGGGCTAAGAAGAGTTTCTGATTGAAAATTACTTCCAACTGCTTCAGTTTTTATTTTCCTCATCTAAGGGATCATGGTAATGTATAAAGAACAGAGGAATCTAGTTTGAAATTATTTCAAATTGAATTTCACTTTTAACTGAAACATATATTAGGTGTTATAGAAGCAAATTTTTAAGATCAATGTTTGTTATTACAGCACTGGGTGGTGTTCTTGTATTTACATATACACAATATGAAAAAGTTCTGTATGGCAAAAGGAGCCCCCCAAGCTTGCAAAACAAGTTAAAGATGGCTAAGGTAAGAAAACATAGGACTCTGAATATGAATATTAACTCTTGAAAGATGTTAGTTTGACTTCCTGCAATTTTGACTCTGGCTGCTGGGGTGAATTGGTAGGGTGCTGGACTACTGATTAGGAGTTTGAAGGTGAAATTCCACACTGAGCTAAAACTTAATTCCTAATCCTTGCAATCTACACATCTAAATGTCAATTCTCTTCTTTGTAATTTTAACCCTTTAACTCCCAACATCTCATTTGGAATTCTCCTTACTGTCAACTGTACAATTCTTGTGATGTTAGTTTGGAGAATTTGGTATTGGATCAACTAATGATCCCCTTATTGATATTTTTTGTTTTTCTCATCACTTGTCTGCCTTATATTGTCTTGGAATTGTAAGGAGAAATTCTGTTTTGGTCACTCATAGGATTTAAAGGGTTAAAAGATTTGGCATTGAGAATTTGATTTTAGCCTTTTCACTCCTAAGATCCTAACTGTCTGTCAAACAATTCTAATGATGTTAGTGTTGGGAATTTGGTATCAGATCAACTGATAATCTCATAATTTGTATTTTTTTATTCTCATCACTTGTCTGCTTGACATTGTATTGATACTGTGAGGATAAATTCTCTTTAAGTCACTCACGGGTGTTGAAGGGTTAAATTACAAAACATCCCCCTATTTGATACTCCTTTGTCCTCTCATCCCTCAACTGTGTGATATAGTAATGAAACTGTGAAGAGAAATTCCTTTTTCACTGTCTTGTTCTGTACCATTAGGCTGGCAGAAAGTTTTCTCACCGAACTAAAGACTTATATATTGATCAAGAAGAGCTAAATGACCCAAAATACTGGAATCTTTTCATCCTTTCTATACCCAACATACTTATAAACAATTTTTATTCTAATAGAAAAAAGCTTTAGATGGAGACAAAACACAGTCAATCATTTTGCTGAAGGAGGCTCTTGATCTTATACATGATTATCTTAAAGAAATTAAGCAAGATTCAGGTGAAGAACTTCATCTGGATGACAAGGATACAATAAAAGTGCAAAAGTACCTCACTTATGTACTGGAACAGGTAAGAACAAGAAGGTTTTTAAATCTGAATCAAATGTTGAAAGTATCCTATTTTCAAAAGGCAATAAATTTCTAAACAACCTCTGGTGCTGTGTCAGTGGGACATATTACAAGATAATTTGGTCCTATCAATGGAAAATTGGCCACTATAAAGAGATTCCAAAGTTGACATTTTGAATGTTACCAGTAACCACTCCATCTTTTTGTTAACACTCAAAACATCAGCTTTAGAAACTCTTTACAGAGGCCAGTTTGCATTATAAACTCAGTTGAGAAAACCAAATTGTCCTATTTTCTATTGAGCCAAGTTGCTTGTATTTCAAACTCTATGTAACTTTATTCATGTGTTTGTCTCTACTTGCAGCTGGCAAATCTCACATTTGAGCTTCAGAGATGGAATGAGGTACCATATGCCATTGCATTTATTGAGCATGTTGTTTTTGAAACCTGACAGCAACATAGTTTAACCCTTTAACTTCCAAGATCTGGTTGTTAATTCTCCCCTCTAGCTGCTACACATTTCCTTGTAAACTAGTTAGGAGAATCTAAAGTTTGATTGAGTTAATATCTTGCACCTGATGAGTTTGAGTATTCTCACTACCTGTTTGCTGGACAATGTGTGGATGAACAGATTTTGAGCTTGTAGCTATTAGAAGCATTCATAATTATATGTTCTTTCAAACCATTGATTTTCTTCAATCTTGATTCAGGCAGAGCATTATTTCCGCCTCTTACTAAGAGACCTGTTGTCACAGGAAACTCCTAAGGTCAGTGGCAATTAAATCTTTAGTGTTGTGAATTATTAAATACATTACAAATTATATCTCAATAATTATGACAGGAACGTCTGTAAAGGCCAACTAGGGGAAGTATTTATTGGCCATGGTAAAGATGTTTGTCATCATTTTAACAGCTGTGAAATTAATTCTCTGGCAGAGTTGGTATCTGTCAAAGACAGAGACAATCTCAGGCAAAACTTTTAAGTAGAGACATTTAATGCAAGATTAGTAGAATATTTCTGTTGCTTTTTGGTAACCTCACACATATACAATGTTTAGGTATGAAGAAGCACTAGGAGAACAGATAGTTTCGCAAATACTGTTATTACTGGGCTTTAGCAGTGATGGTCAACAGTTTAATAGAAAGCATGTTAAAGAAAGATGGTTTGTAGTCAGGTCAAAAACATGGGACAAAGAAAACAAACTCTTAGTCTCCTTCCAGTTCCTAATTTCTGAGTTTCAATTTCTTGTGGGGATTCAGAATTTTTTCTTTATCCCAAGCTCTTGATCCGACAAAAAACATACTTTCTCATTCCATTACAAAGCTTCAAGTGTGCCATCTTTCCTATATTTCTAAAAAAAAGTGGTGCTCCAACATTATTGGGTGCTCTGTTTCTTTGTATCAAAGGATGATGATAGTGTCATTGAGGTGTCACTGAAGCTGGCTATTGCATGTGCTCATCAAGACAAGTGAGTAAAGTCAATTTTAACCAGATAGAGAAAAGTAAATTACTTAAAATGTTGTTGTTATTTGGGGCAGGCTACCTGGTGAGCTGTTTATCAACTAAAACAGACGGATTGGTTTCAGTACCAGAGAGATTTGCCATCTCTGTCAAGCAAAATTGGCCCCCATTTTGTCTGAAACTAAGAACATTGGAGTAAAAAATTTCATTAACTGCCTACTTTGCAGTTTTTGCTGTGTACTTCAAATTTATTGAAACCCAAGAGGCTTTGTATTCTTTGAGACTGTTTTGCAATGCTTTTCAACAGACTCTTTCTTATATTACAGGCATGCTCTGGCCATACAAGGTTTCCAGTGGGCTACCAATACAATACAAAAGAAAGTGGATGAGCTACCAGCTACAACAGACAATAGGTTGGTAATTATAATCATGTTGCAATTGAAAAATGGTTTGCTCTACCAGTATCATTATTGTTATTATTTTCAGCTTCTTTACTTATTCCCGTACCTTGAGCACTGGCAGACCACGCTATGTGTTCGTGGTTAATGATTGTTGACACGAGACAAACAAAATCTATGAGGGTTATGAATAAAGCTCTGAAAATTGCAGACCTAAATTACATCTTGGTCTGAATATCTTAATAACGTTAAATAGAATGTTAATCAACTCATTTGTGATATTTTTTGCCTTCATGGGCCGTTTTAAGTGTCTTTGTATGAAATTACTTTTTGAGGAAGAGAAGGTCGCGGCTGGCGGCCACCAAGTTGCAAGCCTTGCCTCCCTTTCCAAAAGTAATTTCGTTAAAATATTTTGTTCGTCTGTGGCTTGAGTGCCTAGATAAGGTAACGAAACAAGAACTTTACAATTTATTCCGCTCTTATCTGGCTTATTTAGTGCGTGTCTTTTGTTTCAGTAAGGCACTGTTAGGTGTGTGTCTAGAAGGTTGGGGCACTTATCTACTGGCTCACGATAAGCCCGCACAAGCAGCCCAACTGTTATCAAGAGCCTTGAATATTTCCAAGGAGGTGTTGGGAGAAGACCATGAACAGGTAGGAACAGTTGGGGAACAGAACATTGTGTCTTTGGGAAACCGTCTGACAATAGTCCTTAGAGCAAATAAATGACAATATTTCTCGGAGGGATTCAACATGGAGTGAAATATTTTTAGGTATGCCTCATTTGGAATTACCACCCTCTTGTTGTTTTGTCTCACGTCCGCATTGCCGGAACAAATTAGTTTAACTCATCTTTTTGTGCTAATATATCTCACTGGTTTAGTATTAGTTAAACAACTCTTCTTCTCAGTGTTAGTGGCTGGTGGTGGATATCCACCTCGCCGCTTTGTGGCTCGGTAAATAACTGTCACCAGCCACCTTCACTTGGGTGAATAGTTGTTAGTTATACCTAGCATTATTTTTTTGGTCTTGGTAAATGTATGTGTATTTTTTATTTATTTATTTATTTTTTTTTAGTTTTTCAATTAATCATTTTTCATGTTGATGCAAACCCTTCGATTGATTTTGATTTTTGTTCCATTAAGACGACAGTGATCCTTAACAACCTTGCAAAAGCCCACGCGGAAAGTGGCAACTATGAACACGCAGAAGAACTTGCTAGAGAAGCGATACGCATCGCCGAGAAGACACAAAGCACACATCTCTCTCGGTTTATGGCCAACCTGGGAACAATTCTTAATTTGGAAGGTATGATCTAAAAACTTGATAAATTAGAGTTGATTCTTTCACGGAATAGCTAGCCTGCAGCCACACTCTCCGTACTTGTGGTGAGGCGTGCACGAAGAACGAGTGACCCGCAAGAGGAAAAGTACGAAAAAAAAATCCTCTCGCGCGTGATCTCTCCTTCGCACACAAGGTTGCTCAACTGAAGAAAAACGAAGGGGTGTACCTTTCTTTTAAAGACACCATGGCCCGCACAATTTCTCTGGCGGACTCTTCCCTTTTCCTTACCCTTTCTGATGATTTTTGAAAATAATTTTTCTCCCCTCAGGAAATGTAGTGAAAGCTAAGGAAGCTTTGAAGAGTGCGCTGAAACTAGCAAACGAAGCCAAGGACGAAGAAACTAAAGAAATGATTCATAACAGTTTGACTGAGATGGACAGTAGTCCCTCATAATGAATCAAGAATTGTGTCGATTCTGTTAGAAAAGAAGAATTTTATAGAGGTCGAGATGTTACAGTAATGGGACGCTTTTTGACAAACTAGAGCGCTGCTCAAGCAATAGACCACACTTTCTATCCGTTTACCGGCGCGGGATGTCGAGAGAACACTGAAAAAAATTGTAAAGAAAGAGCCAAATGGGTTTTTTACGCCGGTAAACCGTTAGAAAGGGCAATGTGTTTCTATGGTTTACCGGTGCAATAAACGATAGGATTTTGACCAATTAGGGCGCTCGTATTGTAGTCTCTCGTTTATTTAGTAATTTCTAATGGTCAGAGGCATAGAAAAGTAGGGACGGGAAGGAGTGAACATATCTGCTTTTTGTGCCCGTCTGCCTGTGTTTATTCCGTGACCTACATGAACTAACTAAACATCTAATAGCGTTCGTGACAAGCACGAAACACAAACTGAAACGTTCAACAAATTTGGCTCTTCCAGCCTTAACGTAACATTATGAGAAAATTCAGCAATCTCCCAGTCAAACAAATTGTACAATAATGTATTTTCCAAATCGTGAGTTGAAGCCTTTTCATTTCCTGGTCTCGAAAGCAGTACCTGAAAAGTAAACAAAAACTGAAATGTAAACATTTTCCCATATGTGATCCATACACCAAGATAAAGTACCACGAAAGACTTCAAACATCTGTTTCGAGCGAGGGACAGAAAGAAACATCTGCGTCAACCTTGCCGATTTGAAATGGAGTTCTTACGATTACGCGTTCCGGCTCGGATGTTGAAATAGCAAAAGAATTCTCCTGACAATAGCCAATAATAGCCATGCGAGACGCGCCTTTCTCTGCCCTTGGAGAAATATGCGACGAGTCGGGGAGAGGCTTGCCGGGAATCTGGCTAATACTCAATGACAGACCCTTTGCAGACTGCGGATGTCTCGCCAGCTGGCGGACGAAGGAACATTTGAACCGAAGCGCTGATCATGAGGGCCTGCACGCAATGTAATGCTCTAATAACCGAACTACCTGAGTACTTGTCATAACACAACGTAGCCGCGGTAACGTAACATTACATAATGTAACACAACACGACAATATTTATTCAAGATTAAGAAACTACAGATAACGTTCAGGCGTGGTATACCATATACGAGCTTCTCTACAGCTCGAGAAAACATTTTTTTTTTACTTTAGGAATGAATTGTTTGAATATTTCTGATTGTTCTAGAAATACCTGTGTTTGGAAAGCAGAAATCCCATTCGCGCTTATCAATTCCCTCTTTCTCGTTTAGATCACACGACTTGAGAAAGCCATAGAGACATGGCTCGAAATCAAGAACGTCAGAAAATACATCTTGAATTTCCGCTGTATCCAGAACGTTATTTTTGTCCCGGTCAATGTACTCAAATTCCCACTGAAATAAAAGATGAAAAAATTTCAATAAAGGATATGATGCGAGGCCCTCTTCGGATTGTCTTGAGTAACTTGTAAGTCAACCCCTTCCATCCCCTCCCCCCCTATCAAAAATTTCTGGATTCACCCCTAAGTACGCACTCACCGACAAAATTTCTTTACGTTCGTCTTCAGTGAGCCCGTCGGCTCGTGCATTGAAGTCCAACGAGGTGGTGGGGTCTATGGAATGTTCTCGTGCGATTGTGATCCATTCTAGGTAGCGAGTCGGGAACTGAAGCAGAAACTGTTCTGAACAGGCATACTGATCTGAAAAAGATGTCATTTATGCGTTTCAACCATTAATTCTGACTGCATCGCATTTTGACGTGACAAATTCTTGAGAAAACACAAATAGGGCGCCTTTGGAACCTGTGGGCTTGCTGGGGGAAGTCTGAACAGAAGGGATCGACAATAGTTCTCGCCTGCCCTCTACCTCTTACGCGAGGTTACAAACTGAATTAAGGCCTCATCGCGAGTTTAAGTCGGTACAGAGTTAACCGTCTGTGTTTCCTTAACCTTTTAACTCCTAGACCAAATTTGTAATTCTCCTTACTTTCAATCATACAATTCTTCTAATGTTAGTTCAGAGAATTTAGTATTAGATCAACTCATTATCCCCTAATTAATATTTTTCTCTTTCCTCACGATTTATCTGGTTGATATTGTATTGGTATTGTAAGGAGAAATTCTGTCTTGGTTTCTCATGGGAGTTAAAGGATTAACGCCTAATCACTTACGACAAATTGAAATTGTTGAAGTTTCGAGTACAGAGCGCGTGGGTGGGGGGGGGGGGAGGGAGGGGAGAGGATAGTAAGAAAAAATAACAACACTTCCACCCTTCCTACCATTCTTCTCACCCCACACCGGTTAGGATGTCACTGGCTTTAAGCTCTCATCAATCTCATGCAATCAACAGTAAACGTTAAAAAAAACTAACGGAAAAATACGAATCGAGAAAAACCAGAGGGTTAAAAAGACTTGTCGGTTTTCATGATTTCTCACTTTCTTCTATTAATTAAACTCGTATATCTTTGTCAACGACTTATCACAAGATAACTGGTAGATTAAGTAACACCTGCTTCACTTACTCTCTGTCGGACACTTTCCTCGGTTCATTACTTTCATTGTCAGGTCGTGTGCGCATGCGTACCTGTGCATTTCGCATCGGTTGTTGAACTCTCTATGATAAAAGCTACAAACCGGTTCAGAGTCTGATGAACATTCTTCTGGACACTCGCAAGTAGTGTAGCTTTCACCGCTGTCCGTGGAGGACACACACATTCGCCCCCTTGGACAGACCACACCCTTACAAGGATCTTCGTCCTGTCCGTGCACCTGATAGAGTAAAATACATGGGCTCGCATTGTGTTGGTACAGCATTCTTAATCCGTTTTAAACTATATATATCCTGCTTAGCTTGTTAATGTGAATTTCTCGAGCCTCCATCTCCTTTTTCCAGGTACCTACAGCTCCACCGTTAAAAAAAAACTCTCAAAACGACCTCGCAGATCATAGAAACTAGGCGAAACAAACTTTGCTGTCTAAATCAGCCCTCTAAGGGCGAAAAACAGGATATGGGTGATGAAATATCCACCTGCCGAGATAAAAGTCCTGGAATCTTCTCCCGAATTGGAATTTTTTCTTACAATACTTTCAGGTAAATTGGGTTTGGTGATTGCATGAGAAAATAATGGAGTTATTTTCTCGTGGAGATAACCAGTCACTTCCGATTGTCGTTTTATGAGACAAGCACCTTGTCTGTTTAAATATAACAAGCACGAAATTTTGACACTTTCAAATGGTTGCCTTCAGCTAATTGCATGCGAGCGATACTTTCATTCCGATCCACTTTATTTGGACGAAGGACGAAGGAAGACCACACGAAGAATAGGCACTCTGTTCTCGTTGCGCCCCTTTCCTTGTGTTCCCCTCGTTCTAGCCGTCACGTCCTTTCCACCAAGCTCCAGGTCGACTAAAACTCAAGTGATTAAAGAATCAAGCGCAACTACAGCCTAAATCCCTTCCCCCCCTCTTCCAGAAGCCTAAACATGGAATAATCCATTCGAAGAGACAGTAGTAGCAGACGGCCACGAAAAAAATGTTTACGAGTTCCGGGGTAGCGAGGTATTTCCCTTTTGGACTCGCGCTGCGTCATAATTGTGCCGCGATAGACTGACTGTTCAAAGTCTTTCATGAGCCATTCTTTTTAGACTCGCGCTACGGATTTATTGTGCCGAGATAGACTGACTGTTCAAAGTCTATCATGAGTCATTTGCATTTCTCTGTCCAGTGTCCGGAAGAAAGCTGCGGGGAGATGTGTTTTTCTCGAGTGGATCAGGTATCACGCCCATATGCAAAGACCACCCTGATAGGTCTTAAAGCCGACCGCTTAAGCTTGATATTCGAGACGACTGAGAGCTATTTAGCGGATTTGTAACATGCTAAACAAATTTAGAACAAGAGAAGGGAAGCAGAAGTCTTAAGTCAGAGATTCGAGGATCCTAAAACCTCGATCTACGTAATTTTTATTAGTTGCTGAAAAGTCAAGGGAAAATTCACTTCGAAAACTTAAAAGTTTTGCGGCTTTAAGGTCGCTGATGGCGGTGTCTTTCAAATTTTACCGCATTACATTCAAGAAGTTTCGTGGCAAAAAAATGTAGCCGGGTTAATCCTTAAAATTTCTAAAAATATTACTTATCATATTGTCATATCTTGGAAAACAACCAGGCAGAATTAACGAATTTATGACCTGGGTCACTGCAATCAACGAAACAGCTGGTCTTTTATCATTGCTGCAATCCTTATAGAAAAAACATTTTAAAAAAATCTATACCTCATTTCCGATTAATATAGGTTTATCTTCACTATACGGGCATTTGGGTTTCCATGTTGGCTGAATTTTAAGATCTTGTAGACAGGCCCACAACAAGGTACCCTTGGAGAAATTTAATCATTGAATTTAAATCGCTATGTTATGATCTGTGAAAGCGACGAAAGCGGCAAAGGTATTTGTGTTGAAAGATTTCTACCCAAAAGAGTTTCTGGAGTTCATTCATACCCTCACATGCCAGTAAGTCATCTCAGTAGGCTAGTATGCTTTAAAAAAAAACAATGAAAAAATCTAAAAAACGCTGCAAAACATTTGCAAATCAAAGCAGAAACAGCTCATCGAATACCAGAACCTCCGATGATTCAAAGGTATTCGGTATCAAAATATCAAGAGGATTTGAGGCATTTACTCAAGCATTCTATTTTACGCCCATTAAAAACTCAAGAGGTTTCAATAACTTTCAAGAGCTTTTTAGACAGAATCCAGCTCAGAGTCTGTTATGGATTCCTTTACAAGAAATCAGCTGGCTTACAGGTTATGGATAATGATTTCCTAAACGGTACGAAAAATGTACGTTCCAGTTAACTGTATAAATCGATATTAAATCAAAAAAAGTACGAACTCGCTCTCAACAGGAAAACCTGTACCAAAGGGAATTTCGTTTGTATCGAGAGGTGGAATTTTCCTCTAAATTTGACTTCTGAAACTAATGAGGTAGGCGAGATAGGTTCCAGATGAATTAGGAACTGACCTCCTTTGTCTTGATTGAGTGTCATAACAATCATCAATCACTGATATTTTTGTTAATTTTTCAAAATTCCCCAAGGTACTTAGAGGTGTTTACACTAGGCGAAAGGAAATTCTTCGGTATGTTTTCTTTGCAAAAGCTCGGCCATTTTGAGTTAAGAAACTGGTGAATACAAAAATGTGTTCTAGTCAATCGACAAGGGAAATCTGTTAACAAGGAACGTTATTGTTTCTGCTCTTATTGAGAAAAGTTATAAACATCAATCTCTAAATATCTGTAAGAATAAATATTGATCGTGCAAACTCTCACACAGGGATTATCAATGCACTTGAAAATGCAGCTTCTCTCGAGGTGGAAGGTTCTGATTTAGTCCGTGAGTCAGAATTACCATAAATAGGTCAGATATCAATGATTCTGCTTAGTACACATGGGGCGCCATAAGTGTGGCTTGGGACGAAAAAAACCCGTCCGTTTGTTGAGCATTTTGTTTTACATCCCTCGAAGAAAGCAGCTTTTCCGATCGATTAATTCACTCTAGAAAAACAGTTATCCAGCATTATTTGAGGTAAGCCTCTTGCTAAACAACCGCGCAGTAATGCTTCACTAAGTCGGTTTCCAACACCGGGAGTTAATTTTTTGTCACTTAGATTTTGTCATCAATGCTTATTCGTTCTTAACCCTCCTAATCGATAGTATCATAAAGACGGCAAGGAGTTCATTCTAAACAGGCATTCAACGTGCTCACCTGGCAGATGCAAAATAAACACAGAAGCACGGAGATGTAAAAAAGCCTCTCGGTCTCCATTTTCTTCCAAATCGTTGCGGATTCAAGCCGCCACCTAGAGTTCTGTTGATGTTCCAAGTTAAATGATCTTCTCGCAACACGCCAGGGCGTTGAAAATATCTCCGCTACTTCGCTTTTATCATAAAGAGGCGTTCACTTATTAGTCTGGTATGGCTATGTAACATGAGAAATGATCAGAGCGGAAGCTCTCTCAATTCAGTTATTTGATGTGGAGAGCATTTATCTGATCAACCACTGGCTGCCGAGAGAATTCCCACAGCTTCGCATAGCAATCGTACTAACCTGCCTTGTTTTCCAGAGGAAGTTTTTTTTGATAACATCGAGATAAATTATTGCGGTTAGACTTTATCTCTGTTTTCTTTCGTCCTTGTCATTGTTGGCACAGACAGTCGAAGACCAAGTCTACAGTACCTGAACTACAGAAACAATTTCTTGACAACAAAGAATCATTGATGGTTTTTAATTGTTTGAGCAGATTGTGTTATCTTACTGCAGTGCCGATGTCCTAATGGCCAAAAAAAGGTTTAATTAGTTTCGCCAGTATATTTTTGCTACACTAATCACTTTAGTGTAAACTTCATCCTCAAGAGAAAACCGCATACTAAACCTTTTTATTATGACTATTTGAGACTGCAAAAGTGAAGACTTTTACTGACCGGAAAAGCGCACTCCAACATCGCGCGGAAACTAACTCCATTTTCTCCTTCCAGAAGGGAATTTTATAAAATTACTCCTTCAGCATAACTGCCGGAAGGTATAACTTCAATTTGAACTCTTTGTTTGTTTTGTAAATTGTCATCGTCTATTAACTGGAATCAAAATACTTTAAAACTTTTCTTGGTGTTTATTTTAGTAAATAGGGTGATCTTGACCCTATGCTAAGGCTAAATATTATATAGACCACACACTAGACAGTCATTAAAGTTCACAGAAGTTCGTCCAATTAAACTTATTGACAATATCAGATGCATTTTCAGAGATGCCAGGTGATTTCAATTTGAGAAGTGCAAATGGTTTACGGTCGTTTCGTTACCGAGAGAAATCGAAGTCGTTTGGCCTCAGATAATAAGTCGTTTCGCTCCAGGAGTAAACTTTTGAAAGCTTTTCCCAACAGTTTACCTCAATATGAACACTAAAAAAAGGGCTCCAACATTTTAGAAAAAGATGTGAATTTTCTCATGACGAGCACGTGTTAAAGAGAAAAACCCAAAACCCAACAAAGATTCAAAGCTTGGACCCTCACGCTTCGATGCTCTACCACTGTCGATATTCAGGGTTACCGGTCACTTCTCCGACATGATAACTGGCTGACGCCATTAATTTAAGAACTCACGGACACCAATGGTCCACTCGCCAACAGTAATGGGGAATTTAAGAAACGACGACGACGATGCCGTGGACAACGTCGGTTAAAACGCGAACCTTTATTTTACCTACGAATCTCGCGATATACTCAAAAGTCATTTAATTTGTTTTTCACGGTCAAAACTATCTCGAAACTGAAAATGGAACACAGCTTTAAATTAGAAATAGAAATTTAAAAAATTAGCCGTAGATGTTCACGTTCTCCAGACAGCGCAAAGTTTGGTCATTACACGTTGTTGTTTTGCAGAGGACGCAGAGAAATCTACAAAAATTTTTAACGCACGTAAACAGTCATCATTCGTCAGTCAGTCATTACAACAGTAATCTCTTAGTTAATCATTTCCTAATTTTCGATTGTCATTAACAAAACTTTAATAAAGTAACAACACTGCAACAAAGCTTTGAGGTATATTATTAAATAGAAGACAAATACAAGGCCTAGATACCTTAATCCAGTAAAAGAAAAGTAGAGGTCTTGCACAGTTATTGTAGATCTTGTATGTATATATATACACTATTTCCTTTTTTTTTGCATTATTTTGTTTTTATTAATGTTTATTTTAATTATTATTTCTAGAATATATAAGCTAATTCTCTGTAATTCCATATGAACTTGATACGTATATCTACTCTGGCTACTAAGTAGCTCATAAAAGCAAACAAATTTCATCTAATTCTATCATTACTTTAACAATAAATAACAGTAAATACATTTCATCTGCATGTCAAAAAATTCCTAATTATTTACCATTCGTTTGGCGCATAAGGGGTCGCAAAAAACTGTTCATTCTGCCAAAAAAATTAAACAACATCTTATTTGAAGGTAACCAGTTAATATTATTTCATTGGTTACTCTGTCTATTACAAAATATATAACAATAATTGAGACTTAAGCACAGACTGGATGCTTGTCCAAAGTGTTCTATAATTATACCAAGTATGAATGAATGTCTGTCTTAAGAAATTGCTCAATGACATGTAAATATGACCCTATTGCATCCAAATAATTTGGTAAACAGGGTGTCATATTAATAGTTGTGCCATTGTCTTGAGAGTTAAGTTTGCTTAAATAACTTATATATATTACCACAAATAGTAAGTATTCCACTTCTAATAATATATAAAGATTCCAGAGAACACTGAAACAAAAAGCGTTATATAAAACACCAGCAGTTTAACACAGGGAGCTGCAAATAGATGCATAAATAATCATAAAGACAGATGCTTTTCAGGGACACAAACTCTGCCAATACAATGCCCTTTGAAATAAACAATAATCATTCCACAATAGAGAAAACAATCAGCTAGCTCATTAACATACTTATTAAGCAGTTATTAAGCAGATGCATCTACTGTTAGATGTGTCTGCTTTGTCTGTCAAGACTAGTTTGCCTTAGACTAGTTCTAAGTGGGCACATTTTGGTCCCCTTATCTTTGAGCTGCACTGCAGGTAGATTAAGTGTTGAAAATGATAATTTTGCACTGGTACTTTGATATTCTTTGCTCCTTTACATAGTTAACATGCCTTTCCTATGAGTTTTCCATTGGCTCCATGTGAAGTTGAAAATTGTTCTGAATCACTGTCAGTGGTAGGTCAGTTAGTTTTGGTTTCAGGATGTACTCATCACAAAAGTGTCTACCACCCAGCAACCACAAACCCTTTACAACCTTACATCAGTATTCATATTCTCCCTACTGTTCTCTATACATTTCCTAAGGTGCTGACAAGGAGAATTTACCTAACATTCAAGAGTTTCTTTAGTTAGTGATAATTTCCTTTAATCTTTTTACCTTAATGTGTAATTCATGGTTGAGCTTTTAAGGAGAAATTAGATGCTAGTCACTCTTGGCAGTTAAAGGGTTAAATAAATGTTTCTGACATTTGAAAGCAGAGACAAACAAAATTGCCACTCAGCACAAGGAAAGTGGTCTTAGAATGCTGGGAGCCCTGTGAAATATCGCACTTACATCCTAACAATTCCACAAAGGAAAGGTCAATTAACAGGTCTCCTGTTAATTAAAAGGCACAATAACAATTGAGTTTGGAAAGGATAAGAAGTTAAATTATTGCAGCTACCTGTTTACTATGAACATCATGCTTAAGCATTTTATCATGTGTCAATTTGCTTCTGAAGTAAACTCACGACCAGATCAAGAGCTTCTTTTCGTTTTAATGTTTGTGCTGTAACACATTCTGTCAGTGCCTCCTGGAGCAAATTGTTAAAATCCCCTTCTTCAGGAGGGGAGTGTAACAGTCCTTTTCCACTTCCTATATCTGATAACACACTGCGGCAAACTGCATAATAATTTTGATCTCGTATGACTCCTCTGCAGAGCTCAGCCGGGTGTGAGGACAAGCAATTTGTCTCTTCCCAGTCACAAACATCCACAGTCTTTTCTCTTTCGGCTATAAAATAGAGTTAGCACAAGTCATGGTAAGGTTCTACTTCTAGATGTTTCTAATATATCTGTAACTCTCCTTTCTGTCTGTTATAAATACATTTCTTACTATGTTAGTTCCAAGAATTTAGTTTTAAATAGATGATATCCTCTACTTCATCTTTTATTTCCTTATTCATATCACCCATAAGTTTGATAGTGTATGGATATCAAAAGAAGATAGTACTCCTTAGTTACCCCAGGGATAGAGGGTCAAAATGCATTTCACCATATAGCCCCTACATTCAATCTAGATTGTTCATTAACTGACCCTAAAAAATCTATTGTCTGTTATTGCTCTTCTCACCAGTAAGTTGGTATTTGAAAGAAAAATTAATAAAGGGGGCAAGTTTCTCAAGAAACTGTGGTGCTGCATCATAGGGAGAGTAAACAAGATAATTTTGGTTTAATACACTAGAGTGGATTTGTACTTTGTCAGTTGATAGAACCAAATTTTCTTAGTATGTAAAAGAATTCAAAAACAAAATTACACAGTATTGCTAACCTTACCTTTGATACCTGAACCTGATAGATCAGCCACTAAAATTCCATCTGCATCTTCAAGTTTCACTGTTCCATTTGATACGGCAAAATTATCTAGTGCTATCTCTGTCATATACAATCCCCAATCTTCTGGATTATTTGACAGCTGCTTTGCAATCTTGATTACTGCAAGGGCCAGCTTTGCTCTCTCTATCCAGGGATATGACAAAAAATAATCAAGAGGAAGTCCTGCATCCTCAACTATAATCACTCTGCCACAAGCTCCATAGAATTTGGGGAAAGGCCAGCCCTTTTCAGAAGGAAAAACCTACAAAAAAAGATACAAAAAAGAAGAAAATATCGTACTCAATTACAATCGATTCACTAAAATTAAAACCATGAGGATTTTAAGAACAATGATTGTCTTTTTCCACTATATTTTGTTAATTTCCCTTTCAAAGAATGATTTGGGCATTGTTGATCCTAGCATTAGACATAAATTGTATTTTGGCCCACAACTTTGAACAAGTTTTGTTAGAGAATGCAAAAACTTTGGACAGTTTGTTAAAGAATGGGAGAAAAAGGCTACAAACATTCATGGATAGCATTTGCTCACCTGAAAAATTATGGGTTCCTGGTTCACATAAAGTGTGGAAGTAAGATGCAAAGTTCTAAGACTGGTTTGGCTCTTTTGAAATTTCTCTCCTATATAAATATTTTTAACTTTGGAGATGAATCTCTCTGATGGACAGTACATGGTTTCCTTCATTACACTGTAAATTAAAACATAATTGTTTTAACCTTCAACAATCAGGAATCGTTAATATGTATTGGTAACCTCTCTTTACTAAAACAATACAAACTAACAGATGATGAGAAAAAAAAAATTGTCAGCATCAGGATTTTTATCTGAAGGGGTGCACTGAGAGACAAAGAGAAGTATCGAGTTTTCATGTTCCTAGAGGCTAACATGTTCCTAGAGGTGTAAGGAAATAAGATGCATGAGCCAGAATTAATTAAGCATAGTCTACGCTGCATCTCATCGCTATCTTTTCTAACCAAAGTTTTTTCTCAACATCAAGAGAATAGTTCTTACCCTTCCTCAAGAGAAAAAGAAAACACTTGCAGTCTAGTGTGCAGAAGAAAGCCCACAGCCCATGATATGCTCCAAAATTATCCTAATGGCTTTAAAATTGTAAGGTATTATCTTGTGAACATAGGGAGAGGTAAATTTTGCATCAGAAGTCACTTAGCACTTCAATCCAAGGACCCCTTCATTTTACCAAATTCTCTTCATTATCAATTTAAGTTAATTTAAGAAAGATAACACCATTGAAACTGAAAATATCATCAATTTTGAGGGTTGAAAAAACTAAGTTATAAAGTTGTACTTGGAGAGTACACTGAACATACTATATAATTATGTGTTATTGATCAAGTGTGAGGTCAAGATAGCTTGAAATTTGCTGAGTTTTTTTTAAAAACTTTTTTTATAGAGTTAGACTAAGTCAAGGTTCATAAAACAATGACGCTAATATCAAGCCATCTTTACCAAAAAAAAGCTTGGTCAATAAAGGATTTATTTCAGAGCAAAAAGATTTTGCATTTAATTTTTAAGTTCATTAAGCATCAAGAATGACTTGCTTATTTCGAGAGAAGGGAAAGACAGCCAACTGTTTTGTAGTTCAATAAACCCATGGGAGTCTTTTTCCTTTTCTTTATTTTGACTGTCTTCAACCACTTTTTGCAACTCTATCAGTAACACTGCCCCATAATTACGAACCTTTTTGTAAGTTTTCTCCAAGGAATATTCTATCTAGCACGGGACCAAAGCAAGCAATCAAGAGCAGACAAGATGGGCCCATCTTGTCCACTCAGGTAGCTAAACAGATCACAGGATTCGCTTCATATTGCCCATGGGTACTGCCAGTGATGTTATAATAGTGATAATATGTAATACTATTCTGTCAAATAAAGTGACTCACAGAGAGACACACAAGTGGGATTTTCTAGCCATTTTGTTTGATTCTTTGTAATCTCTATTATCACTGGAAGGAAACATAACGTGTATTAAGGCCGTGCCCTTCCATAATTAAAACAATAAAACTACTTAGTGCAACCAAATGATCGGTATTAAGGAAGGTTCTTTGGGTAATCCTGATCAGTAATTAGGGGAGAGCCTCTTAACACTCTCCTTAAGAGTATAATAGGTGTCACACTTAACCTCCGACATTACTCAATATTTGTTTACACTAAAAAAGGCACTAATCCTGCTAAGACCATCGTTTTTTTTTTTGCCTGGATTAGCTCCATAATTTGTTTTGAAAAACATTTTTGTTTTGCATTGCGTGACGTACGATATATAATATAGTAGCAATAGCACTTGTTTTGACACTTCGATCATTGTTTAGTAACAAATCCAAATAAAAAGTGAAGTTTTCAAAATTTGATAAAACATCACTTACCTCTCTATTGATGAAAGATTAAGGAACGGTTTCCGAACTACATCATTTTCGCATGGAGCATTTACCGTTCCCACCATGCTACACAATTCATTATCAAGCTTGTGGAACTCGCTGATATTTCCTAAATGCTTGATCGAAATTCTGTCTTTATTCAATATACCAAGAGCTTTTGGTTTCCACTTATCTCCCAATGAAGCCCTCTTTTTACGGCGTAACCGTACAGTATTGTGTATAACACCTTCACAGATAGATTCATTGCGACCAAAACAGACAGGGCAATGGCCTACTCCGAGTGATTCTGGCGTTACAATCACGTCTTTTATTTCGTATTCACATCCGACATCAATCGGCAAATTTGATTTGATCATCGGTTCAAGGAGAAGATAGGCAAACATCAACAGCACAACGGCAAAAACGGCAACGCGCCATCGCCTTGGTACAAAATAACAAATATTTGAACCAGACATTATCGGAGGTCATGTCGATCAGCTGAGTTGAATCATTGGCTGTGGACTCCAAAAGGCCAGCTTTGAAAAGTGTCACCTTGTGTGATTTTTAACATTGCTCCCATTTCAGTCCTTCCCAAATATTCTGCTAGATTCTGTTAAAGTAATTAAATCTTCAGAAACAAAAATTGACGTTTTGAAGTGGAAAATAATTTCGGCGGCAGAAAACGTGTTCTCAAGAAAGCCAACTGCCGATCATAATGCTAACAAGGAGCCAAAAGGAGCCTGGGCTCGAGATTGAGGCCTCATCAAAATACACCTGTTTTGATCTGCTCCTGGTGTGAGTCACCGCTTATTTCTGCCCGTTTCAAACATAACCTATTTACACCGCTGTTTTTCATTATGTCGCCCTAGAATATGGCTTCAGGTGCCTCGCAGACCTATACAGAAAGTAAAGTGCAATTTCGTAGCGCTGATGGCGATGCTGAAGACGAGGAAGACAGTGAAGATGTCTTAGATCCCCGAGTGAAGGTAGACAGTTTCTAGACACGTACGGTCAGTTGTTTATCTTAAATGATTACAACACCCTAAAATTTACCGTTGTACACATTAATATTTATCTTTTAGTTTTGACTGCCTGGAAAACTACCACAGTAACAGTGTTTCTTTATTACCTACACATGTTTTTCAATTCTAATGTGTTCGAGTTTTTTTCGTGATATTTAAACAGGGGGAGTTAGAGCGATTGAACTCTTCGACCGCAGAAATCAATCGTCTGGAACACGATCTTGAGGTAAGAATATGTATATTAATATCATAACGTGCAGCTTAACGATTAAAATAGTTGTATAAATGCTTGCGTTTATCTTTGATGTACTAGATAGATGCAGACTTACATTTATGCAGACGTTGATTCTGAAGGTCGATCGAGCCAAATGTTTCTTTAACGATATTGATTACAATAATTTCATATTGAAGATGTCCATTCCAAATGTCACGAGCTTGAACTAGTGTGTATTGTAAAACGTATTCAGCATTGAAGTTGAGGGCTAGCCCTCCGGCCTTTAGCCCACTGGCATTTATTCCGAATCTTTTGCGAATTGGGCTACATACCAGGGATTTGACTGTATTTGTGGTAAAATATCGAACATCAGAAGTTTCCTAATTATTTGTTATATTGAAGTTGGTTTGGTTACTGTCAAGGACTCGGTTAAAATTCCGTTGATGAAATGATGATACATACATACATACATATACTTTATTTATACTCGAAATTCACAGTGTAGCTGTAGAGCTAATATCTTCGAGAAAATAAGCTAAAATAAAATAAAATATGCTATATTACAATTCCAATATTATTTATAAACTATATAAAACATTATGCATGCAGAGGAAAATATAACTTGTGGAAAAGCTTCATATCTGAGGATCTCCTGCTTGAATTCTTGAAAATTTAATGTTTTTCAAGTGTCTGGGAGAGAGTTCCATAATAATAAGCTGTGGTAATGCAGGCCATGTGTATAAGGGGCATACTTTATTTATTAGTTGCCCTACAACTTCATGTTAATGGTCTTCTTTTTTTTTTCGGTATCAAATATTATTCCTTTTTGGGTTGGAAAATGGGCTGTCACAATAGTGAGAGCACTTAGCCTCTCACCTGCACAGCAGTCAGGGTTCAATTCCTGCTCATGGCATCAATCAAATGTGGTTGATTGTTGTTTTTGTTAGTTCTCATCCTTGCTCCTAGGACTTTTTTTCAATATACTCATCTTTTCCTCCCTCCATAAAGACTAACACTCAAAATTCCAAATTCAACCTGAAGAGCTGCTCCATGGAAGGGCCACTACTTATCAACAATTCCAATTGATTTGCATCATTTATTTTTGCCTTTTTTTTTTTTTAATATTCAGGAGCTTCAAGCAACATTCAGACAGACACTGACAGAGTCAGCATATGTTCTGAAAAGCCAAGCCACCTTTCTTGGATCAAAATGTATAGATCGAGCACGGCCGTATTATAATGCAGTACTGAAAGCAAAACAGGTTTGAACTTTTTGACTCTTAAGTACAATCATTAAACCTGAATATTTTATGTGATCTGTAGTAATTATATTGGAATAGGTAACAGCATGATTTCGAGTACACAATTTTGAGTGCAACAAAATTGCATGTGCCTGTAGGGTAAGTGCAATTTGTAGTCTTTGAAAAATTACAAGTGCTTATTTACACCAAATTGCATGAGAAATCATGTCATTAACTGTTAATAATTTACATGAAAAACAGACAAAATTTCATCAGCGTGTGCGCCGTTTGTAATTTTCACTCATGTTACAACTTTGCACTTGTGTCACACTAAAAGGACACTAATTTCCTGCCAATCAGATGTGCATAATTTGTTCATGTATATTATTACAGTCAGTTAACATATGGCATGGACAAGGGTTTCTTCTCTTGTGTAGCTGCCACACATCTCCATGTCAGTAAGACAATAAGTTTAAATGTCCACTTAACCCTCAAACTTCCAAGATCTGATTGCCAATTCTCCCATCTAACTAACAAACATTTCTTCTTAATTGGTTATGAGAATTGAGTGTTAGATCAAGATAACTTCTACCTGATATGTTTGAGTATTCTCTTTACCTGATTTTTGGATAATGTATGAATAATTATTACAAGGAGAAGTTACATGCTAATTAGTTATAGGAGTTAAAGGGTCTAATTACAATTCAAGAACTTGCTTGAGGAATTTTCCAGATTGAAACCCAAGCGTAAAGTACCCAGGCCAAATGAAAAAACAATTTTTTCTAAGTATAATCTATGTATTATTTAATGGTTTTGTATTCAGAGTAAGACAACTTCGTCTTTCTTTTATTAGTCACAGATTGAAACTCAGAAAGCTGCACTTAAATATGAGAGGGCCTGTAGCTCACATCAAGCAGCCAAGAAAATGCTGTCCATAGCAGAACAGAAACTTGTCTCCACATCTAAGGAGCATAAAGTTCTGGACCCAACATGGCAAGAAATGTTAAATCAAGCTGTTCTAAAGGTTGGGGGTCCTGTATAAAATTTGTCTTTTGTTTTACCTGTGAGTAAAGATTTTTTTTTTGCAAGATTACTCTAAAAAAGATCCAATTAAGTCCATTGAGACAAACTTTCTGCATACTACTTAGATAGGAAGTTGATATGTGATGCTTATGCACAAGGATAGTATCTATGAAGATGGTGAATTTTTACACCTACATTTTAGGTGAAAGAAGATGTTATTCAGTGACCAACATAATCACACTGAGAGAACTTTTAGTGTTCGCAACTGGTGCACACTCATATGACACAGAGAATAACAACTTTCTACATTGAGCTCAAAATTTGTCAATTTCATGAAACTACTAACCTTTTTGATCTGAGTAGTGTATTGGGTGCTTGTTACATATGAATCTGGTCATTGCCTTCACTGCAGTTCACCATCAATTATTTATTAGCTCACTCATAGACCACTAGAATTTAAATCAGAAGGTCTGGGTTTCTAACCTTACATGATGGAGAGTTTCAATCATTTCTCTTCTATTAATGGTAGGTTATGGAGTCTGATAAAGAGCGAGCTTTGAGTGAAAAAGAACATCTTGAGACAGCACAAGCTTTCAGTGAAGCTGGGAGAAAAGTGACAGAATTGAAATCAAAGCTGAATTCTGCTATCAACAAGTCAAGGTATACAATTATTATCATGGTCTTCACAAACATGAACTTCTGTTAGATACTGTCAGTTTTAGCCCTTTAACTTCCATGAGTGACCAAGAAAGAATTTCTCCTTACAGTATCAATACAAAATCAACTAGCTAAGTGATGAGAATATAGAAAAATATCAATTTTGGGATATTCAGTTGATCCAATACTAAATTCTCTGAACTTCTGGTAACATTATAAGAATTGTATGGTTGATAGTAAGGAGGATTACAAATTTGATCTGGGAATTAAAGGATTAAACCCAGAAGTAACAGTTGATTTAGGTGATCATTGAGATGAGAGGAATTCTGTTAAGGATTATTTTTCAGTATTAGGGACTGATGTCTTGACAACTTGAGCTAAAGTCTACTGTCATGGTTAGAGACTATCAGTAGCAATGATTGTAATGATGACCTTCACATGAAGTTGTTGAAATGTCAGGCACTTTCACTGATATTAGTACCTTTTAGTACCTGATCTACCTATAGCAATTTCTCTGTAAAACCAGACTAATTTTTTCCTCTCTTCACTTCTAGGCCATATTTTGATTTGAAGATGAAGTATGATCAAATATTAGAGGTACTTGAATTAACTGTAAACATTCCTTGCAAATAAAACCGGATTAGTAATGAATTTCACTCACATGTAACATGATAGTTCATAGCATTTTTGTCCCTTTGAGTAACATCACCTATCACCATCACCCTGTACTTTAATACATGTATATCTGTCCAGAAACTGTCTGGAAACTGAATAATGTTTCCAATGTTCACTTGATGTAATGAGACACTAATGATAGCAGTGGTGTAACCTTTCAAAATGTTGACTTGCTACTTTTGCTTTAAGTTATCTCTGAAGTTAGCTTACTAATCTGAGATTACAGCAACGATTTGTGCAGGGTATAACAAAATTAAAGGGGAAATTCAGAGCCACCCATAAATTATCAAATAGAAATAATTTACTATGTTTTTGTGCTGCAAATTATTTGTTCAGGAATGTTTTGGGAATTTCACGTACATGTTATGTACATCCCAGCTCTTATCAGCTTGTAACAAATCAAATAAATTGTCCACCCTTTTATGATTTAGCCAAATTTATTTGTATTAATAGTTGTTCTTCTCACTAGGCACACAAGCATCAAGTTGAAATCACACAAGCAAGTCTTCAGGAGGCAAAACAAAAATACTCAGTTGCCCTGAAGAACTTAGAAGGCATCAGTGAAGAAATCCATGAAATGAGACGCAGCAGAGAGAGCCTAGATGCCCTTTTACTTGAGCGAGAGGAGGGGGTTGGGGCAGAGTCCCCTGATGACACAGATTTAACGAACTTGGAAGGTGGGACTATGCTGCAAATAAAACCATCTTATGGGTTCAAGATAGCAATAGTTTCGTCCACAAAAGAGGCAGAACTTGAAAACAGTGGGTTGATTGTGGGTGAGCGAGATGGTGACCCAGAGGGTTGTAACTCTCTTGATGAACAGAAGGGGAGTAAAAAGCTTCAAGAATCATTTACCAAGGACATCAGTGAATCTGAGGTGTCTGTTGTATGCCAAGGTGAAAATAGTCCAACAGGCTCTTCTGAGGATGTTGAAAAGGGAAGAAACATGGGAAAACATTTCTCTAATTGTGATTCCAAACCTTCAGTACCAGATGAAAAATGGACTGTTGTACAAGTTGATAGTTGTGTGAGTGCATCTCAGGACACAATGGAAGCAAGAGAGTTTTCTGATAACAAAGAAGTTGAATGTGATTTAGAGGTACAGGTTGTGGCTGACCAAGGTAGCAGAAGGAGTGATGATGAAAAATGTTTTAAGGCATTGACAAATCAACAGTTTGATCTTGAGGATCAGAACTTGAATAAGGAGATGAAAAAAGATGATCAGGAAAGCCAGGTACATGAAGAAGCTACACAAGAATCAGCTTCTACATTGCAAGACCTCAAGTTAAGGAAGGCTACAGAGAATACATATGATGTAGATAATTCTATCAAATCTGCAGAAGGATGTGAAAGTAACAGTACATCAGCAAGACAAGGAAATATTGAAAGCAAAACTTCATCAGAAGTGCAAGGTCCAGTCAGTGAGGAAGACTCTGTAGATGTTACTAAGAATGGGCAAACTGATTATGAAAGTGAAGTTGTTAATAAAGAGGTTACCAATGATAATAGCCACATGGATTTGGATGTGATGTAAGAACCAGATAATTGAGCTCAATACAATTTGGTGAGGAAGATAAGCAAGACTGTTCAAAATTTGACAACTTACCAAATGCAATTAAAGCATGTTTAAAGCAAAGGGCTCTTTTAAAATGATTTTACATGTTATTTGGATGGCAAAGGCAATTTAGTTTGAGTTTCTTTGCTCTAAGTTAAGCTTAACACTTAAATTGATTTGTTCAGCTTGCTGCCAAGGCATTTAATTTAGTAAATTCAGTATTAACCCTGTAACTCCCAAGATCTGATTGTCAATTCTTCCATCCAGCTGTAACACATTTCCTTGTAAATAAGTAGCAACAAGAATTTGGTCTTAGATCAAGACAACAACTTCTACATGATATGTCTGAGTATTCTCATTAGCTTTTTACTGGATCATGTATGGATGTTACAGGGAGAAATTAGATATTAATCACTTCTGCGAACTAAAGGTTTCAGGATCATTCTAAATGTGTTTTGGTTTGCACAACAACACTCAGTCACCTGAAGACAGCTTGTATTACATTTTAGTATTTTTAGAAATGCGGAAAGTTGACAACTACCTTTGCAGTGCAATACAAAATTTTGATCATCTCTTTGTAACTCATTCATGAAAGGTCAAATCCACATTAACTGTTTTTTTTCCTAATATTTATTCAAAGACCAGAAAGTCTTTTTTAAATGGTATTTTAAAACTTTATAACTGGAGTCCCTTTTTTTGTAGATATTTATTAATATATATTTAACATGTAACTTAGTGTACTTGGGCATGCTATGGGTGAAGAACCATTTTAAGACTGATGTGGGTAATTTAATTACATATAAAGCCAGGCACTAGCTTTACTGCATGCAAGAAGAAGTCGTATTTCACAAGATCTGGGCAAATGCAATAGAAGGATGTAGAGTTCCCTCTGTAGACAGCAAGGGCATGTTTTTTTTTTAAACTGTGAAGATAATATATTTTAAACTTTTTTTTTTCCAACATGATTGGTTTCTGGAGACAACTGCATTGGCTTTAAGTTAAGCAAATATCTATATTTATTGTAAGTTGACAAAGGAAGTCACTAATTGCATCTAAAAGTTGAGATATCAGTTAGCAAATCAACGTTGAAAATGTTGTACAACGTGAAAAGACTGTAAGTTAAAATAGTTAGTGGAAGTTAGAACAGTCTTAATTAATGAGAAGGTTCTTATCAGCAAAGCTTGGTATAAGCTGCTTTTACTTAGTTAAACATCATAATAAACAGAAAGTGTTCTTCAAACTGTCCAATATTTCTTTCACTTAACAGAAATACACCAGTTGGATTTTGGGGTTATATGCTAATTTTTTGCACATATCATTCATCTCTGACTCCACTTTTACAGTTTTATTGAACGAAAGGCCCTTTGAGAGTACTCACAAACCTTTCCAATTTTTGGATATTGTCCATTCAAGGCAGACCACTAACAGTTTTCTGTGAATATGTTCAGAGACTCGCGCTTTTAAAACAACTTTATTTAACAGATCAGTGAAAACAATTTATAGTTAACAAACTGCAAAAACAACTTGAAGTTTTATTTCCTGATCTCTACCATTTTACAGTTTACATGTTCAGCAGATCAAAGGTGGTTGTTTCAATTCAACTGCCCACAATCTGATATTGCTACTGGCTTTGCTGTTTTGCCAGAGTCAGAACCTATCGCTTCCATTTTCCTGACGACATCCATACCCTCCACAACGCTTCCAAACACAACATGTTTGCCATCCAGCCACGTAGTTTTAGCGGTGCAAATAAAAAACTGTGATCCATTGGTGTTGGGGCCAGCATTGGCCATAGATAGGATCCCTAAAATTAAGTATTAATTAACAAACAAAATAAACAAAAGAAAACAAGATACTTTAAAATATATTTTAAGTCAAAGAAAATTAAATCTCACCTTAAACATAAACAAAATCAGAGCAAACACTTACCAGCACCAGTATGCTTTAAGGAAAAGTTTTCATCAGCAAACTTTTCACCATAAATGGATTTGCCACCAGTTCCATTGCCATTAGTAAAATCTCCACCCTAGTTAAATATAATGGTTAAAGAAAGTTACATGTGTACATAATGTGCTCAACAGTTGTTTATCCATTACATGATGGCTGTATCCTTTTAATTCCATTTTTTCATACTGAATGCATGGCTGTCCAAGGGCATTTACAACCTAGCACCATAAATATACTATATTTAAAGAAAATTTGGGAAGCAGATCCTTAAAATTAAAGAGAAGTGCCTAAGGAGGTTGAAAAGGCTGGCTGGATTTTGATTCCTATCTCACAAGAAATTTGCAAATCTGACCAATTTTTGGCCAAGAAATTCCCAACATGAAAAGGCTGCATTTGCTCTTTATCTATAAATCAATATATAACAACTTGTACCCTATCAGAGACATACTATAACTCACTCAATAAGCTACAGTCTGACAGAGACAGTCAAAATCTTAATGTTGAATAAGCTCTTGACATGCATAGAAAGAAGGACATTATGTCTAGAAAACTCATCAGTATCTGATTTTTTAATTAGCATTTGACTTCTTAATGTTGAAAACCCTTGAACTTCTCTACAACAGCAACCTTAAAATAACCAGTGTAAAGAAGAGACTGTTATGGCAAGGAAGGGGTGTGTACGACAGAAACAATTTTGAACAAATTAAGGGTTACTGTGGGGGACACTTGCTGGGACAAATGAGGAGGTTTCTGTGGAAAGGTGGCCATTAGGGGAAGATCAACTTAATGAGCATAAAAAATGATTTACAGTTTAGCGTTAATAAGAATTAGGTAAGATAATATTTATATTTGTAACTAAAGCAGTAACAGAAACTTACCTGACACATAAACCCGGGAATGATTCGATGGAATTTACTCCCTTTGTAGCCAAATCCCTTCTCACCAGTGCACAGTGCACGGAAGTTCTCTAAAAAGGAATATCATTTTAAAAAAAACATACAATAGCTAAAACTGGGTGAGTCAAAGACAGACCTGTTCAACCCCCTGATCATAGCTTATTGGTATCATGAACTTCACTGAACTTCCATACACTAAGCATCACCCAGTCAATAGTGCACCAATGAAAATAGGCACCCAAAGGGTACAAGGGTGTATGTTGCTCTTCGTTTTCACAATGGGTCTCAAATATCCTCTTATGAGGCTCAGCTCTCCAAGTGGACTTTCTCAAGTGCTGCTTTTAGTTAAAGGGGGCCCTTAAATACAAGGCAAACCCATACAGGGTTCATTTTGCAGAGCTAAAGGTGATGTGGCTGGAAGCAATCAAGGGTGATGTGACTCATGAAACCAATAGGGCAGCCAAGACATGTTACCAATTACTAGTAGACTGTTACTTCAGACCAGAAAAAAGCTACCAGCACTAGGCTTATCTCTGAGTAAATAGGTCATTGAATGCTGTAATAAATGTAATGATTGTGCAACTAAAATCAAAATTACCACTTCCCTGATGAAATTGAGTTTGACTCTTATAAAAGCACCCAAAAGTAAATGATGCGAACAAACATAAAATTTTAAGTGGCTGTGGGCTACTGAACTCAGAAAAGGAATTATAAAGGGATGAAATATTAAGGCCACTGAATTAAAACTTTTGGTCCATTCACTGACAGCACCTGGTTTGTCTCAAATCACATTTGCTCCCTTGGCACAGAAGGTTGTGCCTCTCCTTGCAAGTAAAGGGCCAGGATTCAACTCAAGACAGTAGCAAATTTTTTTTTGTCTTTCTTTTTCCTTTTGTTCCCCTGTTTTTAAATGTATTCTTCAAAAGCATTTTTTTTCTGTTTTCATCCAGAACGTCACCTTTTTCTGAGCAGAAATCAGCATTCAAGAAGCCAATTATCAAAGCAAATTGTTTGTCTTTCCTCTTCTGCTCTTAGAAAAAAGGTGTGGTTTTAAACATTTAAGAATATAGTTCATCAATATTTCGTTTTTTTGGCGATCAAGTGTTCAAATTCTGGATTGACAAGGTTTTAAAACAAGGCCTACAAATACTGAAATGTTAGACAACTTGTCACCCTTGAAAGTAATTTATCCAAGCACCTTGTATGCGCAGAATTTGTTTAAACCTTGTTTCAGACCTTATGCACTCAGTCTTAATTTTCATCAATTTTCAGCCATTAGTAAAATTATCTGGTCTCAGATCTTAGCTGTTGGTTAAGTACACATTCTTCCTCAGCAGACTGCTATCAGCTGAGCCCCAAGCAGGAACTTAAAATGAACACGCAAAATCCCTATACACTAGCGGGTAAATAGTTGACAGGAGTGGAAAGGAGTGACTAAGTGATGGATGCAAGGAGTGAAATTTGCTTTCTGCCGTTCTCCCAAATTAGTTACTGTAACAATGTCTGCATGTGTAAGGCCACTAAAAATGATAGGAATGTTCACAGTCTGACTCCATGACAAGGAGTCTACATTGCCTTGAGCACCATTGACTCAGAAACTAAAAAACCATTGGATTACTGTAGGCCTTGGCAAGAAAGACTAACCCTTACAAATTCTTCTCACTTAAACATTGCTCAGACTCCAGCTTCAAAATCAAAGACGTCACAACAGCCAATCAGAGCGATGATAAAAGATCTTAAGGTGACAATCAGAATTCGCACGAAAAGCGAGCAATCTGTACATGTGAGTGACCTAGCCAATTAGCTCTAGTTTTGCATCCACTTGGTTGAAAGATTAACACGAGTTTTCTCATCCGATCATGCAGCATCGTAAAGCAAAGCTCGTTCCATTCTGCATTCGTTTAACCACTCCTTTGAAAAACTGCTCTAATTTCATCGATAATTAAGAGGAGGGACTGAAATGTGTCTAAATTAATCCTCAAATTTGCTCCGTGAATTTTCCGGGAAGGAATTCTATTTCTCGACTTGGGAAAAGACTCTTGAATTGGTTTCTCAAAATTAACAGTACCATCTGGGAAAATATGAAATCTCAACAAGACCCAACAACACGTGCCGTGAAGTTTTCACCTGACTGGTGCAAATTTTTTTGAGCGAAACGACAAAATCCTGTTTCACTCAGGATGAGATGACTAATTTTAACGTTTGTAGTTAAGTTTGTTCAATTAGGAGCTCTTCCAGGAAATTCAACGGCAGCAACACGTGAAATTTGACTGATCGGAGTTGTTTCGTGCAAACGATTAAACTTATTATCTATTACCTTACAGTCAACTAGGAAACAAAATAAAATTAAATTTTGCACAAACCTGCAGTCTTGGGAACTGCATCGCTTCTGAGCTGTTAACAGAACGGTAAGAAAACGATTAATTGAAAAAAATAGGATGAAGAGAAGTACAGAGAGACCTTTTCGTTTTAAGATACCGAAGCTTTTGTCTGTCAACGCTTTCTTGTACTGTCGAATATTGCAGAAGATTGTTCAGTCGTTTACCTCCATCACAACTCGTCCGGCTGGACTTCCGCCGATGGTGATATTGAAAAAAACCCTTGGCTTTGACATTGCTGAGCTTACAAGACGACGAGACGAAGATAATAAATTCGCCAGAATAGGTCGAGTAAATCTTCAGAAAACGGAAGACGAAGTAGGGCGTAAGATAAGAGCGGGATCTTTCTATCACGTGGTGTTACATAGCGACCTCCCCTATCGCCAACACAATTAGAATGCTGAAATTTTACTGGGACAGAATACAATGGTTGTCAGTTTTGTGAAAATGACAGGTAAGGTTATTTTTGTAGACAATAAGAAATAAGACTATGCAATACTAAGCTCTCGTTCTCTTTTGTTTGTTCTTTTTTTAATCCGTATCTGTTTCCCACCGAAGTTGTGCTGCAAAGCGAAAAAAAAAGAGAGATCTAACGAAAGTTTCAAATTTCTGTGGGGTTTTCCATCTCTTGACCCTGCTTTCATTTTCAAATCTCGTTACGTTCAGGTAATGAGCTCCTATTACTTATATTCATTCAAGTAATAGTCACCAGAGGAGCCACGCAAAATGTTAAATATGCTCGATATTATTGCTACACACAATATTCATAGTTTATTAGTTATTCAAGAATCCGACCAAAGATGCACTTTGGCCTGCAGATTTTTTTTTTCAAAGAAATGAACAACAAAGCTGCGAGAGGCTTGGGACAGAAGATAGTTTTGAAAACTCGCAGCATCTTTGCTCATCCAACGCACACAAAACCGTGACGCGCACGCAAAACTGCTAGCTACGCACGCTAGATAGAGTAAGTTCCCTTTAACCTATTTCTCCCCTTACTCTTCTCAAATCATGGTCAGATTGTTTGGTAAAACAACCACAGCGTGCGTTCTGAAGTTCCGAGCGTCCAGCCCTTTGAAAAAACAATGCTGTGTATCTTCAATTCTCCTCGTGCCGGTGATGACAGTCCTAGTTAGCGCGCGCCGTTACCAAAATAGAAAATATTCCTTCTACCCTTTTTTGTTTGTTTATTTATTTGTTTGTTTTTCACAAATAAGTAATGACAAATGATAAAGTAACTTCGCTGAAGACGACATGTGTGGGTTGTATTTTGTAATAAGGCATAGCACGGGACTTCATGTAACGAAATGAGTTCTGTGAAGGTTTATCTCCCGTCTGCAATTTCCTTCATAGAGCAGGGGGCCCTACAGACTTTCATCTTTAAAATTCATCAACAGTGAGAAGGTTACAAGTGTTAGTTGCCTACTAAAATTTAACATCACTGTGACCTTTTGAAACGCATGCGCATGAGGATGGTCCTAAATTTACCCGAATTGTAATAATTGCCATAAAATTTCAAATAGTGCAGTAACAACCACCATAGGTAGTTACGATTCGAATTCTCCCAGGATCTCAGTTCGTTACCTCAATGCTGCACAAAATCAACAATCTCACTACCACATGTCTGTGAAATCCGAGATACAACGAAAATATTAATGGACTTGGTGGCTCGTCGTATCCGGAAGCGTAGGGTGCTATTACAGATATCTCCATCGCATCGCCCTCGTGGCTGATCTGGTGATATCCGTAACAGCTCTGGTTCGGTACCCTTTCTAGGAGTCCAATGCCAACCCAAAATTCCATATTCAGTCACTCCCGATGCTTCGCGCTCGGTGGAGAGACACCTTCACACACCTTACAGGAGTGTTTCGGTATAAACGTATCCTCGTTGCGCTCGCCTAAATTTGTAGGATACTGACTTAGTCAGTGATATCGCTTCCAGTGGCACTACAAGTGGTAGTATGCCATTGTTTTGATTTTTACTGTAGTAATATTAAGACCGAGAAGTATAATTAGCTTTCGCAAGCCGATCGCTAGTACTCGTAATACACTTCTGGATCTTCCCCGTCCTACTTTGCCTTCTATCTTTCAAACTGGTCAGAAAATTTTCTACGTGAAACAGCATGCTTTTGTCTCTATTACCATTTTTTTGAATTTTTTCGTCAAAATAGATACGGGTAATGGCGAGAACAGAACGATTGATCGACTGGCAAAACAACCTTACTTGACCCCACACGGGTACAAATATCCAGAGGTACTGGGTCCTATCAGACGCATGCGTGATCTTGACTAATCCTCTTTCTCTATCCAACATGTCGAAGAGAGGTAAGGATACAGAGAGAGAAGAATTGCAATCGTGTTTCATCGGCTTGTTGAAACGCATCTTACCGTAAAAGACCTTTTGTATGAAATAATTGATAAATAAACTTTATTTTCATTGTATCAATTTTGATGAAATTGTAAATTTTCTTTGGAAGTTTAATCGATGAATGTCAATGTGTTCGCGAAGAGGTTGATTGCAGATGTGTTTCATTATGCTGCCTTTACGGAACACATTTCACTTGTTTCTGACTGAAATTGAAACTTAGCTTGCGTTTAGGTTGAAGTTTCTTCGTTAGAATAGTAAACTTAATTTTTCTGCCAATTATCGTATTCGTATTTGAGTAATTTAGTCTGCGCCTTACCTTAGATACGACACAGTTTTGTATGTGATAGCTTGCGTTTGAAGCATGAAACTGTCACAGTTAGGGCAAAATAATACTTATAAAATAATATTGTCAGTCGAAAGAAACAAGGGGATTTGGTTAGGATTATTTTTTCACCAAATATTAAATCTTAGTCACACTGTGTAAGCCGTAAAAGGTTTTATTTTCATGTTAAGTGAAGAGTTAGATTCGTTGATACATCTTATTTTATAGCTGCGCCTGTTTTGTGCATCATTGCTACCAGCAAAGACCAACGTTTCCTTAACAATTGGACGTGAGAGTCAATTCTCAATTGAGTTAACTCTACACTGAATTGTAGAGAACTTCATTAGTCACATTTTTACAACCAGTTTGTGAATTATTTGATGTCATTTTCCATGCTAGGACGTGGTGGTTCTTCCGGAGGGAAGTTTCGTATCTCCCTGGGTCTGCCAGTAGGCGCAGTAATAAACTGTGCTGACAACACAGGAGCCAAGAATCTGTATATCATTGCAGTTAAGGGAATAAAGGGCCGTCTCAACAGACTGCCTGCAGCAGGATCTGGTGATATGGTTCTGGCAACAGTGAAGAAAGGAAAACCAGAGCTTAGGAAAAAGGGTGAGTTGTGCAGTGTAGTACAATAACAGGATCTGTATTTGCCATGGGAGATGGGAGATATTTCAGGCTTCTGTGGAAAATTCTTTGGCTATGTTTTGATGTACTACTGCATAGTAGGAAAGGCTCAGAGTTAAGAGTAATTATGAGCAGGAAAAACCACCATGCTACTGTTTAGGGTGTGATTTTGCATGGCATTGTTAGTAAACAAAAGTTATTCTATTAAATGTTGGCTAAGTTGTCACTAACATAATTGTACAGTTATCTATTGTCTGTTTTGTTTGCTTGTTGAAAGAACTGGAGGTCAATGTCAGTAGCTGAGCAACTTCACACCTACCCCTCCCCTAACCCAACATTAACCCTAACTTGTTATCACTTGACTCTATTAGGGGAGGGGTAGGTGCAAGGTTTCTCAGATACAACAATGATCCAAACTTGCCATCATTTGACTCAACCCTTTAAACCCCAAGAGTGACTAGCATCCAATTTCTCTCTTAAGGTCATAAGAATAATGGAAATGGTCACCAGGGAAGGAACCTTTTGATTGGCAAACAAATTCTCCTTTTCAACACCTTAGGAAATGTATAGAGAACAGTGTGGAGAATCTGTATACTGATGTTAGGGTTTAAAGGGTTCAGACATTAACCATGTTCTTCCAAGTCTCTGCTTGTCTTTTAGTAAATATTTTTTAATCTTTTATTTTTTAGTAATGCCTGCGGTAGTTATCAGACAACGGAAGGCATTTAGAAGGAAGAATGGGCTGTTCATTTACTTTGAAGGTATGCTTCATGACTCAAGTGACTGAATTAAATAACATTATAACATGGGTAGTAAATTTGTGTAATCAAATTCAATTGCATGAGTGTGCTTCGCATTCCTATTGTGCACGCTCATGACATCAGCAAACAAATCCATTGCGAAAAAAAATTGAAAATGATATAAAACAATTGGTTCATATGTCAGCTGTGTGTTCATCGAGATATGAAGCACTTGGGAAGTTTGGAGAGCACTCAAGAAGCTAGAGTTGCTCTGGGCTACACCTCGAGCCACCCTTACGCATCTTTCATGCTCTCCAAAGTTCCTGCATGCTTCATATCTCGCTGAACACATGCTGATGTATGAACCAATTGTTAATTTGTGGTTTTATATGAAGTGACAGCATATGCAGCAAACAAAGAATTGATTAGTGTCAATATCATGGTTTATCTAAAGTCTGACATTTCATGGAAATTTTGAAAAATTCAAGTGAAATAGAGTACTCACAGAACTCTTTCTCTCTTTTTTCCTGGTATACTTGTAATTCCACTCTTGGTCAATCAAAATCAAAGAAAAGGGAAAATTGAGGATTGTCAAGCATTGCTTAGGCTTTATGGGGTCTTTGTATTTTATTTTGAGTAAACAAGAATTGTGTATGGATATTCTTTCTTTACAGATAACGCAGGAGTCATAGTGAATAACAAAGGAGAGATGAAAGGTAAAAGAAAACAAACTGTGACAGACTTTTAATACAAGAGAGATGCAGCTGATAAGGATTTATTACAACTGACAGTTTGGTGAACAACAATGTCAATTATTTGAAAACGAGATGCTAGTTAACAAAGTGTTTTTGTTGACTGAATCAAAGTTGAATGTGTAGATTGATGGTGAAGTTTTGTGAGGTGTCAAATCAAGTAATAGAATTTGCATCCTTTTTTGTTATTGTATTTTTAAAGATAATTGTGACAAGTCTCTTGTTATCTTTATAGGCTCTGCTATCACTGGCCCTGTAGCCAAGGAATGTGCAGATCTGTGGCCAAGGATTGCCTCAAATGCTGGCAGCATTCAATGAAATGTACAGAACATGTGTCAAAATTAAACTCCTCTGACTACACACAGCTGTCATCTGATGTATTGAACCTTCTGATTTTCACATATTTTTGCCTGTGTCAGTCTCTCAGTCAGGGGAGATTGAAAAAATAAGAGGCTGGCAACAATTGTCAGTTTTAGTTGTCAGAGGAACAGCTGACCCCTGCCAATTTTTGCATATGTGCAATATTGGTCATTCA